GAGTGATGGGCTCCTCCGCGGGGGGGTGCAGCCTCCCGTGGCCTATACGGGGGATGGTCTACACGGCGGTAGTCGTAGCACGATTGCCGTTGTGTGGATTGTCTTCCGGGGGGGCCGCGGGGGGTTGTATTTCTTTGCGGGGGAGTTTATCATGTGTGCCGATTATCGTACCAATGGGAAAAACCATTACCAAAAGGGTAAGAGTAGCCCAATTAAACACTGGGTCCACGTCACTCGTAGACAACGCAACAACATACTACAAGCCACCCTTAAACTAGATCTTAAAGACAAAAAAAAATCGGTAGACCATGCTTCACATTTCATGACACGTAGCACAATACATGCACTTCTCACAAAGTAACAAGACCAGTTGGGAGCAACTAAACAACAATAAAAATAAAATAATAAAAAAAAAAAAACAACCGACACACTTTACCAAGTTCAGGAACTATCCGACACGGATAATGACAATAATGAACAAGACGAAGACCTCGACTAGGAAACTACACCCCTGCAGCGTAATAACAACTCCCCAACTCCAAATAGTAATCCCAAATGTTTGGAGTAATACTAACCGACTGGTCTAGGGGGATTCCGCGTCGTACTTAGTTTTAAGTCGGCGTAATTGTCCCCCAAAAACCAACTCCCTCCCGTCCCTCATCCATACCTCACTGAGCGTATAGCATAGGCCCGGCGAACCCGGGAACGGCTATTATAACTATTCGCCTCTCGCTCTCGAGCCCCAAATAGGGGACAGTACAGAACGCAATGGACATTCGCACCCAGCAAACACGGGTGAAGCCGTGCAGTTGCTGGGGAAGAACAAAAATCGGCGTAAGTAAACATAGGCCTGTACGGGGTTTAAGAGTCAAGAGGAAATGGGGCTGGTTATACGTCTCTTATACTCATACTCATACAAGTCTATAAACAGCCAATACCTAGTAGAAATCATAACACACAATGTAGAAACACCGCCATAAACGCCATCACACAGCAAAAGAACGCCATTGCAACGGATTATGGGAAGCGTCTTCACGAACCCGTTCGGTTCTACCCGAAGAAGACCGATGTTTAAAATTTAAAACTATACGTTATAATAACGGTGTTTTTATACATTTAAACGTAATAGCGTTGAGTAAAGAAGTAGTGAACTTATTAATCAATGGTAATAGAATTTAATTGAATTTAAAAATGATGCAATAATGGATTTTACTACCTTTACGTGATAACAAGAAATTTTAAATTAAATATAAATGTATAAATCCCGACGAATAGTACGAATATGTATTATAAACTACCTATATTCAATAATAAACTTAATTTTTTTGTAAATTAATTTTTCTTATAATAAGGCTAATCGATTTGATTGACTCTCTGTGACACCCTCAGGCTGTCCCACGAACATCCAAAGAAGGCAAAAGAGAAACCTCATAAAAATAGGTGGTTTATATAATTTGTACATGATATTTAATATTACCCACAATTTATTACATATCCGAAATTTCTTGAACGAAAAGTTTAGGCATGGTAGCCCATGGGTGCACCCACATAGTACAAGATGTCCAAAGGATGTCCAATGGACGTCATTTGGACATCCTGTGCTGTGTGAGCAGGAACGTCCAATCTAGGTAATTCTCGACTTAGCCAGGCCGAACGGGTCTGGGACATCCATAGAACGTCAATTATAGACCTGGTCCGGCTAAGCCTTATTTGGCTTACTTTGGACGTCCAAAATACGCCTAATCAGGCTAAGCCGGACAGGGTCTAGACTTGACGTTCTATGGATGTCCCAGACCCGTTCGGTCTGGCTAAGCCGAGAATTACCTAAATAGGACGTCTGTGGGTTATCTTGTGCTATCTGGGCTGTAGATACCTAGATAAATTTTACACGAACTTTTAAACGTACCCTCGTATGCCCAGGTAGCACAACGTGACATTAAAAATTGGAAGTGACGAAAACGAGACAATATTTCGTTACGATTAAGGAAATTTTAATAAAAAGTAAATAAATTGCGTGACGCCAAATTCGTGACGAGGGGTCTATGAAAATACGTGACGAATTTTTTCATAGTCGTTAGTCACACGAAATAGTGATAATTTTACTTTAAATTTTGGTATAAAATTCTTGACGTGCACCTCGTTACAAAATATTTATACAAATCGTCACGAAAACATCACGTAAAGTCGTGACACCAATGCGCAGTCGCCAATAGTCATATGTTCTGTGCATCTCCAGTAGGATCTCCATTTTGAATGATTGGTAACGACCCAAGCCATTGGTTTCTGTAGGGTTTTCTATATTTCTGCAAAGTTTTTAATGGTAAACAAAAGGATAGTTTAAAACCGTAAGTACTTTTGCTTTTCTATATTTCAGTAGCTTAAGACAATTGTCTGCAATGCTAAACAACTCCACACTCTAATCTAAGAAATGTTTTGCTGTAGCAACAAAATATAAGTAACCACAACATTTTTAGTGTGTTAATATATCCTTAACAAATTTATTATTATAGCTTAAGTATTTTAAGTTGAATTTCTACTGAAAGAGGAAAAAATACATTTTTTTGTACGTGAAATAAAATTTAACAAAGCCATGGAGAAAACTACTTATTTCTTCTCATTTTGCAGGTCAATTAAAATTAAAAAATTGGTAACCAACATAACATACACTGTTTTACAGTCGACACTCTGGACACACTCCACACATCTGGATAGGGGCGAACGAAAACTTTAGACTAAAAGACATATTGATGGCAAACACAATTGTCTTGGGTTGTCTCGGGGGAAAGAAATATTACAAAGGATGACGTTGAAAAGCACATTATGCACATTAAGCATACATATGATAAGATGAAATCACAGGTTTGTACTTCAGCTGAACCCTACACTGAGAAAAAAATGGGACAAATAAACTGTGTAGCTAATACTTTTATTAATAGTGAATATATTGTTTATTACCTCTAAATAGTCGAAATAATAACGATAAATATACTTTAGTAAAACTTTATGTGTCGGGAATAAAAATATATTTAGGATAAATAAACTGTACCCTTGTCCCATATTTAAATATTTTTTTATTTGGGAGCAATAAACTTTTTTCTCCGTGTAGTGTTATTTAAGTAAGTTTATTATAAATAAATGTTGCAGTTAAAGAAACTGCAGAAATAAAATAAAAATTTTATACTACATGAATTATTAATTGACTTCATTCATTTCATTTTTTAATTTATAAGAGAAATACTTGTTTATTTTGTTTTACTGTTTTTTATATTAGGTATATTCTAATAAAATAGTGTTTTATTTTACAGGAGAATTATATTTTTGTGTACTGTTTTATCCTTAAAATAGAAAAATAATTTAATTTTTTTTTCAAAGATATGAAATTTGAAAACTAATTGCAATTATTGCTGGTTTTCAAAAGTGGAGGTATTTTTATTGTATAAGAGTAATATTTTTTTATTTTGTTAGTGTTTTTCTATACCTATAATATATATTATAGTTTATTGTAGAATATGTTTTTATTGTTTTTCTAATAAAATATAATTCAGTTAAATGTGCTTTCTTTGCATTAACATTGCAAAACTAAACAATCCTAACAACAATATGTTATTATTTGGGGGTGTAATAATATTGTGTAGTGTAATGTAGTGCAGTACAGTATAGTGGGTTGTTCTGTGTATTGTGGAATTATTGCTTACCTTCAAAGTTTTGTAATTTGATTTCAACCTGATGATGAGGTTAAAATCAAATTACAAAACTTTGAAGGTAAGCAATAATTCCACAATACACAAAACAACCCACTATACCGTACTGCACTGAATTACACTACACAATATTATTACACCCCCAAATAATGCAACTATACGCCACAATTACGTGACCAGTTCAGTTCACTATTCGGTAACGAAGCGTCGTGACGAAACCGTGACAAATCATCGTGAAGAATCCGTGGCGTATTCTTAACTACATCGTGCTTAAATTTAGCGCGGTTTGGCAACTGTTTTTAATTAAATACGTTACGAGTCCAATACGTCCAAGTCACGACTGACTGAAAACGTCTCGTTTACGTCAAGATTTCGTTACGTTGTGCTACCTGGGTGTATACCTAATCGTTATATTAACGATCATCATTAATTCTTGTAACACTGTTTAACTTCTTCTCAAAGATAATGAAGGTCTTTAATTAGAATCCAGCAATTTAAAAATATGCAAATCCAAATTCTTTAACTTCTTAATTAACAGATCATGAAAAATCTCGAACGAGCGAAGCCCCATTATAAAAATAAAACGATCGTAAAATAACGTAATCTCGCTTATTTGTGTTTTCCAATAAAGATATCATGGACATCATAAAATTCTCGCGTTTTATAACTTATTTCGCTATTCTTAAACATGTACCTATGCCAATTTAAGTGCTATATGAAAAATGTTCAGAGAAAAGAGGGAATAATAAAAAAAACTATAAACATAGATAGGGAGTCCCTCGAGTCGTAAATCCGGCCCTGTGCATTAGACTGAAGGCCCCTCGGTACTCCTTTTCGACCCTCTCTGCTAAAAATATTTTATAATTTAATGGACCCGATGTCAGAAAGTGGCAAATGCAATTTTTATGACCAATATAGGCAACCCATTTAACAATTATGTGTAATCTAATTGTATAACCGTTCAATAATGTACACGATCGTATTCAATTTACCTGTCAGGCAATGTCATTAACTATATTATATTTAGGTAAATAAACAGATTAGGTATTCAAAGTTTTATTTGTTTTCATTATAAAATCTATAAGGAAAATTTTTCAATAATCTAGTGCATTTGCTTTTACCCCCAGATAATTGTTGATGTTTTTGTTTACTGCGCACTCGTTGGTCAGCTGTTCAATGGTTGCTTTGATGTGTTGTGAATATTTGTGATAATTTTCTCTCGAAATCGTTAAATTAGAGTTTATGAGTGTGATATGTTAAATTTTGCTTGTTAGTTGTTAGATATAAAGTTCAAAAAACATGGATAACAACTTAAATGACCAGGAAAATCCGATGGAAAGACAGGGCAGGTAAGTAAACAACTACGCGGAAAAATCAAAACAATTTGTTTACGAAGCAATCGTTATCATTTAAAATAACGTCAATTGATTGTTTATTGTTTAATTTAAGATTATTTGGTACGAGGTTTTTCTTTGAGTATCTTAGTGAACCTTGATAAATACCTTGTTTTGTTTACAAGGTTGATTTGATTATTAATTTATGTTAATGTTTTTAGTTGTCTACTATTAAGATGCGCCAGTCAAAACTCTTTGGATGAGAGTTCACAGAAACATATTCCTCAGTCTCACCACCATAATAAAGAGCGCCCACCATATAAAAACCACCTGCACACTCAAAAGGCATTTGAAGTGATGAATGTCATGCGAAAGTAAGTTTTAGCTGGTTAAAATGACAATATTAGTAAAATCCCTATCTATGCTCAGAACTAAAGTATTTCTTGTAAAGATAAACACAACTCATCATTTTTGTTTTACTAATTTTAGACAAAAACTACTATGCGATGTGACCCTGGTAGCAGATTCAGTGGAAATCCCAGCACACAAGATGGTTTTAGCCTCATGTTCGCCATATTTTTGCGCGATGTTCTCCAGCTTTGAAGAGAGCCGACAGGATCGAATCACATTGCAAGAAGTTGACCATCAAGCTCTCCTGTTACTCATCGAATATGCTTACACTAGCGAAGTGCAAGTCACTGAAGATAATGTGCAAGTTTTGCTGCCCGCCGCCAATTTGCTGCAATTAACAGATGTAAGAGATGCATGTTGCGATTTTTTACAAGCTCAACTGCATCCCACAAACTGTTTGGGTAAGTTACAGTGGGGCAAATTTGTAGAAATGTCAAATTTGACTTATAACATAACCTCACAAAAGATATTTTAATTTTGTTTTTTGCACTTTTGGAGACCGTTCTATCAGTTTTTTAATTTTTTTAACTAATATATTTTTTGGGTTTTTTTACTATAAATTTTGAACGTATTATTTTTTTCTATTTTTTTTTTAAATTTTTATCATTAGATTTTCTTGATTTTTAACTTTATTTATTTATTTATTTTGTTTTTTATTTAAATTATCAGCAATAATAAGGTTTATAAAGTTAAAAATTTAAATTGAATTTGTTTTACAATTTTTTACAGTGGTTCCAAGAATTATGGCCAATATATGTAATAATACTTGTTAACATATTTAATTATGCTTTAATTAATTAAATTAATTAAAATTTTAGATTTTCTTGAAATTATTCTTTTTTTATATTTTTCCTTTATTGATTTATATGTTTGTGTATTTAACGTATTATTGATTGGTCTTAATTTTTTTTGACCAACGACTTTCATGAGGTTTTTTATAAACTGTTTTTTATTTTGGCCCTATAAACTTACTTTACTTTTTATTTTAACGATTGTTAATTGTAATTTTAACCTTTTTTTTGCAGGGATAAGGGCGTTTGCTGATTTACACGGCTGCATAGAGTTACTTTCTCACGCTGAAACATATATTGAACTACATTTTCCGTAAGTTTGTTTTTTACAATTTTCAAATGGTATTTTGTAATGTTTTTTTCTCTAAAATTATTGTTTTTTGCAGTCAAGTTGTTGAATGTGAAGAATTTTTAACTCTTAGTCATCAACAGGTGTCAAAGCTGATATGCAGTGATAAATTAACTGTGCCAACCGAAGAAAAAGTAAGTTTTTAATTTTTCTTATTTTTAATATACTAACTCCATTTAAAGAGTCCATTTTTTACAAATAAAGTTGCTTTTGTTTTTATACGCCATTTGTTTTATTTGTATCCCACAAGCTTACTCATGATATGATAAAAAATAATAAAATAAACTAATTAATCAATTTTTAAGCTAATAACATGATCCTATTTTGTTTCTTGAGCTGGAAAAGGAACTTTTGAACTAATCTTTGGGAAAATCTGTGGGAAATAACACTTCTACCCAAGTGTTATTTTCCATATTCTTTCAAAAATTCGTTTTTAAACTTGAGCAACCAAAGAGGTTTAGTTTACAGCCATTTCAAGTGGATGGACGGGACAAATCACAAAACTGTTTTTATAAAAAAAATTGTAGCTGATTTATTATATATTATTTTTGCATCAAAATTGTCAAAAAAATTCTTCTATTATAAGGGTATACATTAAATAAAAAAATCGCAAGAAATATTTTATAAAAGTACAGATAATTTCAATAATTGACAGGGATGGACGGGACAAGATAAATCTTTTTTTTGTCCCGTCCACACCTTTCAATTATTAAAATTATATCTACTTTCATAAAATATTTCTTGAGTTTTTTTTTATTTAATGTATAAACTAATAAAAGAAGAATATTTTTGCCAATTTTGATGCCAAAATATTATAAAATAAATAATCTACAATTTTTTTTATAAAAACAGTTTTGTAATTCGTGCGTTTCGCGCGCTTGAAATGGCCGTTTATGGATTTTACATGGGGATGGGGATTACATAATAATTTTTATGAAAATCTCAAAAAACAATTTTTTAGTAGGTACTTTTTAAAATTATCATTATCATGCTGCCAACTTTAGAGACACCCAAATATAAGTTTCTTACTTTTGCCCTTATAATAACAAATTAACAATTTATATTCTTACTTATTTATTTTTTATGTTTTACTTTTTAATGATACTTTAATTTGTTAATTTAAAATATTGTTTACCACATTGGCACCATTGAATTTGCTGTTACACCCTACTGTTATTTATTTATTTACGTTTACTATTATGGTTTTTTTTATTTAATTTTTTTTTAAACTTTAATAGTTTGGAATAGTTTTTTTAATAATAAAGTATTCCTAAATTTTTACCCATTTTTAACGGTTTCGTTGTAAATTTTAAATGTTTTCATTTTTTACAATTTTTCTTGATATTTAACATTCAATTCATATTTAAGGTGTTCATTTCAGTTTTTAAATGATTTGTTTTTTTGTATTTTAATATTTTATTTTTTATTGTATTTTTACGATTTTTATTTTAATCGAGACAATATTTACCGTATTTCCCAATTTTAAATTTTTTCACGATATTTGTTATTAACAATTTATTTAGTTTTCTTTATTTTTTTATTTTTATGATTTAGATTTTTACGAAATTTTAATATTTTCTTTAACCCTACAGCAGGTACACATACCAGATACCTATGTATATTTTGTATGTATGGTTTGACCATTCTAGGCAACACAATATACAGAAAACCTAAAAAACCTAGTAGTAATTTAGTGTAGTCTGTTGCTGTGTAGAAATTACTATGAAAAATAATATTTATACGTTGTAGAATAGTCGATATTTTTCTACAAAAATGCATTTTTTGATTTTAAAACTGATTTTATGAAAGGAATCGCGTTTCCCAACAATTTTTAGGATGTTAAAAAACATTTTGACGATAAAACTGAAACAAAAAAGTGATGGTAAAGAATTTACTTTGAAATTAATATTTTTCGCAAGAACGACTTTTAGGTCCTTTTTGACATTCGGTCATCTATGTTTTTGACATCCATATGACGTAAAATGCATCACAATTTTGTTTGATTTTTTAACCTTTTCCTAATTAGGTATTAACAATTTTACCTAAAAATTATTTTGAATGTAAATTATTTGAATTCTCGTTTTTTAAGGTTTTTGAATGTGTCATTGCTTGGGTGCAACACGACCTCGCAAACCGCAAAAAACACCTTTCCTCTTTGATGGAACACGTCAGATTACCTCTGATGACGCAAGAATACCTAGTTCAAAGGGTCGAAGAGGAACCCTTATTAAAAGCCGACTTAATATGCAAAGATTTTTTAATAGAAGCCCTTAAGTATCATTTGTTGAAAGGCGACACCAAAACGACCTTCAGAACGCCCCGAACAAAGCCTAGGCAACCGGTGGGTTTGCCTAAAGTTTTACTAGTTGTTGGGGGACAAGCCCCAAAAGCCATAAGAAGCGTTGAGTGTTATGATTTTAAGGAAGAACGGTGGTATCAAGTCGCCGAAATGCCTACCAGAAGATGCAGGGCTGGATTGGCTGTCTTGAATGGAAAAGTATTTGCTGTAAGTAAAAATTCTCAGTACAAATTTTTTTAACTCATATTAAGGATGTCAAAACATATTTTGAAATATGTTAAAAAGAATAAAAAATAGGTATAATACACTCACAGGCAAAATAATCGATCCACACAAATTTTCAATGAATTTCAATAGCAAATAACTTTTTTATTTGATGTCGGATTTAAACGAATATTAAATAATATTAATATAATATATAATATATAATATCTACAATTGTAGATAAATTAATGGACAATCGCTCACATTTAAAAAAATTACTAAAAATAGATGTACGTTTATAATATACAGGTTTAAACAAAAAGATGTTTTTTACCATAAGTTTAAGACACTCTGTAGAGTGGCAAAACCGTATATTGTTCTAAATTAAGTTTTATTTATCAAGTCACATCTATTCATAACAGTTTTGTTTTTGGTTCACCTCGATATATTTATTTTTGTGGAAAATATGTATTTTTTAAAAAAACATTGCAATTTCCAATATTTTTCTGTATGAAGAACTAAGGTTGCTATGGTCCAGGCTATGGAGAATGACAGTAACTTGAATCATCCCATACTTGGACATGTCACACACGGCTTTCAAAAGCTATCAAATTGTTTTTTGCAAATTAATGTTTAAATTTTGAGGTGTCTTCTTACTTTAAAAAATGAATATGTCTCCGACTGATGTTGCCAGAGCCATTAATTTAATCTAGGATGGACGGTCACAGTATTACGTGGCAAGTGTTTTAAACGTCACAAGAATTAAAGTACAAAGGGCAACATCAGTCGGAGACATTTTTTAAAGTAAGAAGACACCTCAAAATTAACACATTAATTTACAAAAAAACAATTTGATAGCTTTTGAAAGCTGTATATGAAATGTCCAAGTATGGGATGATTCAACAAAACTGCCACTGTCATCCTCCATAGGCTATGGATGGACCATAGCAACCTTAGTTCTTCATACAGGAAAAATATTGGAAATTGCAATGTTTTTTTTAAAGAAGTCCATATTTTTCACAAAAATAAATATATCAAGGTGAACCAAAAACAAAACTGTTAAAAATAGATGTGAGTTGATAATTAAAACTTAATTTTGAACAATATTCGGTTTTGCCACTCTACAGAGTGTCTTAAACTTATGGTAAAAAACATATTTTTGTTTAAACCTGTATATTATAAACGTACGTGTATTTTTTAGTAATTTTTAAAATGTGAGCGATTCTCCATTAATGTATCTACAATATTCTTTAATATTTGTTTAAATCCGAAATCAAATAAAAAAGTTATTTGCGATTGAAATTCATCGTAAATTTGTGGGGATCGATTATTTTGCCTGTGAGTGTAATTTAAAATACATTTACAAATTTTGCACCGTGACTAAAACGCACAGTCGGAGATTATTAATGTGACAAGAAAAAGATTACTTAGCGTCATGAAAACATATACGATAATGACCTTAGACAAAGAATAGGTCTAATGATAATGAAATTGTGCGTTTTAAACATGGGTGTATAGTAGGGTGTTTCATTTAAAACGAAAATTTTATTTTTCTGCTGACACATAAAAATTTTGTTTTTTAGGTTGAAAAAAAATTCCCTGAAAATTTGAGCCCTTAACTTTTATTCTAAGTACTTCCTTTTTAATTTTGTAGTTTTTCCATATAAAAAGCATGTATTTTTAATCATTTTTACTTTAAATTTCTCTTAAACAAAGCACTTTAGTGATATGAACGTGAGAACCTTTTTTGTTAAAAATTAAATTTTCTACAACTTTTTTATTTAAACTTTTTCGGTAAAACCAGTCATTCGCTGAATTTTCTCAAAAATATGTTAAAAAAAGTGAAAAAACGACTTTTGGAGCTACTACAATCAACGTAAATAAATCAAAACAAAATTGATGCAGGGCCTTTCAAAAACCGTGAAAAAATTATGGTGATAAAAATTATCAAAACCCGGCCAAAATATAGAAATTTAAAGTAAAAATGATTAAAAATACATGCTATTTATATGGAAAAACTACAAAATTAAAAAGGAAGTACTTAAAACCAAAATTAAGGGCTCAAATTTTCAGGGAATTTTTTTTTCAACCTAAAAAACAAAATTTTCATGTGTCAGCAAGAAAAATAAAATTTTTGTTTTAAATGAAACACTCTAGTGTATAGTGTTCAATTTTTTTTATATTAATTTTAGGTTGGAGGTTTCAACGGTTCTCTAAGAGTAAAGACAGTCGACTCTTATGAGGCCGGTTTGGATCTGTGGTCCGCAATGGAGAGCATGGAAGCCAGAAGGTCCACTTTGGGGGTGGCAGTATTGAATAACTGCATTTATGCTGTGGGAGGTTTCGATGGGTCCACAGGTTTATCAAGCGCTGAAATGTACGATCCGCAGGTGGGAAAATGGAAAATTATTCAGTCTATGTCCACTAGGAGGAGTAGTGTTGGAGTTGGAGTGCTATATGGGCAGTTATATGCGGTAAGTTAAGCATAAAAGTTTCTTTAAATGGTTTACAAAATAAAATTAATACAATCTCAAAACTCCTTATAGGTAAATCCACACAAAATGGATTTTTTTGTCAGAATTTGGCTTCCCTTATCTGTACACTAGAGCCAAATGTGTCAAGTCCACTTTTGTAAATCACGTTACATATTTTTTCCCTACATTTTCCCGCTCCGGGCTTACTTAGTTTTTGATATAAAAATGTGTAATATGATTTAAAAAAAGTTGACTTAATAAATATAGTTTGGGTCTGGGGTACAGATAGATATTCTACAGAATGTCTAAAACACTTTTTAAAATGTCAAAAAGATATTTAAGAATGTTAAGACATTTGATAATATATTTAAAAATGTAAAAAAACATGGCCCGCGCAGGCATAAAGACACAAACAAACATTTTTTGATCAACTAAGTTATAAATATTTAACACTATGATAGTTTTGGAAATTTTTTTTTTCTAACATTGAGTACTCCAGCTTAGTTCAACTAATTTTGGGCCGCTAATTTCAAAAATGTCATTCGTTTTTCTCTAGGACGTCTAGGATTTAAATTAATTTCGTAATACAATGCTCTGCTCAATCACCTCAAAATGTAAGTTTTTTTTTGTTAGTATTTAAATTATTTATTAAATTATTTTGGCTTAAATTTATCTTGAATGTACTGTAAGTAATTGGTATTCGCCAAAAGATCATATTTATCTTAACAATATGACATTTTAAATACTAAAATTAAAATTTTGTATTGTATGTAAAAAACAACCATTATTTGACATTTTTTGTCGTTTATTTTAATTATTGAATTGAAAGGGCAACAAAGTATACAAGTTTCGGTAATGTTCATCAGTTCGGCAAATGTATCAGAATGAAAAAAAAAAGAAAATGTATTTTAAATGACATATTGACGATAATTCTTTATAAAACGGAGAGCATTTTTTTTCAACGAAATGTCGCCAATTTTAGGCCCGATATGAACCAAGAACATTTTCAATGACAGCTTTAACACTGCCATATGCGATAAGCTCGTCAACTTCGAGAGCATTATTGAATGCTTGATCTTTGATTAAACGTCGTATAGCAGGTCCATTTAATATTCCTGCAAAATTAAAGTAGTAGGTATATCAGATATAAATTTGTTTTGTTTTTGTTGCGGTACCTTTACGCCCAAGAAAAACCAAAGGAATATTTCATTACAAAGTTTTATGAGATAAGATTTTTATCTCATACAATTTTGTAATGAAATATTGCGTTGGTTTTTCTTGGGCGTAAAGGTACCGCAACAAAAACAAAACAAATTTACAACGACGACATAAAGGTTCTTCTCCTTTCTCTGCCACTTCCATCTCCGGCTATTTTTTCATTTTTGGTTCTTAAAATTACTTTCAAGTAAAAATACAATTTAAAGTTTAAATTTGAAATGTCAAAATTTAATAGAAGACTTAAGAGATGTGAATAAAAAAATATCAAATAATAGTCGAAGAGTAATGTTATATACTGAAACCCATTTACGTTGGCTTTTTAATTTAATAAGTAATTAGCAGAAAAGTGCTTTATTAAATATCCCTTATATAATACTACTATAGTATACAGCTACAATGGAACAAAAAAATTGTCCATTTGAAATTTATCTACTGATGACTGTATATTTTTGACAAAAAAACGTCAAAAATATACTGAACATCCAAAATAGATTTAAGGCAAAATAATTTAATAAATAATCAAAATATTAACGAAAAATTTACATTTTGAGATAGTTGGGCAGAGCATTTTATTACGCAATTATTTCGAATCCTAGACGTCCTGGAGCAAAACGATTGGCATTTTTGAAATCAGCAGCCCAAAATTAGGTAATATAGGTGGGCGTACTCAATTAGGGTTGCCAGATTCTGTCAAAAAAATAAAAGACATTTAGTGACAATTTACCTTATACTAAAATGACACAATCAACAATACTTATGTAACGTCAAATTCACAATTTGCAATATTTTAATTTTTTATTTTTGTAATTAAGATAAATTCTCGCAAAATGTACTTTATTTTTTTGACAGAATCTGGCAATGTTAGTAATTCGAACTATCATAGTGTAATTATTACTCGTATTATAATTAATAAAATTACGAAATTAAAGTATTATGTAAATATCTACTTAACATTATTTAGTACTACAAGTATGTTAAAATGAGATTTTAAATAGTATATTATTATACGAGAGTTGATGCAGGCTATTATTTGCATAACCTCGAGTGTACTATTATTCTTTATCCACTACAATAAGTAGATAATTAAATGATTTTCAAAAACAATTAAATAAAATCTGGCATGTTTCAGCCAGTACTAGGCGTATCTAATGTTAGTTTTTTCTTAGGTTGGAGGCTACGACGGCGCGTCGAGGCAATGCCTGAACAGCGTGGAGTGCTACACGCCCGAGACGGAGGCGTGGATCACGATACCGGACATGTGTTCTCGACGCAGCGGCGCCGGCGTCGGGGTGCTGGACGGAATTTTGTACGCGGTCGGCGGTCACGACGGCCCCCTGGTCCGCAAGTCCGTCGAGGCTTTCGACCCGGCCGCCAACCGGTGGACCCCCGTCTGCGACATGACGATGTGCCGGCGAAACGCCGGCGTCGTCGCCATGAACGGGCTCCTCTACGTAGTAGGCAAGTGATTTTAGTATGCGCGCGTTTTAAATTACCCATAACACGCTTTAGAACGTTGTGGCATATTTGAAAAGGTCAAAAATATTTAAGAATGTTAGGAAACCTTTAAGAATGTCAAAACCATATTTCAAAATGTTAAAATATTTAAAATATAAACAAAAACTGTCGATATTTTAAAAAAATTCAAATTTATTGCATTAAAAATATCATTGGACAAATTTATAATTTAAATTAAGAATATCTACTCTTCAAGAAAAATATAATTTATCCAAATTATAAATATCATAGGTGAAATGTTTAAATGATTTAAAAATATCATATGAAAAATATAATATAATTCAAATTAAAAAACATTATAAAAGATATTTTTAATTTGATATGATATGATATATTTTAATAAATTTATAAATTTAATAAGTTTAGTTTGGTTAAATTATAAATTTTTCCTATGATATTTTTTAATCAAGTAGGTAATAGGTAATTAAAAATATCAATTTAATTTAATTTAAATATCAATTTAATTTAATTTATGTATTTAAATTGACATGTATGATTTATCCTAAGATATTTTTAATTCAATGAATTATCTTTTAATTATAAATAAATTTTACATTTGGGGTATTTTAGCATTCGGACAGGACAAATCATAAAACTGTTTTTATAAAAAAAATTGTAGGTAATTTATTATATAATGTTTTTGCATCAAAATTGCCAAAAATATTCATTTTTTATTAGGCTATACATTAAATAAAAAACTCAAAAAATATTTTATAAAAGTAGAGATACTTTTAATAATTGATGTGTCCACACAGGTCTTTCAATTTTTTTTTAAAACAGTTTTGTAATTCGTTCGTTTTGCGCGCCCGAAATGGTCGATTTGCAACTTTAATTCGAGATATATAAAATTGATTTAGAGGTATCTGAAATTGAGGTAGTGATACCTTCACATATCTGAAATTGATTTAAAGGAATGTGAAATTTAATTTAAATATAAATAATTCCTGAATAAAAAATTAAACGTCGCAGCATGTACTAAACTTCTTGGCTTGTACAAATTTATGGATAATATCCGTACACTGATATTGAGAAAAAAGTGAATTTCCGACGCTGATTATAATCATATAATATTATGATTATAATAATTATTAATAATGATTATAATAATTATTCCTTTTAATTCAGTAACAAAATCCTACCGGGCCGAAACAAAAACATATAGGACTCAACCGACAGTATATTTAACGTTTACTTTTTTAAATCAATTTAATTCAGTTCAATGTTTAGTTTTATTTTTTTTTCTTCTGTAATGAATAATGTTTTTTTAAATTAAAAAAATGTTAAGTTGTTGATTGCTACCAGTGTTGCCAACAGTAAAATGTTAAAATTCTCAAAAACCTAAACAAAAATTCACCAGAATTCTCCAACTTTCCCAAAAAAAAATCTCCAATACTTTTAATAATTTGTAATATAAGGCTTTAAAGCTTTTTATATAATAAACATTTTCTTTTAACATGGAAATAAGAAAAAAATATAGCTATACAGGATGTCCCAAAAGTAGCTGGCCAAACTTTGCTAACGTCATGTATACAGGGTGGTCCAGTTTGAGATACATTAATTTTAGGAGGTGATAGAGAATCAAAAATGAAGGGGACTTTCCTAATAAAATATTTTTCAAAAGTGCCTAATAAGGAAGCTATAGCCCTTCAAAGTGGGAAATAAATAATAGTTTTTTTAGCATAACTTTTGAACCGTTTAAACGATTTGGTTTAAATTTTAACCAAAGTTTGATAAAATAAGTCTTGTTCGACCAGTGATAACGCGTTTTATCAAAATAATTCAGGGGCGTAGATGATGGGGGAAGCTCCCCTTTTTCCCTCCCCATTTTTCAAATCCTTGCCAATTTTATAAATTGTTTATATTTTTGAATTCAAAATTAAATTTGAACAAAAAAGTTACCCCTGGAAAACAGTGACTGAAGACTTTGTTTTTGAGATATTCGTGTTTTAATTTTATCGAAAATGCACAATTCATATTTTCAAAGTATTTTTTTAACATATCTAAATTTCGTTATTTATTTGATGCAAACAAAAATAGCAGGTTTTAAAAGGCACTCCTTACTCTTTCGGATTTTAATAGATTTTTGACATTTCGTAGGGATAACTTTGAGTAGGTAGATAATTTATTTTTGTTTCGTAAGTATCGTTTTTAATACTTCTCGGAATAAATTCAGATTTTTAAAGGTTTGTTTCATATTTTCAAATTCGGCTTAAAATTTTGGAAAAAGTTTTGAGGAAAAGTGATCAAGTAGCCTTACGTCAAGCCTCGAAATGTTCCACTAAATGTGATTTAGGCATATTTGGTAAACTTATTTTCTGTTTGTCCGATTGATTTTGTCAAATATCTTTACGAAGAATGCCAAATTTCTTCAGCAATGCCGAGTCTGCAGACATACATTTTGTTTATGGATTCTGCAATGAAAATGCCGCAGCGGCCGTTAGAGAATATCGCAGAAGAAAAATATATTTGACTACCTACATTTTTCAAATTGCTTTACATGCAATGGGCAAAAATATTACATTTCAAAAACATGAATTCTACATTTTCGACATGTTTTAAAAACTTCAAACTCGAATATCTCGAAAACAAAATCTTCAGTCACAATTTTCCAGGGGTAACTTTTTTGTTCAAATTTAATGTTGAATTCAAAAATATAAACAATTTATAAAAATAGCAAGGGGTTGAAAAATGGGGAGGGAAAAAGGGGAGCTTCCCCCCATCATCTACGCCCCTGAATTATTTTAATAAAACGCGTTATCACTGGTCGAACAAGACTTATTTTATCAAACTTTGGTTAAAATTTAAACCAAATCGTTTAAACGGTTCAAAAGTTGTGCTAAAAAAACGATTATTTATTTCCCACTTTGAAGGGCTATAGCTTCCTTATTAGGCACTTTTGAAAAATATTTTATTAGAAAAGTCCCCTTCATTTTTGATTCTCTATCACCTCCTAAAATTAATGTATCTCAAACTGGACCACCCTGTATAGGTGCAGATCAGAATAAGTCTATTTTTCTATATACAAAGTTTGATGGGCACATTTTAGGATAAACTGTAGAAGGGTTTAGATAGTACCAATATATTCAATTATATCATCTATTGTTTCATCAGTCTCATTGTTATATATTTTATATATATTTTTGGTAGCTATTTGTTTTAATACATTATCATGGAGGAGGTAGTCCTTACAACATAACTGTAACCAGTAATAACTTCACAGAGTCTCTGATAACTTTAATGGATGGAGGAGTCACATTTTTAAAATATGAGGATGGAGTGTATCAAAGTTCTGACCGGTCAAATTCTTAATTAAAAAATCACTAGTACAACGCACCCAACCCAACAATATTTTTTATTCTGTATTTTAATTACTTAAAATTCGCTAAAAACTCTCCGATGCATCTTTAAATTCTCCAGGATTGAGACTGGTCGCTATCTAACTTGAAAACTCTCAACCAAGAACAAAAAATCACCAGAAATGGTGAAAAATTCTCCAAGATGGCAACACTGATTGCTACTTTTGTTAAAATGACTTAGAAAAATGCTATTGCAGAGACATAACATTGAAGTTTGCACATCAAAACATATTAAACACAAACAATAATTTGTAGGAGGCGACGATGGAAGCTGCAATTTATCTTCTGTGGAAGTTTACAACCCCAAAGCCGATATGTGGACCATGTTGCCAAGCTGCATGTCCATCGGTAGGTCGTACGCTGGTGTCGCTGTCATCGATAAGCCCATTTGAAGGTCGGGGCGCGCTGGCGACCCCCAACAAAACACCAGCGTCGCCAGCGGAAGGTAAATATGTTTTTTAAATTTTTTTTGTGCCTGAAGAATTAATACATTATACAAGGTGTCCTGTAACCATCTTCAGGGGCTCCCTTTTTGGGGGCTGTAGCTCCCTTAGGAGGCATTTCTCGAACTATACTTATAGGGACTTTTTTCTTATTTTTGCAAATAGAATCTGCTGTTAAAGTGTGGTGCACTAGCATCGGAACACCATGTATTAGTATATATGATTAATAAAAATCCAAACCATATTATATTTACAAAATTTGTAATACAAATACACTAAATGCATGGCATATTGTCACGAATTTAGTGAAGAATTTAATTTCAAAAAAATAAGAAATATGCGAAAAATCAAATAAAATAAAAAAATATAAATTATATCGAAGAGACAAATAATCATGAATTAAAACAAATACAGACATTTTAAAAGCGGTAATGTTATCTTTTTGTTCGAAAACTTAAATCTTGAGAGAAGGAGATAACTTTAAAAATTTTAAACGTTTAAATGTATTACCTTTTCAAAAATTTGAAATTTACCTACAGTGTTATATTTTTTTATTTTAGTTTGTCGCATTTAACGTTGTATTTTTTTTTGTAGTCGTTTAATTGACACATCTTAATTTTATCTTGTTGCCTTTAGATTGTAAAGCTACAATCTAATTCTAAACGTCATTTTTCTAGTAGATATGCGAATTGCGGAGACGAGAACAGCAGCGCAGAGGGTTGCTACGGCAGCGCGGAGGCTTCGTGTTCGTCGAGTCCTCCGGGTCAGCACCGTCACGTGGGCGAGAACATCTACGAGGCCATCTGTCGGCAAAGCGACGAAGACGAGGAGGGGGACGAGGAGGAGGACCCGCCCACCCCCACCAATCAAGCGACCAACCGGGGCGACCAGGAGAACATCTACGAAACGATCGAGGATCTAAGACAGCGCCAGCAGGCAAGTTTTTTTTATTTTGTAGTTCGTTTATTTAGTTACAAATCTTTTTACTAAACAATGTCGTATTTAAAAAAATTGTTTTGGAAATTTTGATATTTTTCGTTATTTCCAAAATTTCGAAAATTTTGGAAATTCCAAATCGTAAGACTTCAATATTTTGAAAATTTTTGGAATTTTGAAAACTGCAAACTTTAAATCTTTTTCAAAATTATAAAAAGTTTAAAAACTTTAAATTTAAAAATTTTGGAAATATAAAAAACTAAAATTTTCTAAAGTACCACAACTTTTTAAATTGTTTTTAAATTTCCAAAATTATTTATTTTACTTGTGGGTAAAATATTGATAAAACGATTTTTTTAAGTAAACAAAATTATTTTTTTGTTTGCCACAGTAGTGCCAACAATTTTATTAGGGTAATTTGGATGCGCTGCTACCAAAAATGACCATCATTTTGCTTAATTAGCCTTTGTTTTCGAGATATTGTGAAAAAAACGTTTTCTTCGATATATCGCATAATATATATATTATATGCAAATTTTTAGAATCATATTACGTAGTAATAACTTATTACTATTCAAAATTTTAAACGCGATGAAATTTGAAATTAAGAGTTGGGTTTTTTACCGAATTTTTATTTCGGCATAATACCAGATCTGATACCATTAGACTTTTTCTTATTGGGTCACTTAAAATCTGTGGTCTACAAAACTGTTTCACGACAACAAAATGGTTTAATTTGATATAACGAGACCTAGGAATAAATAATTTTAAAAATTATTTTGTCTATTTTTCAAAAATTAAACTATTTAAAAGTATTTTTTTAGTACTGTTAAATAGCAATTTTTAAGATTTTTCCAATGAGGTATCAAAATATATCTTTTTGAGGTCGAGCATTGCTCGTTTTTAAATAGACACCCTGTATGATTTTGTGAGACATCAGACATTTTTTTTACAGCACAGATTCTAAGGATTTTTTTTAAATTGCATGGTTTCCATTTAGCAGTGTATTTTGTATCTTAAAAATAAGACTTCATAATAATTATTATATAACTTTTTTACTAATAACACTGTGATACAAAATTAAGGTTTGCGAAAGGGAATGGAATAAAACCAAAAGCAAATAAAAGTTTATACTTTCCACAAGAAAACCCTCTCAGGGTTTTTTTATATCACGTCTCAGTTTTTTTTTGTACGCATTTAAAGATGGTAAATTTTTTGACACCCTATAGGAAAAACATAAGTAAAACTATGTTATTATTCAAAATAATTTTGTCAATTTGATCGAGGAATCCATTTGTGATGTTAATTTTTACCAAAGACCCTCAGAAGAGGACGCTATCAAAAAATTGTTACTAATTTTTACTATTTTTGAAGGTAAGAAATCCATTTTTGTCATCCGTTTGTTGTAAAATATACCCTAGGTGATATTCGAAAGCAATTTTTAATATTTTGGATTTATTAGTATAGAAAACTTGGTTTTTTAAGAAAAAATAGCATTTTTACTTCTTAACTAAACATTATTAAATTCGCTATTTTATTTTTATTTAAAAACTATCACTGCTGTAACCGGCAGTAACACGAGTACCAGAAGTTCCAGCTGTTCGTCCAAAAATTGATAAAAATGCAAAATATAATTAATATAATCAAAAATACCATGTTTTAGTATAAAAATAAAAAAAATACCTGAATTATACCACAACATTGGAACACCAAATTTCATTGACTTCTTTTTCTTTTGTGATCATTTAATTACATTGTTATTACAAGTTCTGCAAACTTTTCAACATATTCAATTATATGTATACCGTAATATTGTAGGTAAAATTTTTTACATTTTTATATTTTGGAACTAAGTTTTGTTTTATATTATATTGTCCTTTAAATAAAAAAAAATAATTTAATTAAATATATTAATTAAAAAAAACGTTTTATGTTGCTGTCACTGATTTACTATATAGTACATAATATTATGTGTTTTTAAGTAAACAAATCAATTTTACCTTTAAACAACTTCGTTTTTGCTACAAAAACTTTTTTTTTGTTTTTATCAAAACAGGAAAATGGCATATTCGCCCTTTTGCAAAAATACCATCGATATATTACCACAAAAAAATGTAGTTTTTGTATACAAGTATTGTGTTTTGATTAAAGCATTAAAGAGAATATTTTTTTTTTATAAAAATGCCCAATTTTCTAGTAAAAAATGCTCTTTACTTGGAATGGATTCCTCGACTATATTGCCAGAATAATTTTAAAAAATTAAAATTGTTTTACTTATTTTTTTCCTATTATAGGTTGTCCAAAAATCTACTAACTTTAAATGCGTATAATAAAAAACTGAGACGTGATCTAAAAAAAACCTCATAGGGTTTTTTTGTAGAAGCTATTACCTTTCATTTGCTTTTGGTTTCATCCCATTCCCTTTTGCACTGTTGCACTGTTTAATTATCCAATAAATTTCTCCAAAACAAAATTGTATGGAATTAAAAGTACCTACTACGAAATTGCTATTTAACTTTTTGACCTAATATCAATAGTTTAGTTTCTAGATTAAATTACTCGTATTTTTAACAAAATAAAGTATTTTATTTATAGGTGAAATTTTATTGATAAAATCGACTATAAAATTTTTTGTAGATAATTAATGCTTTTTAAGAATCATCAGTAATATAAACAAAAAAATGCCCACAGAGCAAAATTTAAATACATTTTCCTGTGATATAACTATGGAAAATTTAAAAAACGATGAAAACTGAAATTAAGGTTTTTACCGAATTTTTATTTCGACACACCTAAAGAATTTTCAAATTACATCGAAAAAAGTTGTTATCACAGATTTATTTTTATGTATTAACAATAGAGTGATATTTTTAATTAGATAAAAAATATCACTTAAGAATTTTTATTCTACGAATTAATACTATCATAGCAGATATTTTAAAATTAGATTTAATATTTATGCTAAACTGATATTTTTTATTTTGTGAATCTAAAATATCTGTTTCTATTATTTCTATTTTTTGTTAAACGCACATTTTTAATTCGCTTAATTAAAAATTAGATTTAATTTTTATACCAAACTGATATTTTTTATTTAGTTAATTTAAAATATTTGGTTCTAATATTTGTATTTTTTTGCCAATCACATATTTTTAATTCGCTAAATTAAAAATATCATAGAAGAAATTTTTAAATGTATTGAAAATATCATAGGAGATACCTACATACATATTTTTAATTCGATTTTTATTTTATTAAATAAGCAGATATTTTTAATTAAATGTGATATTTTTAATTCCGACTGATTGAGAGTTTGGACACCCCTGTTATTCACGTACATCGTAGATCCCAGTGATTGTGCCGCCATCTAGCTACAAAATTAGTTGAATTAAAAATTTCTTCTATGATATTTTTAATGCATTTAAAATTTTCTACTATGATATTTTTAATTTAGCGAATTAAATAAAAAATACAAATTTAACAAAGAAATATTTCAAAATTCACCAAATTAAAAATATCAGTTTAGCATAAAAATATAATTTAATTTTTAAATATCTAATATATTATTAATACGTAAAGGAAAAATTCTTATATGATATTTTTTATCTAATTAAAAATATCACTACACATAAGAATAATTCCTGAATAAAAAATGAAACGCCGCCCCATACAGATTCTAAGAAAATATTTTAATTGGATTTAAATATGATTCCTATTAATTAATTAAAGTACAACGCTAAATTTCTATTTAACATATTTAATATTACAGAACGATACTTTTAACAATAATCTCAATTTACCTGCAGGAACAGCAGCTGCAGAACGCAGCCGAGCCGCTCTACGACAACGAACAACCGTCCTGCAGCAGCACGTACGGCATGATAGGCAACGCGTACGGCAGGATCGACGTGATTGGCCACGGCATCGGGCGCATCGAGCGCCATCTGTCCTCGTCGTGCGGCAGCATCAACTCGAATCACTACGCCGCCTTGGACACGGTGTACGGAAGCTGCAGCGGCGCGGCCGGCGGCGCCAACTTAAACCAACGAAGTAAGCTTTCCTAAGAAACGATTTTGTCTGTCGACAGACGTCTTTACAACATTTTAAAAATTGAAAGTTGATACCAGGGTCGATAATTTAAAAATAATAGTAGGATGAAACCGGAAGAGAATATAACAAAAATGAAAGGAAAAATAATTTACGGGCGATCTGAGGTCGGGAAGTGGAAGGGGGTGAGTTTTTAAGGGTAAAAACGGTTTATCTCGATTTTCGGCAAAACTACAAGTCCTATGGAAAAAAGTTATATGGAAAGTTGTAGGTAATAAAAAGATCTACAACTTTTGTATTTACACTTTTTTTATATAACCTCAAAACTTATGTGAAAAATTCAAATAACGATGTTTTTGGTTTTTTATTTTTATTTTTCAAAAAAAAAATTTTTCCCACGAAATTTAGTGAAAACTTACCTTTTTATATCCCAAACACACTGTAATTTTTGTGATTTAAAATATTTATTTTTTCACCTTATTTTGACTTAAAAAGCACCCTAATTTTCAATCGAAAATTCTCGCGTCAAAATATCAGCTTTTTTAAAAAATCGGTGGGCTTTTGGTTCGTTGAAATCTCTACTTTCTTATGGTGTAAAAAATATACATTTAAATCGTACTATTGAATTTAGATACTTTATACGTTATTCATTATAATATTTTTAAATACATTAATCTTGTTATTTACTCATAGTTACCTTATCTTGAATTCTAATCACTTATCTATTAGTTTTTGTCTCTTTAATGGCATTTCTTTATCGTTAGATTCGACAAACCTTTCCAATTCTAGTAGATCTTCAAAATCTTCAAGACCATCACCGTCTAATGATTAAAAAAAAATTCGGATTCGAGTTTTTTTCGTTTCTTTGCATTTTCTGACAACATTTACCATAGTCATGTATATTTTTTATACACTATCAGAAAGTAGAGATTTCAACGAACAAAAAGCCCACAGACTTTTTTTAAAAAGCTGATATTTTGACGCGAGAATTTTTGATTGAAAATAAGGGTGCTTTTTCGATATTAAGTCAAAATAAGGTAAAAAAAATAAATATTTTAAATCAAAAAAATTACAGTGTGTTTGGGATATAAAAAGGTAAGTTTTCACTAAATTTCGTGAAAAAAAAATGTTTGTAAAAGATAAAAATAAAAAACCATAAACTTGGTTATTTGAATTTTTCACATAAGTTTTGAGGTTATGTGAAAAAAGTGTAAATACAAAAGTTGTAGATCTTTTTATTACCTACAACTTTGCTATTTAACTTTTTTCCATAGGACTTGTAGTTTTGCCGAAAATCCAGATAAACCGTTTTTACCCTTGAAAACTCACCCCCCGTCCACTTCCCAACCTCAGATCGCCCGTAATTTATTTTTCATTTAATTTTTGTTATATTCTCTTTCTTTTCCAATGGGTTTCATCCTTCTATTATTATTTTTTCACTTTTTACCATTTGCAAAGGCTTCAGCCCTGGACTATATAGAATAGTACATTCTGTAACAAGTTTGGAATACAGCATATTCCGCTCGAGGAAAAATTTGACACACGAGCCGAAGGCGAGTGTGACGGTTTTACGAACGTGTTTCAGACATTATTTTCTCTACGACTACGTAAGAATAGTAGCGCTTATATAATTTTAAACAGAGAAAAGAAACCAAGCAGTTTTTGACATTTAAGTTTTTTGTATTGTCAAACCATTTTGTGCCATCACAATTTTATAATGTAAATTATAATAAATTTAAACAAATGGTATGCCTAAATCTTTATTATAATTAAAAATAGTTATTTACACTAACTAATAAAAAAAATAACATTGTAACAAATACAAAACTAATTTTACAAGTAATCTATTCTTTTTCTACATTTTAAAGGTCTTTTTTTAAACTTTTTGAATCTGTCAAAACTTCAAAGCCGGTATAGTAGGTAACTGGTTTATCATTTTAATATCAAATTTATTATAATTTTGATTTGTATATTTGAAAAACAATAAATTTAACTAATTTTTTGTGCCTAAACCTTAATTATACAACTGCTATTATTTTTTAATTAATAAATAATACAGTAATATTTAAATATTTTTAAATTTTTTACGGTTAGTAAACAGCCAGGAGATGTCGTTACTTGTGACCATTCTTAAACAAGAGTAGGAATATTCTCGCACAGTATTGCAGAAAAACATCCTTTCTATGATCAAAAATTACACTAGAATGTTACTATTCTTAAGTAGTCGTAGAGAAAAACATGAAAAAACTGCAGGTATTACATTTTATAGCCATGCCGCTGCCCGTTCCGCCGCCACTGGACCGCACCGGCCGCATCAGCAAAGTCTCGGTCCAATGGCTGCTGGCCAACAAGTGGTTGCCGCTGTGGATCGCGAACACCGATCAGGGAGGCCGCGATTATCGAATCATCGATTTCCTGCTGGCTCAGGGTTTGGAACAGGACGAAGACGAGGACGACGACGAAGACGGCGCCGCTGTCGCTGCTGCCAAAGACTCCGAAACGCAACACAAAAATTAGACCGCTAGAGGTACGTGCAAGTCTTTTAATTGCGAATGTCTTCATTACTTTTAATGGGAGGTCAAAGTGCGGCCTATAAAAATTGTACATCTGCAAATTATCTACAAAAAAGTTAATATTATAGTTATTAAATAATTTTTTCATTAAAGCGTTAAAGAAATATTGTAACGATAAACTAAAGTGTATGGAAAATGTGCAAAAACCATATAAAATGGTTTGTCTTTAACTTTACAACCATAATAATATATTATGTATCAAGCCAAGCTTGCTAGCGAGTGGTTAATAAAAAACGAGTGTCTAAATAAGTTTATAAAACGAGTTGCATGCTATACTTTATCTACGACGAACACAAAAAAAGTTAAAGCCAATTTTAATTCATAAATATTTGACATTGACGAATTTAACCTCGCTTTTTCGCAATTTAAACGCCATTAAGTCAAAGCTTGTCAATATAGGAGTAGATAATAGTTATTTGTTTTACAAGTGTTGAAAAGCGACTTTTTCATGCGAGTTTTTAAGTTGCCCACGAGGCCGTTAGGCCGAGTGTGCATTAACACGAGCTTGAAGAAATCTTTTCTCACAAGTATAACACAATGTTTTTTCTGCGACCCTTTTATTTTTTATTATTTTTGAATACAAAACAAAATAACCTAAAAACTTTTTTGACAGCTGAATGTCAAACGATGGTTTCCGGTTCTTTTCACACAGACCTGTCACTTTTCACACAGAAATGTCACTTTACATTCGTGTTTTGCCTTGCCAGTGAAAAGATTCATTTTCTAAGCAACGATGCCATCATGAAAAGTGACTTTTACATAGTGGTCGTAGAAAAAAACAATTGTAATATTTTGAAATATTGTTATTTTATAGATAAAATATTTCAAAAACACAATAGACATACACTGCCCGTCAAAATTAACGCATAATAAGTAAAAAATTCTAACTCTAAAACGACTTTACCAATCTTCCAATTTACCAACCTCTCAAAAAATTTGTGGAATGCTATGAAATACCGTATTTTTGTAAGTATACCCTGAAAATGTTGTACAAATCAAACAAACAGTAACGAAAATACAGCGCTTTAAAGTCGTCAAAAATGACCACTTTTCAGCAAAATAATCAAAAAGGGGTAATTTTTACCGACTTTGAAGCACTGTATCTTCGTTACTGTTCGTTTGATTTGTGCAAAATTTTCAGGGTATACTAACAAAAATACGGTCTATAACAGCATATTTTTTATTTACTTAAAAAAAATTTCCCCTAAAAGTTTTTTTTTATTATTAAATAAAAGGGCTTTAAAAATATTTTCTCGAAAAACCCTCGAACACGTAAACTGAGATATAAGTTGAAGTATTTTTATACAAAATTTCATAAAGATTGGTAAAGGGGTTTTAGAGTTTAGAATTTTTTTACTTATTATGCGTTAATTTTGACGCGCAGTGTATAATGGGCGACTTTTTTTAAATCATTCAGGTAAAAATAAAATAATACTTATTTTGCGTTAAAATTAATAAAAAAGCATAAAAAATACAAAATCAAAAGGTGCTCGATATTTGCATTTCCCGCCATAACTAATAAGAGGGAATATAACAACCAACAAATTAGTTCATTTTCTGTTTATAAGCGTTTAAAAATGCTTGAGCATCTGCCATCTCTAAATTAAAGTTATTTTTATGTATTTCCTGTCCATTGGCAAACTTTATTTTTCAAATATGGGACAAATCAATGTTAAGTGTAAGTTTTAAAAAATATAAGAATAAAATGATCTTTAAGGGGTTCTGAAAATTGCTGAGCCAACAAAAGAATTCTGCACAAAAAAGGCTGAAATTTCAAAGTTAGAAATGGCCCTTGGCTATACCTAATCCCTACCTTTCTATTTTTAAATAATTGTTCAAAATTAATTTTCTTATAATGCATATTTTATTATATAAATTGTAGCAATTTTTTTAAATTTTACCCAGGGCAAATAAAAAAGATTTTAGTATTAAAATCTTTTCTATATTAAAAAATTAATTGAATAAATAAAAACATACTAATAACAAAAATAATGAAAAGTTATAAGGGGCTGTCCCAAAAAATTCCTAAAATTTGGCTTAAATCTTAAAAACTCCTAAAATTCTCCTAAAATTGCCATCAATCTCCTAAAACTCCTAAAAATTAAATATAAGTAAGCCAACTTGACTGTGTTTAATTAAGGTATGTAGTTGTGATAAAAAATTTCTTTTTTAAAAAGTAATTTAAAAGTTATATATTTTTGGGTTCTAGTTTATTAAATTCTTTTTAAAATGATATAGGTATCACAACCTACATTTTTCTTAAAAAACAACAAAATATACCATAAAACAAAATCCATGTAGTAGCTTCTAGACTTCTACAAAATTGTCATTTTTAGTCATATTTCGTTAGTTTTCGACAAAAATATAGGTACCGTGTTATATATCAAACAATAGGATTTTTAATTTTATTTTAAATGATAGCTAAAATAGTAAACAATCTAAAGAATGTTTTGCTGTATCATGCACTTTATATTTTTTCTATTATGAGATTTTTTAGTAACAATAACATTGCAATTATTGTTAGTTAACTAAACTGTTAATTTTTTTTTTCAAAATATAAATATAACATCATTAAACTTTGGCCTACTTTTTTAGCCATATCTATCGACGCTTTTTTTTTTAAATAAAATTAAAAGTTTGGTGAAATTTCTACTTGTAGATATATACCTACAAAAGTAGTAATTTTACCTCACTTTTCATTTTATTAAAAAAAATCGTCGAGCGATTTGGCTAAAAAAACTAGTCAATATAACCTATTTGTACAAAAGAAGTGATATTTATTTATATTTTTGTTAAAAATAATTACTTATTTTTTTCTTATTTTTTATGTATAGTGTAGAGTTGTTTTTATTTAATTAAATAAATTCATTTGCTTACTTTTTTCTCCTAAAATTCTCCAAAAAAACCTCCTAAATTCCTAAATAAAATTTGTAATTTAACCGTGGGAGCCCTGCAAAATACTTTGTAATAAAGTATGTCACATCTATTTAGGGAATTACAGACCCCCCTCCATCCATGTCACGCATGTGTGACGTACTTTATAAACGACCCCTAAGTTATAAAAAAGGAACAAAAATCAGCCTTCTTAAACTACACAGAACAAATGGTTTGGGACCTTTTTTCAACTTCATTTTCCACACAGCTTTTAAGAAATAAATTGTTTAAATTTGGTTTTATATGCATTTTTATTAATAATTAATTAAGGAAGAGGTAAAGAAATTACAATTGTTTAAAAATGTCAAATTATTAAGCAATAAAAATATCATAACATTGTTAATATTTCAAAAATTCCATTTACTCCTACAATTAAAAATTAGAGAAAAGTAAGGTTAATTCCGTTGACATTTGACAGATGTCAAATGTTTAACAAATAAAATTTAATTTAATTTCTTCTTTGTGGTCGTCGTAGATAAAGTATAGTAGCAACTCGTTTTATAAACTTATCTAGACACTCGTTTTTATTAAACACTCGCTTGCAAGCTTTGCTCGTGCTTAATAAAACTCGTAACTAAAATGGCGTTTATAAAACTTGATACATAATACAGGGTGTTTCAATAAAAACTCCCAGGCCAATTATTTCGAAAACTAAAAGTGACATTTAAATTCTGTAAACGTCAGTTTTTAGCCTCTATGATTGGCTTTACAACTGCGTAAAAAATGTGTTTGATTAATACAAGATGTAGGTGGCGCCACTGTGCAAATAATTTTTTCGATGGCAGGTACTTTTAAATTAATTTTTGATCAAATTATGTCCCATACAAATTTTTGATAAATCCAACATAAACGGAGATATTTGGGGTTAAGTTTTTTTTTTTAAATAATTTTAACGAGTATTTTAATTATAAATATTTTTAATATGCTTTGGCAGATGTTCATTTAATTCGGGTAATGATAATTTTAGTGATAAAACGCTCGTGTAGCGCTAACTAGATTAAAATTATTACGTCCAGTGACGTCTCAGGGGGCCCCTTAACAAATAATATTGGCAAAAAATAATACCCCACTGAGTGTCTGGTAATTTTTAAATTTTTTTCGGATTATGCAACTAAAAATATCCTTTTTTGTCTGTTGAATTGTTTTCATATCTTGCTTTGTTTTCGAGAAATAAAAATAAAACCATTTCACTGCATATCTCTGGAAAACAATAATCATTAAATAAAAACAAATGAATGTTAGAAACATCAAGTAAATTTTTCTTCACTTCACTTATTGTCAGTGTAAGAATTTGCAATTTCTAAAATAAAAATGGTTCACCATACAAATTAAGACAAATTGAACATACATGGTTTTAGTTTATAGAGAATGACATCAAAATGCTTCAGAAGCTGTGCGCTGCTATCGAGACCAACGCCAGGTCGCAAATCTTTTGTAGCTTTGTGTACCAACTTAGCTACATATGGTAGCTTTAAAAAGGAAACGGTTCCAAGAAGGAAGAGGGATACGACTGACAAAAATGTAGCTTTAGTCCTCCAATCAGTAAAAAATAACCCACAAACGTCATTACGAAAATTAAAAGATGAAATAACCAGCGCAGATTAAACTTTTTGACACATTTTCGTATTCTTTTGGAAGAAAATCCAAATTTATTAAACCAAATTTTGTGGAGTGACGAATCCCGGTTTAACAATAATGAAGTAATTAATAAACATAATTGTCGCTACTGGTCCCAGGAAAATCCTAACTGGATACGACAGACCAAATTTCAAACACGATTTGGGGTAAATGTTTGGTGCGGTATTGTAAATGGTTACATAGTCGGGCCCTATTTGTATCATGAACATTTAACTTCAGTTCGTTATTTAAGTACAATTTATGCAAAACGATCTCCCTTTGCTGTTACAAAATTTGGGAATTGACGTAAATACTATGTGGTTTCATCAAGACGGTGCCGCAGCACCCAATAGCAATATCGTTATGAATCATCTAAATGCCGTTTCCAGTAAAAGTGATCAGCACAAATGGGGATCTTAGATGGCCAGCAAGTTCCCTGATTGACTTTTATTTAAAGAGCGGCTTACAAAATGAAGTCTACAAGGAACCAATTGACCTGTACAACAAAATCTATGTTACTATGGCCGCTATTAATCGAAATACACTATTGAGAGTTTGCAGAACCGAATTATTATATCGATTTGATATGTGTGTATAAAAACGGCAATAATTTTGAACACCTCATTCGACCTTATTAGTTAGTTTTGTTCTAATTTTCATTAATAATTTTGTATAATTTCTCCCCAGTTCTTTCATAAAATTTAAAACATTCTTTAATTTTATTTTATTATGTTTTAATGTTTCACCTTTGTTTTTAAACAGCAACAAATATAGCTTATTAATAATTTATCGTTTTGTTTCTTAATGAATTTTGTTTTCCAAATGGTTTTATTTTTATTTCTCGAAAACGAAGCAAGATACGAAAACAATTCAGCAGACAAAAAAAGGATATTTTTAGTTGCTTAATCCGAAAAAAATATAAAAATTACCAGAAACTCGGTGGCGTATTATTTTTTGCCAATATTATTTGTTAAGGGGCCCTCTGAGACGTCACTGGACGTAATAATTTTAATCTAGTTAGCGCTACACGAGCGTTTTATCACTAAAATTATCATTACCAGAATTAAATGAACATCTGCTAAAGCATATTAAAAATATTTATAATTAAAAACCTCGTTAAAATTATTAAAAAAAAAACTTTACCCCAAATATCTCCGTTTATGTTGGATTTATCAATAATTTGTATGGGACATAATTTGATCAAAAATTAATTTAAATGTACCTGCCATCGAAAAAATTATTTGCACAGTGGCGCCACCTACATCTTGTATTATTCAAACACATTTTTTACATAGTTGTGAAGCCAATCATAGAGTCTAAAAACTGGCGTTTACAGAATTTAAATGTCACTTTTAGTTTTCGAAATAATTGGCCTGGGAGTTTTTATTGAAACACCCTGTATACTATTACCTCTATTAATTAATTATTAATAAAAGGCTGCAGTTTTGTGGCCCTTTATTTCTTTAACGCTTTGTTATAGTTAAAGAATGTACTTCAACTTTGTTGTTGACAATTTAATTATCTACAAATTTTGTTATTAACATTTTTACGTCCCGCTAACAGGAAAAAAGATGTTTCCAAAATAGTAACCTTACGTTAAGGAAATATTCTCATTTCCGTTATTATTATTATTAAAAATAAGCATATAATAAAAATTGTTTAACACTGCACCCGTGTAGATTCGTTCCTTTTTATCGAATTTAGTTAGTAACCAAAATATTTTTTATATAATCTCAGTATTAAAACATTTAAAAAATTACTTTGACTGATTGTTGATGGTTTATTTGAAGGTAAATTGTGATTTCAATTAGGTTGTATAGAGAGGAGAAGCCAATTTTTATTGTTAGATTTTAACGAGAATTAGGATTTAGGTAGTTGTGATCTTGGGCTTCTAAACAAAAAAACACTGTGAATATATTATATACAAGAGATTTAGGTATGTTAATATTATGTAAGTCTTAAGTTTATTTATGTAATAGGTGTACAAATAAAATATTTATCGTTGATGTTTGCTTCCTTTACTTATTTATTTACATTTAATAATTTTTAAACAGTTTTTCAACATAATCAACAATATCTGACACATGCACTTGTTCCTAAAACAAAACAAAAACATAATAACAAAGAATATACTAGTTGGCTTAATAGCGTTGTATGGAAGTGCAATGAAATGTAACTGACAAAATACATACTTTTAAGGTGGTATCCCTGCTTCTCAGTAAAGTAACACCATCTTTTAACGTGTTGTCGTTTAAAATTATATTGTAGGGGATTCCCATCTGATCATACTGTTGCCATTGCTCCTCTAGCTTTAATTTCGAACAACTTGGCAACATTAAAGTGGATACATGATTATCCCTTAATTGCCTACATAAAAATAATGCCAAATCGCACAATTCTGACAATGTTGATGCCTCTGAAATAACATTTAATAGAATGGACTGTATTTTTTGAATGGGGGAGACAATGCACAATATGTTCTGTTTTTTGTCACACTTTCCAGGAAATACTGCCCTGTTAAACTAAACCACTGTATCTACCATATTAAGTAGGTAATGAAGGATAAAAGATATTTTTTTTGTTTTTAACAAATGCACTTTCTGGCCGGGTTGGTCTGTTATAAGGCATTTTAACGATAAATTACCGTTCTCAAAACAAAACTCATTTTCCAGAAGGTAGTAAATAAAATACATACATTGTCTTGACTTTCTTCACAAAAAAAAATACAGGGTGTCCCATGGTCAACAGATCTCTTTTAAAGATTAGTTTCAAGTTGACTAAAAATAAATTTTAAGTTTTTCTTCAGAAAAACTCGGTGAAATTAACTCAAGTGCAATAGTACATTCCTTAATGTGTGCAGGAGCTTTTTTAACGAAAAAGTTTGCAAGACAAGCTAAAGGCAAGGTTTCCAATCTCATTCATTAAAAAAGCTTTTCTGCACAAGTTAAGGACAGTATTTTTCTCAACAACGTGAGAAAATGCGAGTTTTTCGAATCAAGGAGTGGCGAAAGTTGCACTTTCGCTATTGCGTTAAGAAAAAGTATTACTAGTAGAATAATCAAAAAAATTACAAACTGGATTTTTTATGTTATTCCTGGTGGTCTAAATGATAACATTCCAAATTCCAGTGCTCCCATCTCCGACATTTTTATGATTTAAATCGTATTATCGCGTTTCCTATTGGTCAGAAAAAAATGTGTTAAAACAAAAAATGTAGAGCTTTAAATTTTCTGTATTAGGTACTTAAAAGTTAACAAAACAAATTTTTATTATTTTAATATTAACAACTCGAAAACGGTTGACCAAATAATATTAAAAATAAAATTATTATATTTTTAAATATATTTTTGAGATCTACATTTTATTTAGCATTTTTTGTTTCAATCAATTTTAGAGGGTTTAAATATAAAAAACTAAATTTTTTTAAATTTGGTACCTAAATACAAAAAGTTTTTGCCTGTAAATATGTAAAAAAAAATATCTTGAAACTTTTTTATGTGACCAATGGGAAACGATATAAAACGTTTTTTTTTGCATTTTGCAACTTTTAGACTGGATCACAGATTATAAAAGATAATCTTAATACAGATTGACTGTACTATACAAAACGTTTAAAATTTTTCGAAGATAATATGCAAGCCTGTAGATAAATCCCAAAAATTATTGAATTTAACTTTGACAGCAAACTTCAAAAAGTTAAGAGCATGACTATACGCTTTTGACAGTGCACATGGAACACCTTGTATACAGGGGCCTTACATTATCTATGGGCCTTACTTTGTGATGTAATAGCAAAACTGAGTTTATAAGGTGCCAGTTTTCTGTGGAAATGCAGTAGAGGTCTTGGTTTTCCTTGAGATACTGGTTCTTCATAAGAATCACATAATGCATTTAGAAACATGGCTGTTGTGGAAATATCGCTGCTTATAATGTCTGGGTAAAACGTAGTTTTGCCTTCTTTAAACTGAAATTTAATAAAAATCGTTTAAAGCAACAGTGTTTAATTTATTTAGCTTACTTCTAGATTTTTCTTTTTTCTTCCATCATTGTTTAAAGTTAGAGTTTCCAATATTTGTTTTCCCCATTCATATTCAGCAATTATATCAATTCTCTGTGTTCCCTTATCACCATTTTTTATGTCTGAATAACAGTATCTACCTGGATTGGCTGAAAACTATTTTTCTGTTATTGACTTTGTTCAAAATTTCATTTTATTAAATGTTTTTAGTAAATCATTTTAAAAATTGCATTTATTAAAATTATGATTATCAAAAAACAAAGCCTATTTATAAAAAATACTTAAATTCTTACTTTTCTCCACCACATCTTTCTTTGCTTTTGAAACTGATGAAAAAAGTGTGTTGAAGTTTTTGGAGACACATAAAAATTGGTTTTTAAATTATAATCGTTTTCCAAGGTATACATTCTAAAATCAAACTTGTTGCCACTTTCCTTAACCAAATCCACCCTTTCTTTCATGGATTTTTTATTTCGTAATACATCAGCAACACCAAAGGGTAAAACATTACATAAATTTCTTGCATATTCAACAGTCTCATCAAAATCGTTTTTATTTAAGAAAACAGTATGGTCCTTGTTAATAATGCTACTATTAAACCATTCATTACGTAAATTAGCCTGAAAATTAAAATATTTATTTTTGCAATTAATCTTTATGAAACACTACCTGTAATAAAGCACCTGTGGGAAATATTGTGATGATATCCTGTTTTAAAGCTGCATTATAAGTTTTTTGAAGAAAACCTCTATTTTCACATAATGTTAAAATTTTGTTCATTTTTTATTTTCTTCCTCTTCATGTAAAGGATTTTCTCTTGCTTCTAAAGGTATGTTGCCTGGTGGGGCCACAAAATAATCCTCTTCTATTAAAGCGGCGTTTCTAAGAATATCTTTTTTACAGTTTCCGTCAGTGACAATGTCCTCCCTTACCCTTAAAGGCCTAAAACAACAATCAAATATGAAAAAATAAATATCATATTTTATTTTAACATACTTATCCTCCAATACCGTCACTAAAGGCTCAACTCCTTCAGTATTAACCTGTTGAATTTGATCGGCAAAGGCAATTGCTGCTTCCAAAGTTTCAATACCTTTTCTGTTAGCACAATCAACTAAAGACAATCTTTCCAGCAAATTTATAGTATCGATATCTATTTTTGTCTTTGGAGGCAACTTGCTCAAATCTATAGCAGATTTAACAGGATTTTTTGGCACTAACTCGACCAAGTCTTTCTTTTCGATTTTGTGTATTGATGACTTAACACTGCAATAAAAGCGAAAACTAGGGTATAATCGTAGATATGTAAGCTTATTCATGACATGCACGTTTGATATAATATAAGCTATAAAGCCGAGTTTTTAAAATTTAAAAATTATAACCTATATTATAACCTCAAAAATGTAACTGTCAGTATACTAGAACTACAACAAGTTGACATTTCATATTAAAGTAGTTGTAGTCTACTACTTTTATTTGAAATGTCAAAAAATAGTTTAAATGTCTCATAACTTTAACCTCAAAATTTTCACCAGAGTGGTATTTTCACTTAAAAATGAGTAAATACGCAAATTACGTCCAATTAGGCAAACAAGCCACAGAATACTCAAAACGAATGTCCAGATTAAGCAACAGAATATTCGGTGAAGTAGCCAGACCGACAAATTCAAAGTCCATGAAAGTTGTGAAGTTATTTAGTGAAGAACCAGTGAATTTAAGGAAAGATATACATGGGTATTACCCTAGACATGTCGAAACAGGGTTGTTGATGATGAAGTTGAGGGATTATGGACTTTACAGAGATGAACATGCTGATTTTAAGGAAGAAATGGAGAGGATGAGAGAAATGAGGGGAAAGGCAAAACCTAAAAGAGTTCCTATGGCCTTAAGGGGGGATAATAAGAAATAAGTTAAAATAAGTGTGTTATAGTGTAAATAAAAATTATTATAAAATAAATTCCTTTTATTTCCTTAATATAAAAAAGACTATGATTCTAAATTTATTTAGGTTATAAATCATCACAGTTCTTCACTTGACTTTCTTTTATTATTTGGTTTGTTTGTTTTGCTCTTCTCAGACTTCACTTTACCACCAGTTTCACCTTTCAATTGTTCATACAAACAGGATTTATCGTTGCTATCCAAAACCCTGTCTTCACATAGATATTTTTTTAATGTTTGTTTACCTTGATGGTTGAAATACCACTCCTCAATCTCACTATCATGTTGTTCTAGTAAAGTTTCACATTGTGTTTTCATGTTGGTTATTTCAACACTTGGATTATCCCAAAGTTCATATGGAATTCCTAATTCAACTTTAACTCCTTTATCAACCAAACCATGTAATGTTTGGAATGTTTGGCTCATACCTTTAGCAAATCTAGTACTATCCCCCCTTTCCTTGTGTATATTGTATTTAAGAATCCTATCACATATTCCTTCAAGAGATTCTACAAGTCTCAGCTCAGATTTTTTGTATTCCTTCTTTTTCTTTGGTTTGACATCATCAACTGCATAACCTGTTTCTATTACATCACTACTTTTACCAGTTTCTTCCAGTCTGTCTTCCAACTCTGTTGTGAGTACTTTACATACTGAAACAGAAATTGTTATAATAACAGTTGATAAAAATATAACTATTATAGGTATGAATATATCAAAAACTACACTCTTATTAGAGTTTCACGATTTTATTTTAACTTAGGAATTGTTTCGCTATAAGCTTGGTTATTCGTTTCTTATTTGGTCATTGAGTACAGATATCAGGTTTTTTCTTAAATTTATTAATTTACAGAGCTTCAACAAATTTTATATTGTCAAAATACCCAACATGAGATTGGCAAAACAGTTCAGAATATAAACTACGGTTTTTTATTGCCCTTATTCAATCCCTTTGGCTTAAAAAAAACTCGTATTGTGTAGGTAGTTTTAAATTAACCTAAAAATGTTACCTTCGCATCTATTCGCATATTTCACTCCCTCATCTTCCTCTGTTACAGAATTAACTAGCTTTGAAGTCGACAAAACTATTAACAACATAAAACACTTACAGTTCATATTCGTAAAAGGCCGATAAAGTAATAAAACGTATCTGAGAATTTCGTAAATAAGTTATGTTGCGCATGTCACTGTTGTGGAGTTCAATCATTGGATTTTATAATCGTTGATTTAACGAAAGCGTTTTGGTCGATAAAAAACAATTTATGTTTAGTTATACGGCTTCAGCGAATATGATTAGATTAGATAAGTGATATTTGATAGGATTGAACATTTTTATTGGATAATTAAGGTAATGATACTTTTGAACTACTGTCATTAGCTTATACGAGGAGTGATCAAATAATAAAATATATTTTTAATTTTATTGTGTTATCCACAATCCACAATTGTGTGGATTGTGGTGTTATCGTTGTCATTGGTACCATCGGTGGTATACCACGTTGTAGGAGAACGAAACGGGCAAGAAATTGCCTACAGAAAAACTACGATAACTTTGAAAATGATCCTAATCTTCTTTTCTTTTTATTCTTTCTTTGATTACCTACACTTGAAATAATTGATTTTTGTACTTGTTCTAGTTTTTTTTTTAATATCCAGAAAATACAGTTCATTTTTTTTATCTGGACTCGTGTTTTTTGTTAGGTTGGTGGCTTATGCCAGTTTGACACTCAAATTGACAATATTTATTATTGATAATTTACTTGTCAATTATAAATAAAAAGATAATTATGCCAAAAATAATAGCAACGAATTCGAATGTAAAAGCCCTTTTGAGGGCAAAACTTCATTTTGATGAAATTATGCCAAATGCAAAAATGGAAGAAAAAGTACATCGCCTTATGGACAGTTTTGGAGTAAAAAAGTAACGAATTTGGTTTTATAAATATTACATCACACATTATTTTCACATTATTCACCATTGGACAACATTTACAAAAAAATTTAATTTCTTTTATAAAAATTCTTTTTAAAGCGAAGATTATTATCCGCTAGGAATACTTTCTCTTCTGGGCCGTAAAGCAACCTATATTTAACTACATTTTGTATATGATTTTACTCATCCAAGCACCACCAAAGCCAAATTAATTGCATTTTTAACTACGAATTTCGACAACTCCACTTTACAACTGCACAATGTAACCTACAATTTATTATTAATTTATACATAACCACAATTAGATTTATAACTAGCTTAGTTTGTTTTAATCAATGCGACCAACTTGACCAACTGTATTTACCAACCAAAACCCTAAATTTGCAACGTTGCCGCAGTCCAGATAAAAAAAAATAGAGATGGGAATCGGAAAGTTTCCATTTTAAGGAAACTTTCCGTTTTGGAAAGTTTCCAATAGGGAATTTATTTTCATTTTGAAAGTTTCTTTTAAGCCACCGGAAACATTCCTTGGAAACATTCTTTGGAAACTTTCCTTGTTTTTTTCATTTAAATGTCAATTGTTTAACCGCTGATTTTCGTTAAGGCCATGATACAAGGCCAAGAAACTTTGAATAAGAATTTAATGTGTGTTAATTTAAGCCGGATTATTTAGCATCATCACAAAAAACCCTGGCATAAAAAAAATATTTTCGCAATAAAAAATTTTTTTTTTGAAACTTTCGGAAAATTTCGGGAATTTTCGATGGAAAGTTTCCGGGAATTTTCGTCAAATGGGAATTTTCCCATCTCTAAAAAAAAAATGAATTTTGTCAAGGCCAGATTTGGATAACCTCTGAAAACTACACCTACCCTTAAGCTATGTCAGTTTCCTTATGGTGTTTTTTATTTCCTTGTGCATTTATATAATATATTATATAAAATTAAAAGCGTATTAATTTTAAGCAATTTATAGAGATATATGTATTTAAGCAAAAACAACGTCAATAATAATTAATAATTTTATGTATAATCAGTAAAGTCTTCCATTTGTTTCTTGGAAGATGGTAAGTCAATGGTGGAGTAAATATTTTCTTCGTTCTTCTTTTCTTGCAATATTTTATTACGAACATTCTTGATTTTTCTCAGTCTTTCCAACCAGTTTGATGCATATGGATCTGTTTGGTGCCTTTCTAGCGAACTTACCACCAAAGATGCCAACTAAAACATTGAATGCATATTCAATTAGTAGGTACCTACTAATTTATGTTTTTCTTCTAAAATTGGAGCTTTAAATTTACAAAATATACTTACATTACAATGTAAAGCTAGCTGCCTTGCTAAAATAGCCACATTTTGATCGGAAACCAACTTTGGTTCACTTATGGAAATAAAATTTTTCAATTTATCTTTCACTTTTACAACAACTCTGTTTGTATTATGATCTAGGGGTTGAATTACAATAGCTGCAAAGTTAAATTGACCCTAAAAAATACAAATTACATGGATCAAAATCAAGAAAGTTTTGATTTTTATAACTTGAACATTTCGGTACATCTGGGTAATTTTAGGAGGCTTATTTTTGGAAAATAGATTTAAACGCGGTATTTGCATCTTAGCATTCTTGTTTAAAGCTTGATTTAAATGCAGGTATTAATTCCGCGTTTCAAATCTATAAACGGCTCTTCAAAATCAAGTTTTTGGTCCTAAATTGGATACGAGGTACAGGTTTGAAGATAAGAAAACGAAACTTTAGCTATTGTTTTATTTGGTTTAGCCTTGTCAATGCTTATTCTGCCTTTCTATGACTATGTTCCTGTTATCTTTATTTACATTTACAAAAGATTTAATTACGTGAAAAAGGATACAAAGAAAACGCAAGCGGAAAATTTTGTTGGAAATAAAAAGCAAATTTTAAAAATCAAACAATTTTTTTCTTATAAAACTTTACGGCAATATCCGTATAAAGGCTTTTCTTAAGTTTTTCACCTTTTCAGATGTTTTTAAGATAACTTTTTTTAAATTTTCTAAATTTAAAAGATTTGGAAAATGTGAATTTTAAAAATGTTGCAAATTTGTATCACCATTTTTATACAGGGTGTCATCAAATAAGTTGTTCAGTATTTATTACAACTTACTGTTTATTGTTAGGATTTTAAGTTTCTATCACTTTTTAAGTCGATGTAGCTAATGTTTTTAAAGGAAACCAGTGACCGCCAAACAAATGCCCAAAAGTTGCGTTAATTTCCATGATTTTTTTTTTATTCAAAAACAGTTGCACCAATGCAAAAGGGATAGAGAAAAATCATGCTTACTTAAGGAATAACAATTTATTTGATAACTTTCCAATTTTTTTTAAATTTTGAACTACTTTGCACATTTGTACTACCATTTTTTTTAATTTATACTGCTCTGCGAATTTTGTTTGAATATTGAAATACAACACTTCAGAAACAAAAATTTGTATTTATATAGATAATTAATCCTATAGGTTTAATTCAACAAACGAATTTAATTGTTTTTCTGACAAAAAATAAATATACGTAATTTCTGTATATTTTATACTGAAAATTAAAGAAATTTTAAAATGTGGATAATAATAATAATAATAATTGGAATTGTATGGAAAAGTCAAACTTTTTTATAAAAATATTTTCAGAGATGCACTATATATTGTGACTGCGACTCGCCCTATCAAATATTTATTTATTGTGCGACTTTAACCGTATTTATTTTAAAGTGTAGATCTTGTTAAATGTATTTTTGGAGCAAAAAACTCCATATTTTTACAAAATACAAGGCTTCTATATCAGTTTTTGAGAGTGAATTTTTAAGAATTCATATGAGCAATTTAAAAAAAAAATCTATGCACAGCACTGTATTCACCATCCCTTAAAACGACCCTATACTAAATTTTATTGAACATTTTTAATTAGCTAAATTAAAAATGCACAATAATTACCATTTACAAAAAATTATTATGTCAAGTTATCTATGAAAAAAAAAACATTCAAATAAAATTAAACTATTAATAAAATGGTGTAAATATTCTTATGCTTAGTTTTAACAAATTAAAAACGCAATAGAAGCTTAAAACAACAATAAAACAAAAATAGAAAATTCCAAATCCACCATTTATTTCAATACACTTTAATATTTGTTCTGGAGTAATGGCTGCTGTATTATCCTAGTCCGTAGTTCTTGTGCAGTATAGATGACAAAAATCTAATTGTAGAGAATTTTTAAATTTTAATTTTTTTGATTTATTGCTTATTGTTTTAAGTTTATATTGCATTTTTTATTTTTCAAAACTAAGCATAGGAATATTTATAGCATGTTACTATTAGTTTAATTTTATTTCAATATTTTTTTCATGGATAACTTGACAGAACAATTTTTTGTCAATAGATATTATTGTTCATTTTTAATTTGGCTACAATATCGTTCCAACTTAAAATTTTTTAATAAAATTTAGTATAGGGTCGTTTTGAGGGTTTTTTAAATCGCTAATATGAATTTTTTAAAATTTACTTTAAAAACTGACATATTAGCCCTTTTATTTTTTATAAATATGGCGTTATTCCGCACAATAAATAACGATTTTACAGGGGTGAGTCGCAAACAAATGGGTAACACTGTACATTATTAAACTAATTTTACTTACCTTAATGGTGTTAATATTGTAATCGTCACCGCTCTCGTTGTAAACAATGGTGACGTAATTGTTGCCGATGTGCAGCTTTTTGTGGTGACAGTTGGGGTCAGTTTCCTTGTTGGGCATCATGGTGGCGACGTGAAACGTCACTCGTATGACGTCATCTTGCCACATGTACCCGAAATCGCCGTCGTTGCCGGATTGCTCGAGGCCGCCCAAGAAAAACACCTGCGGATCGACGTCGGCCAACTTGATCAGAGTGCCCAGGTTTTGCAGGAAATCGACGTAGCGCAGCGAACCGAAGCGGTTCTTCAAAATCTCGACCTCGTTGTTCACCTAGTGTTGCAAACAAGGAAAAGTTCGGTTGAAAAGTTGGAAAAGTTGTTGGAAAAGTTCGGCACCCCCTATATATGAAATGTTGGAAAAGTTGGAAAAGTTATTAGGTGGGAGCCAATGAACAATGAGTTGACTTCTAACCAGTGTTTCCACTACCATACATTTTTTCGGTAGATAATTTGGTCAAAATTCGATATAAATCGCTAGATTTGAAGTGTTTTTAGTAAAACGTGCTAAAATCATTGTTTTTTGGAATAACATTCTGTCAAACTTTATCAAAAATGGTGTCTGCTAACAGCATTTTCTATTATACAGGGTGTTATGTAATTAATGTTATATATTAAAATACTGAATACCTTTTGACATAAGGAGTAAAGGAAAAATATTTAAAAAAATATTTTTCCAAAGATAAAGAAAAAATATGCATTAGAAATTTTTTAGATTTTTTGTGATACGCCACTGGTTTATCTCTGCACACTTGTGTTCTGTGAGGACATAGATACGAACCAACAAAGTAGCTGCGCGTTGCCAGATGTAAAAAATTGTTACTAAAAATTTTTCTTGCAAAAAATAAATTAAAATTCAATAAATAAAAAAGTTTTATGCCCTTAAAGCTCTAATACCCTTCTGTATTTATTTACTCATCCAGCTATTAGCTTAAGCAATGATTAGAAAATTTAGTACCTATTTTAAAAAATCCATAACCACAAAATTAATTTTTTCATCAGTTTTTTTCTTTCTGTTTACTCAGATGAAATTGGGACCAATTAACAGGTTAAACTTTAAACATTTAATTTGTGTAAATAAATCCAAAAGCACTTCCCTTAGTTAAGATATTTACAATTTGAGCACATAACCTAAAATTTGAAAGAAATGCACTAGATTCTGTCATAAAAGTTGGCAGATTTTGTTTGAATTTACCTTCAGTACAAAAATGACATAACCAACAATTAATAAAAACGCCAAATTGACAATTTGCATTGTTAATTTTGTCATTTTTGTAATTAAGCTAAATTTACACAATACTTGGCAACTTTTTTGAAAGATTTTGGAAACAGTTGTTACCAACTATAACATAATAAATCCACCAGATTAACCTAAAGTTCCTAGTCGATCAGTGGCGTACTTTTTGGTAGGATAAAGGTTATTATAAATTATTTTTAGACTTTGGAATTTAGAAAAAAAGTTTGAGGTGCTTCTTTATGGACCCTAAGGAACAACCCATTTTAATATATAACACCCTGTACATATAATAGAAAATGCTGTTAGCAGACACCATTTTTGATTAAGTTTGACAGAATGTTATTCCAAAAAGATTGTTTTATTTTAAATTTATACACAGTATGAAAAAAATATTATTGTTTTTAATTATGGAAATTTGCAAATAATATAAAAGTGGAAAAGAAGAAAGTTTTCTTTTCTTTTTAAATTTTTACTTGTAAATTTCCATAATTTTTAACAACAATAAATTTAATAATTTTTGCTTCATATTTTTTTGTAATTATTTTTTATTTCGTATGTGTTTTTTTAAGGTGTGTATAAATTTCTATTCTTTTTTACTTAAAAAATTTTTTTTTTTTAACTCAAACCTAGTTTATTTTTATTGTGATTATGTTGTCTGTTCATTTTACTTTGTTTGTTATTTTGTTATAAAACAACTTGTTACGTATGTATAAATACATTAGAAATTAATTATTTTAATATATTGACAAGCATTATTTATGTTTTATACGTTTACATTACAAAAAACTCAACTTTTCCAACTTTTCCGAACTTTTCCGAAAAATAAAACCCAACTTTTCAAAAATTTCAACTTTTCACGAAAAGTTGCAACTCTATGTTCACCTGGTCCTGTTTTATGTACAGCACGCCGATCTTGTGCGTCTCGTAGGGCGGGATCGAGTCGAGTATCCTCACGGCGCGCTTCACCGGCTCGCCGGAGCCGATCAGCAGCGGGCGCTCGTTGTCGTTGCCGAAGTAGGCGGCGTGGTACAGCTGCAGGAACACGAAGCTCGGGTTGATGCCGTTCTTCGGCGCCTCCTTCGTCCGCGCGGCGGAGTTCTGCCGGCTGCTCGGCTCGGCGCGCGGCTTGCGCGTCGCCGGGCTCGACACCGCGATCGTGTTGGTGCGCTCGCGCTTCGACGTCTGGTTGGGGTCCGTCGAGGCGAGCCGCTCGATGCTGCCGCTGCTTTTGCGCTCCTTCGCGCGGTCTTTCGCCTGCGTTATGGAGTTTTTCTCGAGGATCGAGGACGACGAGCTCTTCTGGATTTCGTGACCTACAACAATCCAGACAAATTCAACATTTATAATAATAATAATAATAAATGTCTTTATTGATTATAAGAGATACAATCAATGGGCAAAGTTCAGCTTATACAAAGCATGTAATTGCTGCTCTTCCACTTAACCCTTCCTATTATATTATTAAAGCTGTTTTATTGGATTTTTATTGGTTTCAGGCCAAAATTAAATTAGGTTAGGTTAGCTTAGGTTTAGGTATAATTCCACACATAAAATTAATTCATTTTAATTCCCCTTCAACTTAAATATCAATCAAACCATTAATTATAATTTTTAATCCAGATTTAAATTGTTTCCCCTTTAATTTTTTTAATTGTGTAGGTATCAAGTTGTACCATTTAGCAATGTTATAACTAAAACTTCTTTTAAACATGGCTGTTGAGTGCAGAGGTGTAGTTATGTTATATCGGTAGCGTATGTTTAAATTATGTACGTCAGTTTTAAATGTTATGGTGTTGTACAAATATTCAGGACTCTTGTTCTTAATAAGGTCATTATAAAATGTAAGGCAGTGTAACAATCTCATTTTTAATATGATTTAAATAGTGATTAAAATAAAAAAATTACGCTCTGCAATAAGGATAAAATTTAAAAAAAAATGTTCAACTAATTTGTGAAAAACTTAGATTTTTAAAGGAAAGGCTCAACAGACTAAAGTAAAAAATGATTTATTTGTTTTGAAAATCCCTTAAAAAAAATAACACTAAATTGTTACAATCTACAATGTAGACGGAAATTTTATTTTCCAGTCGAATTTTCTTAAAATGTTTTATGTCAACCACATGGTAAAAATACTTAATGTAAATCAAAATTAAAATTATTTGCCCCTTCCAAACTCCTTCCTTTTTCTCTATAAAACGGGACGCACTGCAAAAGTACAAAATGTACAAAAATACATACGTTCATTTTTTGGCATATACATGTATATTAGGGTGTCCCTTATTTTTATTTTTTTTACGCATACCCTCTAATTATATTTATTACGTGTTTATATACTCCCAGTAAAAATTTCAGCTCATTCTATAAACGGGAACCCGTGCCGACTTGCATCTGAACCCTCCGGCGCGCGGTATTTTGTAACACAGTTGGTCGCGAGGTCTTCGATCGTAAGTCATTTTGTGTTTGTTATTATGTGACCCTTATATTATAAATTATTGACAAATGTTAAAATATAGTTTTATTTATATGTATACTTTGATAAAAATGTATATTTTCACAGGGAGTCTGGTGAATAGGCCGTAAACTCTGAAATTGATAAACTTAATGGGTTTTACTCTAAATAAGTAAAAGAGTCTATTGTGAGAGATGACTACCGAAAACTTATTGAACTGTCTGAAATATTTTTGGGAGGACATCAAGAAAAGAAATGCTTATAAAAAGCTGAAATTTCATATAACAGTATATTTTAGCAATACTAATTAGTATATTAATATATTTAAGGGATAAAATCAACTAAATTAGTGAAACAAATGATAGAAACAAAAGCAATAATATTAATTAGTAATCATATTTAATAAAATCATTAGAAAAATACAGTCATGAAGTATATCTTCTTTTTAAAGTGTTTCGTGTTACAAAATACCGCGCGCGCCTGACGTTGGCTAACGGAGGGTTTAGATGCAAGTCGGCACGGGTTCCCGTTTATAGAATGAGCTGAAATTTTTACTGGGAGTATATAAACAAGTAATAAATATAATAAGAGGGTATGCGTAAAAAAATAAAAATAAGGGACACCCTAATGTATATATATGGGTCGCTGTCCTTAAGTTTGAATTCCAATAACTTTGTTAAAAATTATCGGATCTTATTGATTTAAAAACCAAGTGAAAGCCTAACAAGCCCTTAGTAAACTCTTTCAGAAAATGTTTGTTTAGTTATTTCAGAATAATTTTTTTTTAATTTTGAAACTTGTGAAACACACATTTTCGCATGTCCCATTAGCGTTTTATAAAACTTACAATGTAATGTAAGTCTTACATATATGTTTTTTTTTAATATTGAATAACCAGAACTTTGTGTTGATTTATACCGATCCATAACATCCTTAGTTAATAAAGTAAACAATTTACATATAAATTAATTAATTTCTACTTTTTTTAAATTTGACTCATGTCCCAGGCATTTTTTCCGTTGCGTTACGTCCGTCGCGTTACCGATAGAATATTTAAAAAAACATATATATGGAAACTTTTTTGGCATTCACGTGATTAACAAATGATGTTCGGACGTACACATTACCCAGCTGAATTTATTTATTCATTTAGGAAGAAGATATCGGTTGAAACAGGTGCGGGTAACGCGAATGTAATAATTGTTTGTCATCTAAGTTACTCAAAAAAGGTAAGAAGAAATACTATTTTTCATGTTTATGTTTATTTTAGGGCACTAAAGCTCATTGAGAGTAATTAATGACTGTAATGTTTTATTATTTTTTAAATATGGTTTCACAAAACTTTGTCCACTGCGTTACCGAGTCCATTACGTTACCTTATGGTAACGCAATGGAATTTAGGGTAACGCAATAGAATTTTTCGACAACAAAGTGGATATTTGCCGTCGCTTTTATTAAAAGTAGATATAGATTACATCCACGCAATATACAAGTACTAAAAGATACCAGCTTATAGTCAAAGAAAAAGGGTGTCTATAATTTAGAAATCTAAGTTGTTATTCTGCAAGTGAGCACCACTACAAGGGATTTTGATTATGCATTACTCTAAAATCGTACCACCCTATATAGTTTCTTTTTTACGTTATCTAATTAAGTCCTTTGTGTACCCCAGTCCGTTGTAATAACAATGTCTATTTCGTTACTTTTTTTAGTTTTTGTTAAAAAAATCCTTAAAATGATTTTACTATCACTTGGTAATGCCTGTTTATAAATTAGAGTTTAACTCACTAATACAGTGACTAAAAGAAAATATTAATGGTATTAATTGTTTTTTAACAAAGAATCGTAATGGTGTCTTTTAAAAAGTAACTTAACTAACATAAATATTTAAAAAAGGCATACAATTTTTAATAAAAAATAAAATTGGAGTCAAAAGTTTGTGAACTAAGTACATTTTATTTCAAATTATTTTTATAACAACTTTTTTTATTGAATTAAATTTTGGATAAAGCTAGCTAAACACATTTTTCTGAAAAAAACGTAAAAAAAATTAAAAAGTGCACTGCCTGTCTTAAATGTAAGAAAACAAAACTCTAAACATTTTAAACATTTATAAAAATCCAACCAAAAGTCAATTTAAGCAAAAAAAATTTTGATCTTCATTTTCCTTGAAAGCGGGTGTTTTTTGAAAATGACCCGTATACATTTGTTGAGCCCAAAAATATCTCAGGGTGAGCTTTCCAAGGAAGAAAAATACTCTGCTCCAGAATTTATTGACAATCCCTATACAAATTTTAATTTAATAGAAACCATGATAAAATTACAAAAAAACATAATATGTAATCAATTAGTGATCTGCAATTTATAATTTAAAAAGTTGTCTCTGATGAAAAATTGAATATTATCAAGCAACTGCATACTGCAATCGCATCTTCAGCGGGGGTCGAACGAATTTTAATCTTATGCACAGCAAAATACGAACAAATTAGGGACAGAAAAGCCAGAAAAACTAGTGAAAAACACTTATTATTATCATTATTATTCAGTATTCACACTTTAACAAAAAGTTAAAGTGTTTAAATACTGAATAATAATTATAATAATAATTTTATAGAAAATATAGTTTATTTTGTTGTAAATAATAGTTGTATACAATAGTTATAAAAATTTAGAAATTTATTGTTAAGTTAATAAATTGATGTTATTAGATAATATATAATATATAGAAACATTTTTCATTATTGAAAAATTTTACCGAGACTAAAAAATCTGATTTCTTATTATTTGGTAGTTGCCACATAAGAAACCAATAGCAATGTAAAACTTCTACACTAATAGAAAAAATTAAAGGATAAAAAAAATTCCAAATTTGTTGCGATTTTTCGGATAGCTGTATCTTCGTTATAAATGGTCGTATTGGAGCCGTAAAAAAAGCAATTTGAAGCTTGAAGTTTCTAGTTTTAAGATTTTTAGATGAAAAACGTGCAACGCTCAATCCTAACGAATACCGTAATAAAAAAATTCAAAAATTTTTTGGCTTTCTTTTTTGGTCCACGGAATGTTCTGACTTAACCACCAATGAATGTTCTACAAAAATTTGCTATTGTTTTTTTGAAAAAAAATACAATACACTACATTAATTTGAAAAATCTCGAAAAGAAGTGTTTTGGTAGCTTTTTGAAAAATCAAGCGCTGAATCAAAAATATTATAGGTAGTTACTTTTTTTAGGACCAAATCAAAACAAGCGCGGCCCTTATTGATCAATTCGGTGGTGGTGGCGCGTGCAAAGCGCGAGACTGTTTTTACATTTACTAAATGTCATTTAGTGGCTAATTTTAGTCCATGAACTGGACTGGAAACATAAAAAATTGGGCAAATGGGACTAATCTTGAAAAAAAACTAAAATATGAAAAAAAACCATTTGAAAAAAAAACAAAAAAAATACCGTTTTTTTTCAAGTCGCATCTCTAGCTACGCTACGCTAGGGTGTTATTTTAACAAAACGTAATGCAACAAAAAATAAAATATGAATCTTATTAGGTATTTCAAGAAGAAAACATTTTTTTGGTGATTTTGAATGATTTTTTGTCTTGCTATCACCTTGACAACAAAATTCAATTTCGTGCACTAGGTAAATAAATAACTATTTTGTTAACGATTTTTTTTACAGTCAACTTACCATCTTTATCTTTGATGATATGCCTGGCCAATCTTGGAGAAGTTTGCGTGGGACTTTGAGGCGGTTTCGCGCTCAGCGGCGTTAAGTTGAAACTCGGCAAGTTATTGGGCCTCTCGATCGATTTCTCCTGACTGGAAGAGGAGGAGGAGGAGGTTTTGAACGTTTTAAGCGCGATCTTGTGAAAATCTGGGGGCGCCTGGTTACCTGCTGACGCCACGTTGGGGGAGGGGGGAACGGTCTTATAGGGTTTTTGGTCTATGATATCTTTGGGGGGAGGGGAGGAGCCGGGATAGCTGATGCTGGTTAAGAGCGAGGGGTGGTGGGAGACTACTTGGATTGGTTCGTTGGAGGGAGGAGTTGTACCTAAAAAATTATGTAAAAAGTACAGTCAATGGCCAATTTATTAGGCTGTATCATCTCACAAACATGCATTTTTGTATTTCAAGACTGATTTTTTGTAAGAAGATATAAACTATTTTACAAATTCCCAAAATTAAAAAATATTGTGAGTTAATAAATTCGCCAGGAAGTGTACGAGGTGTGTTCAGAAAATAACGGGAATTGTTAAATTTCGCGGGTTCGGAGGGTCCGGTTGTCATAAAACTTTCTATATTATGTTGGTATACATGCCCCCGAAGTATGATAAAAACTTTAGCTGTTTTCATTGTTTACTTTGTCTATGGCAGCCGCTAAGGTTAGACGTGTTTTATGAGCTAGGCGATTTTTCGTTCGTTAAAAGAAATGTATGAAAGAATTTTGCTTAAAAAATGAAATAAATTCTGTGAAATGTTAACAAAGGCCTATAGTGAGTCTGCTATAAGTAAAACAAGAGTTTACAAGTGGTATAAGAGTTTCCAAGATGGCCGTGAAGACGTTGAAGATGACGAACGCCCCGAACGCACAAGCACATTAACAACCGATAAAAACATGGAAAAAGTGGAAGAAATGGTTATAAACCAACAGAGAAGTCGCTGATGATGTTGGTATATCGATTGGCTCATCCCATGAAATTTTTTCAAATGTTTTGGGTATGAAACGCTTAGCAGCAAAATTTGTTCTAAAATTGTTAAATTTTGAACAAAATTTTTGGCCAAAAACAATACTGTAATGATGCCCAGCCTCCATATTCGCCAGACATGACTCTGTCTGACTTTTTCCTATTCCCAAAAATAAAGAGAACCTCAAAGGGCCGTCGTTTTGCAAGCATAGATGACATTAAAAGCGCATCGCTGAAAGAACTAAAGGCTATCCCAAAGATCGAGTTTTAGAAGTGTTTCGAGTATTGGAAGAAGAGCTGGCACAAGTGTATAATATCCAATGGGGACTATTTTAAAGGCGACAACATTAATGTAGACGAATAAATAAATATTTGTTTCAAAAAACGAAAATACCCGATATTTTCTGAACACACCTCGTATACTATATATACTATACAGTGTGTCCATTGATAGTTAAAAATAGAAAAAAAACATCTTCTTACCTGTTCCTCCCATTTCTTCGGGTATAGCCTCGCAACTGACCCTCATATCCTTCGAGTACATTTTGTTTTTCTTTACATTCTCCTCCATGTCCCCCTTATTGTCGTTGTCGATTTCGCGCAAGAAGGGATTCTTCCAGTTCGCCGACATTTCCGGGCTGGAGTTCGACCTCCTCACCGGATTTCTAGATTTGGTGCCGTCATCGTAGACGTAGCATTCCAGGTCGTCGTCGACGCTGTCTCGAGAATTTTGCCTCGATGGGGAATTTTTGGAGGGAGAGTCCGGTACGCTAATGGGGTTGCTCATCGGCACGTTTTCTCTGCACAATAAAACATGTTTGTGATGCAAAAATAAACTTGTTTTTTGTCTGTCTTTTTAGGTTGGGTCGTGCAAATTAGAGATCAGAGAAACGGATAGTTGTTTGGTCCGATACCGAATATCCCAGGGCTGGATACTCCTGTGTACGAGTTTTGGTTCCTGCCGCGCATGACGTCACTTGATGAGTAGTTGCCGTGCGAATACACGAATAATAGTAATATTATCAAAGAAAATAGAGAAATATCTGGGCATAGTGCGTTTTTATTAAACTTAATATTGAAGAAAGTGTTATAATATGGATAATAAATGCTTTCAGTCCTTGATAACATTTAGGGCTGTAGTTTAAGCGTTGGTGTTTTAAATTAAACTTATAGTCACTGTCCAGAAAATGTTTATAGGAAACAGAAGCGGTCTTAACGTTAATATTGTCCATTCTTTTTGTGGCATTTAACCACTGTTTTCACAAATAAAAGTTTTTTGGGAATCGATTAAATTTAATGATTTTATTTAAAGGGTTTTTCTTGGACTGGTTGTCCGAATTACATCCAAATATGCCACACCGCATTTTAATAAATGCAAATGGCATGACACAAACTAAAACACAAACAAAACAAGTTAACGCAACACAAAAACAATAATAAACAAACAGAACAGGTTAACACAACGCAATAACTTGAACACTGAAAAGTAATAAGAACCTTACCGAACGCAAAAACAACAAGTTAAACTAAAAATAGAGCAAGTTAACATCCAACAGCATCGCAAGAACAAGAATTTTAGCAGCAGATAATTAAAAAGCACGTTAAAGATTTAAAAACACTCATCAAGTGACGTATTTAAGCCCCGCCCAACATGCGCACCATCCTATCTTAAGGTGTATGTATCTTGCGAATATCCGACAAATTCACAAAGCCCAAACACTGTGTCCAAGTCCGTATTTTGTTGCCCATAAAGTAAATTTATATATTAATTTTTAGTCTAATAATTGTTTAACAAAAATAATGTAATCTTTTTAATTGAGGGGTACAGTGCAAGAACCAGGTATCTTCAAAAGAATAAAACTTTACAGGAGGTAACAAAAACGATTAACCTAATGATTTAAACCATTTAAACCACAATTTAACTATAGGCATAGAATTGTTGATTGAATAAAAAAAAAATTTAAATTAATCTTTTTTTTCTTTAGGGAGCGTTCAAGTATTACGGAACGCAATTTTTGGAGATTTCAGTTAGAGAGAAAGTAATGAAAATTATGTACCAATTTAAAAGTACCTAATTAAAATGAGTTCAAGTTACATATGGGTATTTCCATTGTAACGGGTGAGACACTAAAACTGCGTTTTTTCATGATAATAAAGTGTTTGTTCATATATATCAAGATACGTTATTATAAAAAAATAGTATAAAAAATTCGTTATTTAACAAACAAAATGTCAATAAAAACTTGTATAGAAAACCTTTTATAACGTCATGAATAGCGTAACGGGCGCGACCTTAGAAAATCGGTAAATGCGACCAAGTTGGCTTCTAAAGTTGATAATGTAAAATTTTGGATGAAAGCATATAGTAATAATTTTTTGTGTAAAACTTGAATAGTAACCTTAAACAGGCACGCATTTTAAATGCACATATATTGTATACCTTATTTTGTAAAATTTTCTCAAAATGTAACGGGTGCGACATTTGAACATTTTATCGAGTATTGAAACTCTTCCGTGTTTATTCTTAATGTTAGCTTCTTGGCATCACAATGTACGAATATTTTAAGGGTATAAATTACGTCGCAATTAAACTATTTGACTTCAGATATAGTTGTTAGTTTGTTAAATAACACATCTGATTTTTTGAAAATACCCGGAAGTAATTGCATATTTGAACCTATGCAGGTTTTAGTTCTCATCAACTTTTTTTAATAAGAATTTTCGATATTGTCAAATGTAAAGGTACTGTCCGTTCAGGCTAAGTTGAGCGGTCTAAGGAATGTCAAGCCGTCCATTATCTCTATGTTCAGGCACAATTAAATGCATGTATTTTGGTAGCCCCTCTGTACGAACAAACTGCAAGCCGCGGCCCTTATAAATCATCTTCTTGTCACCGAAATCTCGCGACGATTCGATATTTAATTTAATCAACGGCCATATGATCCCCCACCAAAGCGCTCAACTTAGCCTGAACGGACTGTACTTTACTCTTGAGTAATATTAATATTTTTTGACAAACCGCGTATACGACTGGAAAAAATTGATATCGGATTTATTGTTTTTAAGATTTTAGAACATGCAGAACTTTTTATGAAGAATAATTTTTTTCTTAAAATTAATTATAAAAAAGTTTCCCATATATATAATATGTTGCCAACATAAGTAGACACACTGTACAAAAAATATGAATATGAATATAAATGTTTGCATATTAAAAACAAAGGCTATTTGAGCCAAACGGTCATTTTTAGAATCAGCAAATTAATCTAGAAAAGTTGTTGGCAAACAAAAAACTTATTTTGTAAACTAGTTTAATTTTTTTTAAAGATTTATGGCAGCGCTCTTTTAAACGTCTGCCTTCTTTTCGGTCGACACTGAATCCAACTCGGTATAGACCAATAGACTAAATTTAAAATAAAAAAATTTTACCTTGTGGGTTGCTGAACATCATCATCAAAGTTACTGGCCTCCTCGGAAGTGTTTTGCCTTTGTAGTACCGGGACGTTCAAATTCAAAGATGGCATAAACAACGTCGAAATCTCGTTCAAGGGAAACTCGTACATCGATTGTTGAAACGATGTTTGATTTTGTATGCGCATTACCCAGGACATATCTCCCGTAGGGCGTCTAACGTATATTTCTGCCCAACCTTGACACCTTGAAGGAAATATAGATTATTAGGTTCTAAAAGCGCTATATAACACAATATTTTTCACAGGGCATATCCACATAACACAATACACAATCGCATGTTTTAAAAATGTTGTCAGGCCGTTTGGAGAACAATATTTTTAAATGAAAGGTTGATGAAATGTTGTACAAACTTTCAGAGAAAAATATGCATACACATAAATATCACGTAAATAGTTTTCAATATTTATTTCGCAATTTTATGTAAATATTATTTCTTAAGGGCCGGTTTTTCAATCGTTGGTTAAGTTATTTAACAATATTTATAAACTTTTTGAAAAGTTCATTAAAAGTCCGCTAAAGTCATCCACAAATCAGCGTCAGTTCGGACATTTTTACTTTGTTAAATGTGTTTTAAATGCGACGCTGTTAAAATAATAATTTATCCAGATAATACTTCCTGATAAAGGTATGCATTATATTTATTTTTATTGTTCAGATTATTATTGCTATTTATAAATATCAGTGTACTGAACCGCTAATTTCTTATTAACAAAAAGCAAACATAAACCTAATAAAATCGCTTAGAAAACCAAAAAAGATAATTGTTTTTTAATTTTGAAAAACGAAAAAAGTAATTTCCCCGAGCGGAAATTAAATTCTTTTTAGCCTTTATCCAGAAAAATTCGAAAACCGAAACCGCCGAAAATGACATTTTACCGGAGTTACGACTAAATTTAAAAAAGTAAGTAAAAAAGAAACTTAAAAAAAACAAGACTACCTACATACTATATAGAAAGAAAAATATTCTTTTATTTCTTTGATTTTTTCCAAAGAGTTTTTATTTTTATATACACTGCGCGTTAAAATTAACGCATAATAAGTAAAAAAAATTCTAAACTATAAAACGCCTTTACCAATCTTTATAAAATTTTGTATAAGAATACTTCTCAGTTTACGTGTTCAAGGGTTTTTCGAGAAAATATTTTTAAAGCCCTTTTATTTAATAATAAAAAAATGTTCGCAAAATAACTTTAAGGGATTTTTTTTAAGTAAAGGGTCATTCCACGTTACTCGTTACAATCAAAAATTGTGAGTAAAAACTACACTACAAAATTTATTTTAAAATATTGTTTATTATGCTTTTAATAAGTTATAAGCACAATAAAAATAATATTATAAAATATAAATTTAATAACTTGTGGCTTTTACTCACAATTTTTAATTGTGACGGGCGGGACAAAAATTACCGAGTAACGTGGAATGCCCCTAAACCAAAAATATGCTGTTAAAGACCGTATTTGTGTTAGTATACTCTGTAAATTTTGTACAAATCAAACGAACAGTAACGAAGATACAGCGCTTCAAAGTCAATAAAAATGACCCCTTTTTGATTATATTGCTGAAAAGTGGTCATTTTTTACGACTTTGAAGCGCTGTATTTTCGTTACTCTTAGTTTGATTTGTATAACATTTTCAGGGTATACTTACAAAAATACGATATTTTACAGCATATTTTTTTATGTACTTATATAAAAATCCCTATAAAAGTTTTTTTTCAAACGTTTTCTTTATTATTAAATAAAAGGGCTTTAAGGATATTTTTTTGAAAAACCCTTGAACACGTAAACTGAGATATAAGTTGAAGTATCCTTATACTTATATACGTTTTAGAGTTTTTTACTTATTATGCGTTAATTTTGACGCGCAGTGTATTTTACTTTTGTTTATATCGATTATTTCTAAAGTAATTTTTTTTAATATTTTTTATTAAGACGTGTACCAAATTTTCCGGTATTTTTAGCGAACAAAAATTAGATCTCCAACTATGGTATTCCACTGTTTTAGTGTATGGTGATATGAAAATAACATACCACATATACTTTTTGCACTTAAAAACAAGAAAATTTACCAAATAAACTAAAAGTATCGGGTGTCACATGGCTTGTATAAATATAAGAGCAACATTTTATCAAAATTTACTACATTTTTACAAATATGCCATGAATTGTAAATATTTTGAAAATATTTCCAGATATTTTTGTGATCTTGAGGATATAGTGAGGAATAAAATATAATGAAATGTATCTAAAACATTTACAAAAATGTTTTAAAAATGTTGTGAACAAATTTTGCATTAATATAAAAAGTGGGACATCTAAATGTTTTAAAAACATTTTAGAGGAATTAAAATGATAATTAGTCATTATCATTTTAATTCCTCTAAAATGTTTTTAAAACATTTAGATGTCCCACTTTTTATATTAATGCAAAATTTGTTCACAACATTTTTAAAACATTTTTGTAAATGTTTTAGATACATTTCATTATATTTTATTCCTCACTATATCCTCAAGATCACAAAAATATCTGGAAATATTTTCAAAATATTTATTCAATATTTTAAATAAATATATTTTTGTATATTTTTTATGATACTGCATATTTAATATAAATTATTGTAATTACCAGCAAGCACAATTAGGCTTCTCGTTTTTACCATCATTTTTTACCAATTGCTGGAGTTTAGTTGAAAGTAGCTCCAACTTACTATCACCGACTTTTTTTGAATCGTCTATTGGGGAGTTCACTGAAGATTTGTCGTTTGAATTTTGTCTGGTTACCCAGCTGCTATCCTGCTAAAAATGTAATCCGCAATAAAACTATACCATTGAATTTAAAATAAATAATACATACCTGCTCATTGCTGCCACTTCTTGCAGTCCTCAGGCTGTCGTTTTTGTTGCAATCGTTGCACAGGGTCCAGCATTTGTCGCACAAACCGTGCTTCAGCACTTTTTGGGAACACCCTGAAGTTGTCACAGTAACCAGCTTGTTTCCAATGAGCCAACACTCGCTTTGGCCGCCGTTTAAAAGAAACTCTGCTGTCGGTAACCTATTTATATTATAAAAATAGTATATTATGTATCAAGTTTGATAAACGCCATTTTATACACGAATTTAATTTAGGCACGAGCGAGCTTGCGAGCGAGTGCTTAAATTAATGAGTGTATAGAAAAGTTTATAAACGAGGTGCATACTATTTAAATCAAAAATTTGTATAGAGCACCATCTCTGAAACAATAGGGGAAACTGTCAAATTTCACATTTATACATTTTATAAACACAATTATAAAGGTTATAAATCGAAATGTACTATTGCGGCCGATAAAAAGTAATCGACTAATTTTCCCGTTGTAAATATGGTTGTCAGTGGCATTTCAAAAATAATTTTATAAAATTAAGTAACGTCATCTTAAATTAAGTAAAGTCATTATTTAATTATGCCTTCCCAATCTTTAAGTGAAGCAGAGAAAGGCTATATTATCGCCAAAATTGGAGAAGGATGGTCTCAACAACAAATAGCAGATGAAATAAACTGCAGCAAAAGCGCTATTCAAAAATTAAACAAAAAGTGGGTGGAAACTGGTGACCTGAGTAGGGTAATGGGTTCTGGGCGTCCAAGAAAGACAACTCCAGTAAACGACAACGAGTTGGTTGAATATGTGAGGCAAAACCCATTTTCTAACTCCATTCAAGCCAAAGAGGAAACCAACTTCCCAGCATCTGTTAGGACGGCAAGAGAACAAGGTTTATTTAACTGCGTGAGTGCTAAAAAGCCTCGCTTGACGGATGTTAATAAAGAGGCAAGAGTGGAGTTGGCAAATAATTTTTTAAATCAAAACGCTGAATATTGGGAGCGAGTAGTCTTTTCAGATGAAAAAATATTTCAATCCTGCTACAATGGGCAACTGCGAGTTTATCGTCCCAGAAACCATAAGTTTGATGAAGAACACCTCCACAAAACTGACAACATCGGAAGATTTTCTGTCCACGTGTGGGCGTGGATATCATCTTCAGGGGCTGGTATAATTCATATTGTAGAAGGCCGATTAACTGGAAACCGATAGGTACGTGGAAATTTTAAACGATGTAATGCTCCCGTCAGTGCAAGAAAGATTTGATAATGATTTTGTGTTTCAACACGTAACACTTTATGATTTATCTTTCCTGATCAAAAAAGTATATTTTTTTTATTTTAAGGATAACTCGCAAGTTCACACTGCTCATGTGGTTCATAATTGGCTAGAAGAAAATCACATTACAATGCTTCCTTATTCCGATTCCGATTTAAACCCAATCGAAAATATTTGAGGATATCCCGTAAAAAAATATATAAATATGAATTTAGACCAAGAAATAGAGAAGATCTTATTAATGCAATTCAAAATGAGTGGAACAATTTGGAAGAAAATTACGATTATTAGTTCCATGCCTAGGAGATTACAAAATGTTATAGAGAAGAAGTATTATTATTTTTTTTTAAATGGAGTTTTTATAGCATTAAAAATGTGTAAGATTATGTAAGATAATGCCCGAGGGAGGGCTGAATGAAAAAATTACCAGGGCCGGTTTTTCTGAGCCCATCCAACCCTGGTTGGCTCATCTTTTATAATTGTTATAGTCGTAGTATACTATTTCTTTTTAAGTTTAAATTTATTTATTTTGGTCGCCCAATAAATAATTTGTTCTTTTTGTTTGTATTACGAATAAACATGCTTTATATAATTTAAGTTTTTTTTATTAAAAAATTAAATATGTCATACACCTATGATTTCTTGTCAAAATAATTTAATTGACATGACTGACGTAAAAAACCTTACTTACAATAGCCAATTTTTAAGAAAAACATGCAACTTGATAAAGAATCGATTACTTTTTATCGGCCGCAATAGTACATATACAGTGCTTGCAAATCCAAGTCCGACCACACTGGAAAGGACGGCTGTTCAATACCCGCGTGAAAAGAACAAGGATAGAACGCCAAATAGAATTTGTTTGGCCAGCCGGCAGGCTACGACAACGCATACCCATCGCGCACCTCGCAGCGTGCTTGACACGAGGAATCCTCGTCGAGGATATCAGAACGAGAACTGCAGTGGTGCCAGCAAGAGCCTCTTGCCAAGAGGTAGTAATTTTAGTAAAAAAGATTATTTAATTAAAAAATGTAGGTACACGTTGGAACAAAAAGTTCAGATTTTAATCTGGCATTTTGCTGGTAATTCTGAACGAGAAATTCAAAGATTATTTGCGGGAATGTTCGAGGCCAGACCAAACAGAGAAACAATTCGACGAACCGTTAATAATTGCTTGTTCGAACATTTAATTTAATTTTTCAGTTTATTTATTTTTAGAGTTTTATTAGACCAGGGTCGATAATTTTTGAAACCAAAAAAAATAAAAGTAGGATGAAACCCATTGGAAAAGGAGAAGAATATAATAAAAATAAAAGGAAAAATAAATTACGGGCGATCTGACTTTGGGAAGTGGGAGGGGGGGTTTTAAGGGTAAAAAATGGTTTATCTCGATTTCCGGTAAAACTACAAGTCCTATGGAAAAAAGTTAAATGGCAAAGTTGTAGGTAATAAAAGGATCTACAACTTTTGTAATTACAATTTTTTTACATAACCTCCAAATTTATGGGAAAAATTCAAAAAACCAAGTTTTTGGTTTTTTATTTTTATCTTTTTCAAAAAAAAAATTTTTTCCACGAAATTTGGTGAAAACTTACCTTTTTATGTCCCAAATACACTGTAATTTATTTGATTTGAAATATTTATTATTTCGCCTTATTTTGACTTAATATCAAAAAAGCACCCTAATTTTCAATCGAAAATTCTCGCATCAAAATATCAGCTTTTTTCAAAAAGTCGGTGTGCTTTTTGTTTGTTGAAATCTCTACTTTCTGATGGTGTAAAAAATATACATTACTATGGTAAATGTTCTCAGAAAATGCAAAAAATATTATAATGAATAACGAAAAAAACTCGAATTCGAAAATTTATTTTAATCATTATGTACAATTTCATCAAAAAAATGTGATTGTTGCAATTTTTTTTAGTTAAAAAGTTTATTTATTAAATTCTAATAACATTTATGTCAGAAAATCTCATAAAATATAAAAATACATGTAAATCATACTATTGAATTTAGATACTTCATTCTGATTACGATTGATTGAAAATTAGGGTGCTTTTTTGATATTAAGTCAAAATAAGGCGAAATAATAAATATTTCAAATCAAATAAATTACAGTGTATTTGGGACATATTTTTATTTTTAGTTATTTTTATTTGAGAAATCTTTTTTATTAAGAATACTATTTTTGTTGTTGCCCTAGTTCTCAAGGAAAAAAATCAAAACATTTTATTTTTAGGATTCGGGTATAAAATATTTAAAAAGAAAATTAAAATGTGCATCTCCACTCCAACGCAGTTTGCTTAACACTAAATCATTTAGTCTAAATGACTAACTTCTAGCCGGTGCCCCAACATCGATCCCGACTGGACAAAGAATTTATTATATATTATACAATGCATCATTATCATTTAAAATTGACGGCACAACAATAATATAATAATAAATTGTACCTGTATACATGTTAAGGGCACGTTAGTTACGTAATAAAACCAAACCAACCCAAACTCAACAACACAACCCAACCGACCCCGCCCCATTGGCCCCCCCCCCGCCCCATTGAGCAAAAAACCCAACTAAAATGGGCAAATTTATGTTACGATAAAAATAAAACACTTTTTAACAAAGGAACAACAAATTTATGAAATAAAAAAGTAAAAAAAATTCGATAACTTCTGAGTATCGAACCCGGGACCTCTCGCATGCAAAGCAAACGCCCTACCATCTAAGCTATCTAGCTTGACAACAAATTTTGTATGTTCGGGGAACAAAACCGGATTATTATTATGACGTCACGTTATAAGGCGGTTCGTGCCAGCTCGTGAGAAGTCGGGATCGATGTTGGGTCACCGACTAGAAGTTTCTGTCTAAATGCAGCCAGAGACTCTGGCCCAGAGTTGACCTCGCTTACAATTCGCACGCATCCGGGGCTCTGGCCAATCAAATTCTATTTGGCGTTCTATCCTTGTTCTTTTCACGCGGGTATTGAACAGCCGTCCTTTCCAGTGCGGTCGGACTTGCATTTGCAAGCACTGTATCTTAAAAATTGACAGTTTTTCACAGTGAAAGAAAATAAAATGTTTTATGAGGACTTTACAGTAGAGTCCGTGCCCGAATTTAAGTTATAGTTTACTGCCGGCGAAATTAAAAGGTCAGTACAATGTTGTTATAAACTTTTGAAATATTGGCGTTGAGAAACTATTTAATACTTTTGTATTTTTGTATTGAGATAATAAAATAATTTTCGCATTTAGTATTATTTTTAGAAGAAAGGCACTTTATTTTAACGATTGTATGACATTTGACAACTGTCAACTAACTTAAAACTAACTTCAGCCCGTGACTAAAGCGCCATAAAGCCACAACTTGTCAAAGTGTATTTAAAAGGTCACTTAGTGTCATGGAAACATGTACGATAAAGGGCGTTTTAAAGGTGGGAGTAGAAAAACAAGTTTTATGTCTTAAGAGGCTAGAGAGGTTCAACTTACCTTCTCGGTAGAGCGCTGCAGGGCGAAAACGCGTAACGCGCCATCAAGTCGATGCAAGTCTCGGTGAGTTCCTCGTAGAAAGTGACGCGATTCTTGTCGGTCCTGTCTATGGCGGTGGGTCTGTGGAAATTGGGGCCCGGTTTGTTGGTGGTTCCCACGGGCATGGTTTGCGTTCTCCTGCGAGAGCTGTGTTCCGTCAAGCTGGCGCTTCGTTTTCGATCGGAGCTGTCCTCGTTCAGGTTGCTCAGTTCTGCGGTTTTCAAGCTTGTCTCTTCGAACGGTACGAGAACGTTGGTTTGGAGACCCTGAGAAAAGTAAACTTGGTTGCACTGCATTTTTTATATTAGGATAATTCAAATTCAGTGTTGTGCAGTATTTTGTTTTGCTATAATTGTTCCAGGTATAAGAAATAAAAAATTCCGGCACATATCGGTACGAAACAAATAAATCCGGTAAAATCCGGCACACCCAGTTTTTGAAGTTTCGCAATAAATGCAGTGTACAAAATGAAGAAATAATTAGAAGACTGATGCAACTTGTACTTTAATATTACAACAAATCTGATGTTGAAGTTATTGGAAAAATTTGAAATTTTAGAACAACTGCAAATGAATTTAATTGTAAAATACCATCAGATATAACATCATCAACCTGTTGGTAGAGTTGACAAACGAAATCCGTACTCTTCAGCTTCTTGTAAAAGGAACTGGTCCACATGGGGAATTGTCCATAGTAAATTAAAAAACAGATTGACCACCACGCGGTCTGAAAAACTCGTTTATGTTAAATATAGTTTTAACATAATCGGTAAAAAATGGCAGTAAAACAAATCTTTTTTTGTCTTTAGAAGCCGATTCTGATTTCATATGTCGAAAATGATGGTTACCCCTACAATTTTAAAGGGAAGATAGCTCATTTTGAAGGCCTTTTAAATCTCTACATTTTTGTGTATTAGTTTAAAAAGTCAGTTATTTCTATTTTGAGATATTTGAGAAAAGCTTTATTTTTTAATTTATTTTCATCTTTAATATCAATTTTAACACGCGCTGTTATTTGAGTTCCATTTTGCCAATTTTGACACATAAAAGTAAATAAATAAAGCTACACAATTTTAAAATTTCATTAAAATTGTACAAAAATTGACTGCATAACAGCCCTTGAACTATTTTTTTATTTTAAAAGTAGGTTTTTAAGTGTTACTTATATACATATATCATAAAATCTTTTTTTTTACAATATCTCAAAAACAAAGGCTAATTGCGCAAAATGATGCTCATTTTTGGAATCAGCGCACACAAAATACCCTGGAAAAGCTTAATATCCTTTTGTATTGTTTTTGTTAGAGATAGAAATACGTTTTTAAGTTTTGTAGAAGATATTTATTTATGTTTAATATAATGTTTAAAATTTAAAATTTTTATTTTGTTTGCTTTATTTAATTTTATTTTGGTCAATTGACTGGTCAATTTCAAAACCCTAGATTTTAACTTGTTTGTAGTCATTTTAGTTTGTCGTCATTTTAAAATCATGAACGACTGCGAAATACAAAAAATCCGTATAGTACTTACATTAGTAATGAACTTAACGAAGTCCCTTCTAAAAGGCAGCCTGCACTTCAAAAACCACACGGCGATCACGTGGTGAGCAAGTGACACTGTGTAATGGTCGTACTTGAAAGGATTCGTGTACGGCAACGAAATAGCAAACACCGCCATATATTGGTCAGCCACGAAATTCGCGAACACCATCGGAAGTTGAGTCAAAGCTACAAAAAATACCCTGTAGTCAAAATTATAAGGATCAAAAAGTAGGAGAGTAAAGTTAATATTTTTAAATATTATATTTATACGTCCTGTCTTACTTACTCGACAAAAACTCCAACACTGGAATTGCAATATAAACAGTAGCGGATATTTTCGATAAGTTCAGCAGAACTTCGGGTAGTAACTTCACCATAACTTCGCGCATTTCCAACGTGCAAATGGTAAGAGCAGAAATGCAAGGGTTCGAACCCCTCGGCACGGTTTGTATGCAACGCATAAGACAGCGAATCATTTTTTGTTGATGCGTCGATTCCAAGCACGAATGATACGAAGCCATGTTAACCAAAACTTGCAAGACCAATGCTTGAAAATCCGCTTTGTTCACTTTCACGTTTAAAGATTCGGGAAGATTCATGTTTCTATCGGAAATCTAAAAAAAAACGTGCAAAATAGAAACCAATTTATTGAAATGAATCTTAGTAAATGTACTTTCTTTCTTAAAATGGACTTTAAACCTTTATTAAAAATTTTATTACGACACAAAATGTATTCAAACTTTTAAACTATTTGCCCTATTAAACAAACAATAAGCAAGAACCGCCATTTTACCTAGTCACCGTGTTTTTGATGTGCTTCAAACAGGCACCGACAGACGGCCTATTTCGGTCTTTTGGACCTCATTAGTGCCGGGTTACAATGTGGTGTGAAATCACACTCAAAACACACTGTAAACCGTATAATATTTTTAAACAAAATTAAATCAAGAATTTAAATGATTTTTCAAAAATTAATGTGTACATCATTAAAAAACACCAGAAACTGACTATTTTAAAAGTTTATTTTGTTTAATAAAAACCTAAATAGTTTTTAAAATATATAGGTGTATCGCTTTATTACATATTTTAATAGCATTAAATTAATTTTTAATAAACGAGAAGGCTTATTTAATTAATTTGCGTTATAACAATTTAAAAACATTTTTAGAGTACTTAGTTCTCAAGTACATACTTTTAACTTATAAATTCAGCAAAAATATTTTATAAAAAAAAACAAACCATTTAAAAGTAACACGATGTAATACTCTATAATTTTTAAAATGTATTTATTTTATCAAAATACATAATATATTAAAATATTAGGTGACAAGATAACATAGGTATACCTCAAAATATTAAAATTAAATGCTTTTAAATTGTATACCATCCCCAAAAAAAGTTAAACTTATTATATTATTAAAATATTTATATTTAAAAATTAAATGACGACATAAAACGATGGTGTATAAAAAATTTGGTTGAATTTAGGTATATGGTATGTTATATTAAATATGCTTAAAATTTTACAAGGAATCGAAAAATAAATACATATATAGGGTGATCCATTGAAAAAAAATAAACTTTTTGTTTTTCCCTGTATACTGATCAATTTTCCAATTTTCTAACCAAACTTTTAAATTTTTTGGGACATTTAAAATAAAAAAGTTAAAGGGGGGCGACATTATAGGGGATCACCCTGTACATGATTAAATTCGATTTTAAAGTACTTGCAAAAATTTAAATTCATATGTAAAAGGTCCTTTGCAATAATGTAATAAAATGTATAGGATTTTTATAGGAATTTAAATTCATATACAAAAGGTACTTTGTAATAATCCAATAAAATGTATAGTTTAAAATATATAGAGTGTCAAATATTGATAAACTAATTAGTACCAATTAGGTAAAGAGTAAAAAATACTTTAATTGCAATAAAATGCATAGGTTAAAAGATATAAAGCATTTAATAAATTTTACTGTCAAATATTGATAAACTAAATACTAATTAGTAATTAGTCCTATGTTCACAGTGTGCCTGAACGAAGTTTAAGTCGCATAAAAATGCCTCCAAAAACTGATTGCAGTTTCTTGTTTGGGACCCTTCGTTGACTTAAAAATGATATTTACCAAAATCCTAGCTGCTCCTTTTTTCGAAATTTTTTGAAAATTCATGATTTTTTTTTAAATTTTTGTTTATCTTAAAGTCTACCTTTGACAGAGTAACAAAAGCGTAACTTCATGATTTTGGCATAACACGCAAAAAAGATATATACCCACCCATGTTTTTTTAGATATTTTTATTTTTATCAGGCTACAAAATGGGACAGTTAAATTTATTAAATGCTCTAAATCTTTATTGTATTAATGCATATAATGTTTTTTTATAGGAGAATAAATTTTATATAAAAATCTAGGTATTAATTTAACCGTTCAGTCGTAATAGGTAAAAAAAACTACAAGTCGAAAATATGGGTTGTATAAAAATTGTTGCAAGTACTTTTAAAGAGCATCTAATATGTACAAATCGCAACTATGTAAATTGTTGCGACGAAAAATACCTTAATTTCCTGTTATTTAAAGGGGAAAACTTTAAAACCAAAATAAAAGTACTTGGGAGTAAGATTAAGGGCTGAAACTTTAAGGGCATTTTTTTCTCGATATGTACATCAATATTTTGCTTGGGGAGTGACAAAAAATAAATCTTCATTCAAAACGAATCACCCTAATGTACATACGCAAATAAAGTGGTTAAAAACCTTTTTGAGACCAAATAATATAGTTACCCAGCCCACTGTGCGCCGCTATAAAGCAGCAGGATACGGCGATAGCGGTAAACGAAAGGTAATCAGCGCCATCTACCGTACAACGGACGTGGAAACTATTTGTGTTGCAGAACTATGCACACACGTCATAATGGGAGTAAAAATCACACTCCAATATGGTCCAAAATATGTGGAATACATATAAATTATGATATAATTAATTTTTTTGAAGGATTTAGAATTCTTAGAGTTTTGTTGTGAAGAGATATTTTTCAGATTTTTAAAAGGTTTAGAATGAAAAACAATCAATTGTTTAAAAAAATGTTCATATATTATTATGAAAAATTAAATTTTTTGTAAAGTTCAGAACAACTTTTCAAAGTCAATTTTATTTAATTAAATATGCAATCCTCAAAATCGACTTGGTTCCCAAAAATTTGCTACAAAATTAAAATCAAAAAAAATAAGGATAGCAATTTTTTCGTGCTGATTTGAATTTTAACAATAATATTTTTTAAACAATAACTGATTTTATTAATAAAACCGCGATAAAATAAATTTTTTGTGTCTAATTTGTACCCAATAGAGAGCTTAATACTCACCATATTACAGAGGACATCGACAAGCAAGTATATATCCGAGTTACCCTGCCTAGAAAGTATCAAACACTTATTCTGCAAAGCTTTAGGCATCTCGTTCAGCACCAAACTCAACACGTTCCAATCCTTATCGTATCTCAAACACGTAACGAAAGCTTTAAAAGCCGGTTTAAGCTTCACGTTGGTTATAATGCAATTGTTTTGTTCCGCAACAACAGGCGGCGTGTGGTTTGGAGAACTATTCGTGCCGTCATATAAGTTGTTCGGATACCAAACGCGCATGTACGAACTAAATCTTTGTTTGCCATTGTTGTCGACGTGACCTAGGAGGTAGTGAGAGTTGGCTCTCATTTTTAGGAAACAGTTGAATATCTAGAAAATGTTTTTGAAATGTGTTTTGAATTTTTCAAAAAGGACTTACCATATATCTGCATAAGTATGCTTGACCAAAAACTTTAGGCTTATTATAATGCAAAACCAGAAAGTTCACCAGCATATCATAGACCTTTAAAGGTATAGATGATGGTAGTTTATGTATTTTACTGGTAAATAAACGTATCAGACCATCTATTAGAGCTGCGCAATCTTTTAAATCTAAATCAGACGTAACCATGTCTCCTGGTTGGTTAAATGGGCGCATTAACAGCTAAAATATTAGATTACATTATAATTTGGTGATGCATACACAGTGCTGTTCTGAGAGGTGATTTTTGGACTTTCTGTGAAACCTAATTTTTTTTATATTCTTGTTAATTAGGTCATAAATAAAATTTTAAGAGCAAAATAAAAAAAAATTGACGGTTTGAATTGTTTTTTTAATAATAATAATAATTTATTTGCCCAACAGAGTAATACTCCAATAACAGAGCAAAAATAATAAACAAATAATTACATAGTTTAACAGTATGAACTAAAAGTAAGATCTAGCTATAAAAATTACATCATTCAGACTACTAAAAAATAAATCACATTCTTGACTAATAAAATTAAAATTTCTAGACATAGTAAGTACAGGTGATTTAACCAAACTTATTGTTCGCGCACTGTCACAATAAAAACAATCACTTCTTCTAGAATTGATACGCGGTACAAGAATTTTAAATTGACACAATAAGTTGGCTGAATCTATCTGATTGTTGAAAAGCTTAAACAGAAATTTAAGACCAGAACTGTTTATTAAAAATATTATGCACTCTTTCAATTATCCAATTAAAACTAGCGATTTAATTTAAATATTTAATTTAAACTAAAAAAAAGGTTTTTAATTTTTTTTTATATATTTTACTGTTTTGTTGCGATAAATGTTCAAACTTTTAATCTAACCTTTGACGTATACATTTATGTTCCCTTAATTAATACATCCTTAAAGGTTGCCATGAAACTTAGATCTATTAAAAATTTATTTGACGTCATTTTCAGTATACGTATTCTATAATTTTTGTTTAGTTTTTAAAGTGTTTTTTATAAACAAAAATGAAAAATTGTAATAAAAGTTATGAAGAAATTTATGAAATTTAACTAAGGACCGGTTTATTCATCTTTGGTAAAGTTTATCGGGCCGATAACTTTCATGTCTTGGCAATATCTAGTATCCAAAGAAATTATTTGTCAAATAAATCAAAAATGAATAAATCGGCCCTAAATAAAATGTGGCACCCTTAGAATTATTGTTTAATAAATGTATACTATACATTTAACCTTAAATTAAAACTTTAAACGTGTATTACAACAAAACAGTAAAAGATATAAAAAATGTATAGACATTTTTTTAGGAAATTAACTAATCTTTAATCTGATTTAAAAAGTTATGATAATATTTAAATAAAATCGCAAGTTTTAATTGGAGAATTGAAAGTGTGCATACATATTTTTAATAAACATCCAATTAAAACAAAATTAACCGTCAAATTTTTTTTATTTTGCTTTTAAAATTTTAGTTATTAATTAATTAACAAGAATATAAAAAAAAATTAGGTTTCACAGAAAGTCCAAAAATCACCTCTCAGAACAGCACTGTGCATATTAACGTTACAAGTGTATGACACTCTTGGATGTAGAGGTTTGTTGTATAGATTTTTTTATAGTATACAGTGTAATCTCAAAAATCTCGCTTACCTTGTCTAGAATATTCAGCAGTTCAAGACATTTTTTTGATTCGCAGTCCAAGCAAAGATTAACAATTAATTCAGACACTGAAGTTCTTACTTGAACATCTAAATCCATTTCTATATCTTTCATGTGTGGTACCACTATCTGGTCTATCAATTCTTCTTCATATTGCATACTAAAATTTTAAAAAATATCTTATTAAGTGTAGATAGGAGACAGAGTTAAAATAAAAAACGCTTTAATCAAAGTGACAAAACTAACCCATGGAGTTGTATGACATCGCTTAACAAATCCAAAACTTTCAATCGGACTTTGGTTTTAACATCCGGTCTAAAGTATTTGTTCATTACATAATCCAGATTTTCCAACCAGAGATACTCGGTGGGACTTATACTTCTCGAAAAATACGTAATTAATTTTAGAACGCTGGATTCTGGCCTCTCTGAAGCGCATTCTTCCAGAACAGAATAAAATTGTGGTATGGAACCATTAAATTTGCCTTGATCTATTAATATTTCTATTATGTTGATGGTTTTGTGTAGATAGGGCGCCAATTGATTCGGAGAGTTATTTGGAGAAGTTTCTACGAAAAAATAAAAGTAGTACTAAATTGGAATTTTAATTCTAATAATCCTTTAAAATATAAAACACTGTGCTCATTTTGTTCAAATATTCTATTACGACGAGAGCATGTGCGTTTCATCTTTATCGCAAAGAAATTTATGTTTAAAAATCATACCTATAAGCTTGGCGGTGTACAAAATTATTTCCAATATAATAGACCAAGCAGGGTCCTGTAATTCATATCCATACTTGTTAACCAAATAATCAATTCCAACAATAACTTCATATGCCACAGAAGGGTGATTACTTTTGATTGCCTGTAAGAAGAGACTTTTTAAGGAAAAATTAAAAATTATTTACTCAAAATAGTGTAATATTCTAAATGGACTTTAAGACATTCTAAAGTGTATTTTGATTTTATAAAAATGTAGTTTGTATTGTTAATTCAAATTGAAAGATGTAATTTGATATTCTCAAATAAGGAGCTGTTGATAAAGTACTTTTAGGGGGTTTACCGTTTGTGACAAAGTGTGACATGGTGAGGGATCGTAACGCACGAAATTAAAAAAATCACTTTGAGTGTTGCCGAGTTTAAATGCTTTTTTTGTTTTTTTTTATACTTAAAATAACCCTCCTAGAGCGTATAATGTTACTTATTTTTATTATTTATTTATTTTAATTTTACCAAATGTGTATTTTAATAAATTAAATGCATAGAGTATATTATGTATAAAGTTTGCGAGCCTGCGAGCGAGTGCTTAATTAAATGAGTGCCTATTACCTAAAAAATGATTTAAATTAAATATTTGTATAAAGAGACATCTATACGAAAATAAAGTAACCATCCCAATAAACATTTTTGACGTTATTTTAATTTAATTTAAGAATTATTAATATTTAAATTATTAAAATAACTTCAAAATATGATGTTATCCTTTGATTTTTTTGTATTACTATAATTGCAAAATATTATCACAAAGTATTAAACATTCTTACACAGGAAATGTTAAAGGTACAAAATAGTATATTATGTATCAAGTTTGATAAACGCCATTTTATACACGAATTTAATTTAGGCACGAGCGAGCTTGCGAGCGAGTTCTTAAATTAATGAGTGTATAGAAAAGTTTATAAACGAGGTGCATACTATACTTTTTCTACGACAAACACTTATTATTATCTTAAAATGATTTAAATCAAAAATTTGTATAGAGCGCCATCTATGAAACAACAGGGGAAACTGTCAAATGTCACATTTTTAGATTTTATAAACACAATTATAAAGGTTAGAAATCGAAATGTATATTGAAAATTGACAGTTTTTCACAGTGAAAGTAAAGGAAATGTTTTATGAGGACTTTACAGTAGAGTCCGTGCCCGAATTTAAGTTATAGTTTACTGCCGGCGAAATTAAAAGGTCAGTACAATGTTCATATAAACTTTTCAAATATTGAGAAATTATTTAATATTTTTGTATTTTTTTATTGAGATAATAAAATAATTTTCACATTTAGTATTATTTTACAAGGAAGGCACTTTATTTTAACGATTGTATGACATTTGACAACTGTCAACTAACTTAAAAACAACTTCAGCCCGTGACTAAAAACCTGTTGCTAACTTCAGCCCGTGACTAAAGCGCCGTAAAGCCACAACTTGTCAATGTGTATTTAAAAGGTCACTTAGTGTCATGGAAACATGTACGATAAAGGGCGTTTTAAAGGTGGGAGTAGAAAAAGTGTATTTATTGTAATTTTCTGTGTAAATCAAAATTTATTCCTTGAAAATAGACTAACAATCGATATAGAAGCAGTTTTTGACAGTAAAAGAGAAGAGAATGTTTAATGGGCACTGTACGCAAACTTCTTAACGCTTTATCAGTTAAATCTAGTTAACTGCACTACTACGGCAAAATCAAAAGGTCAGTACAAACGTTCATATAATCTTAATTAACTATTTAATACTTATGTATTTTTGTATTGAGACAATAAAATAGTTTTCACATTTATTATTTGACACATTTGACAACTATCAACTAACTTAAAACTAACTTCAGCCCGTGACTAAAAACCTGTTGCTAACTTTAGCCCATGACTAAAGCGCCATAAAGTAACCTTGTCAATGAGTATTTAAAAGGTCACTTGGTGTCATGAAAAAATGTACGCGTTTTAAAGGTGGGAGTAGAAAAAACATTTTAAACTAGTTTTTCTAGTAAATTTTGACATTTTGATTTCTGGCAAAGGTAGTGTAACATAACGAAAAATTTAATTTAAGAATTAAACAAAAGAAAATGTGAGGGATCAAAGTTGGCTGAGTATTTTGAAATTTGGTATATGGGCCTAGGTGATGATTCTAAACAACTTATCTTAATAACTTTTAGTCACATTGGCAACATAAAAGGCACTTTACTCTGGGGAAAAAAGGTTTTTTAAAAATTTACAAGACATCCTTGATTTTTCAAAACTAAAATTATGTTGAAAATTAGTCATTACCAAGGATGAAACTCCAAAAAAATTAAAATTTAAATCGAAAATTTCTTACCTTTTTCAACCTATCTGGGGACACACTGTATATTTAATATCCTAAATCTATTTTTATATTAAATAGGTTTTTTAAATGGTATGGCATTCAAAAATTTTCTTGGTAAAATCTTACCTGCAAGAAAGATGGCAGCACCGAACTTGGTGGACAGTGTAAGTTGGTCAGGGGTCTGGACCCCCACAGAGCCATGTGTATGTAAAAAACAGCCCCCCAAAGTAAGTCCACTTCACTTTGCAAACTGGGTTCCTGCAATATTCTGCACATGGTGTACAAAGCAGAATGACCCATATGCGTTCCAAGAAGGTTTTTCATTGTCTAAAATGATTTACATTAGTTTAATTTGTTTACATATACAGGGTGTCCAAAATCCAACATTTTTAATGTTATACAATGTATAATATACATATACGAGGTGTGTTCAGAAAATAACGGGAATTGTTAATTTTCGCGGGTTCAGAGGGTCCGGTTGTCATAAAATTTTCTTTATTATGTTGGTATACATGCCCCTGAAGTATGATAAAAACTTTGCTGTTTTCATTGTTTTCTTTGTTTGTGGCAGCCGCTAAGGTTAGACGTGTTTTATGAGCTCGGCGATTTTTCGTTCGTTAAAAGAAATGGATCAAAGAATTTGTATCCAATTTTGCTTAAAAAATGAAATAAATTCTGTGAAATGTTAACAAAGGCCTATAGTGAGTCTGCTATAAGTAAAACAAGAGTTTACAAGTGGTATAAGAGTTTCCAAGATGGCCGTGAAGACGTTGAAGATGACGAACGCCCCGAACGCACAAGCACATTAACAACCGATAAAAACATAGAAAAAGTGGAAGAAATGGTTAGTAACCATCAGAGACGTCGCTGAAGATGTTGGTATATCGATTGGCTCATCCCATGAAATTTTTTCGAATGTTTTGGGTATGAAACGCGTGGCAGCAAAATTTGTTCTAAAATTGTTAAATTTTGAACAAAATTTTTGGCCAAAAACAATACTGTAATGATGCCCCAGCCTCCATATTCGCTAGACATGCCTCTGTCTGACTTTTTCCTATTCCCAAACATAAAGAGAACCTTAAAGGGCCGTCGTTTTGCAAGCATAGATGACATTAAAAGCGCATCGCTGAAAGAACTAAAGATCGAGTTTTAGAAGTGTTTCGAGTATTGGAAGAAGAGCTGGCACATGTGCATAATATCCAATGGCGATATTTTGAAGGCGACAATATTAATATAGACGAATAACTATAATATAGTTATTCGTCTATATTAATATAATATATCATATTTGTTTCAAAAAACGAAAATTCCCGATATTTTCTGAACACACCTCGTATATCTCTTATCAAAATTTTAAATAATTATATTTGATACAATTAGGGTCCGGATTAAATGCATTTGCAATGTTCAGTAGGGTACCTAGTTAATAAATAACACTTCCCACTAAATTAAAAATGTTTTTTTATTTATTTATTTAAGTTTAATGTGTACCATGCCTCCTGAAAAAAAAGCGTCTCTTGTAAAAAACGACGGAAATATTTTATATTGTCGAGTTCGCTAGAAAAATATTTTGTGCACAAAAAAGTTTCAAATAGATCAGCATGTCATTAAATTTTGCATTTTTTTAGCTTTTTATGTTGCATATAATCCGGGGTCTAGTTATAATGAACAAAAAAAAACTTTTTTTTTATAACAAAAATAAACGGCCTTGAAAAATTATCAATAAGTGCCTAAAATGTCCTAAAAAGTCCTAAAATTATCTTATAACTGTCTAAATGTCCTAATACTCTTTAAAAAAAATGTTACTTGAGTTCTGGCCACCCTGTATATATTTTTATTGTATGGTAAGCTGTATAACAGCTTTACCATAATTCTGTACCTTCCAGCACTCTTTGCAATAGTTTTCTACCGTTACAGTCCTGCACAGGGCCCCTATAAATTTCGGTAACGATTCGGGCGACATGTTACTGTATGCGACGACAGTAGACATAATTTTTAAACATGCCATTATGGTGTCGCATTTACTCGTGCAGCAACACAGAACGCAAATGTGCCTAAAATATAAAAAAAATATTTTTTAACATACATTTTTAGTTTTAATACACTGAGTTTCAAATTTATTAGCATTATGCTGTTGAAATTTTTATATTTTTCCAATAATATACAGAGAAAATAGTAAAGTAAAATTGATTTAGTTTATAATCATTCTTTTACTTACTTTTTCTTAGGCAACAATAAAAATCAAATATATTTATAGTTTTTTTTTTAAATGTCCTATAGGATTATAAGAATCTCTAAAAACTGGTTTACATAAAAATATTAAAATGCCTAAAATTACCTTAGTAATGTCTTAACTGTATAAAAATGTCCTAAGCTCATATAAAAAACTAATCTTTTTCTTTTGTGTACAAAAAATCCTAATATTGTCTAAAAATATCTTAAATTAAATCGTTTAAAATAACAATAACATTTTAAGATTTTTTTATTCAAGTATTATTGCTAGAATTTAATAATAGTACTTTATAGAGAAAGCTCATATTATAGCCAAGTATACAGTGAGGCGCCAGCCTAGGCAGTAGATTGTGCGAGGAAAATTTCCCAGCCGTGTTTTATATACTATACTCACAGACCTGTGGTCTGTGACTATACTATACCGTATGTCCCCGGATTCACGTTACAAGAGGGAAAACATTTTAATTTTAGTTTTTTTGAAGAAAAGTTGTACTAAGAATTAAGTCTGAGTACAAAAATTAGTCGATTTTTCTTTGGGTTGGGCTGGGTTTTCTCCAAAAAATATTATAAACCACTTGTGAATTACAATATGGAATACAATGTATAAAATTTCAGCTCAATCTTATGCAAGCAAGTGCTTGAAAAATGAATTACAATTTTGAATAGACAGACATACAAAGCAAGTTAAATAAATGCCCTAATTTTGAAACAGTGAATAAGGGTTTTAAATTACCATTTTTAGTAAATTTTTTTACTTAAAATGACCTATAAATATATATTTTTATGAAATACTTTACTTGAAATAGCACATTTGTTTAATGAAATTTGACTTGAAAAATAACCTTAAATACATATTTTTAATGAAATTTAATACAGAGTGACTAGGTGCACGTTATAGTGCATGCAATTTTTATTTTTACTTAAAAGATAAAAACACATTAGTTATATGATAATATAATAAATTTTACATGTACATGTATAATGGGTGTCCCAGATTTTATTCTATATTCTATTTCTATAAGTCTGATATTATATTTAGATTAAGCAATTAAAACTACAACTTTTAGTTTGTTTTGCCTAATTTAAAAAAAAAATTAAACACAATAGAGAAAAAATGCAGAAGTCAAAAAAGTTGTATTTTTAATTGCTTAAACCAAACATAATATCATTGTAGTAAACCCATATAACTGCGTATCTCGCGATTTGATAAAGGGGGGGCAGGAGCAATTCCTGCGCACGGCCCTGCAGTGATTTTTTTTTACTTACTGTATAAATCCTGAAATAACATCCTCACTCATATAAGCTGCATTGTACCTAACAACATTATCAATAACAGTTAAATACTCCAATATTTTGCCAGCACGAGTAATATCAGGAAACCAATTCAACAAAAAAGGTCCCACCTCTTCTTCAAAGTACTCAATATTTTTACCATTAGTTGTTAAACAATTTAACAATTCCAATCTTTGTCCGACATCCTCAGGATTATCATGAGTTTTAATAAACTTAAAAAACTGTGCTCTCATTAATTGCAATCTATCATTTTGTCCTTTGATTAAGTTTTGGAGGAAAGAAAATGCCACGTGTCGAATTTCAGATGAATAGTCTCTACCAAATAAGTCTTTTACAGCTGACCAGAGGCAGGCAATACTTTGCTAAAATACTTTTCAGTTGAAAGACAATCTTAAATAACTAAATATTATAAAAATCTTACACTCTCGAGTTTTCTTTCACATATTACGACATGCAAATCTTTAAGAGTGTTCAATCGCTTAGTTATGTGGGATTCTTTGGATAGATCTTTTAGTTTTTCTTCGGGGAATTGATATTCTTTTCCGCCGGAATACGCTTAAGCCAAATAAACGTTAAAATTACATATTAAGTCAATAATGAATCACTTACCATGGTTTTTGGATTTTTTGAAGAAATCCTTCAATTTTTCAGTCAAATTTTTGCCATCTTTCTCCTTGGAACTCATTTTGTATGTTTTTCGCACCGTTTATTAGTTAAATATCACGAAATGTACATTTTGGTGCATTTTAAGAAGAATATTTTTTTAAGTTGTCAAAACGCACCATAACCTCAAAACGCATCGTACAATGGCATTAAGGGGTGTCGCGGTTCATATATATTTTATTAAGGGGCCATTCAGGGTGTCTTGTCCAGAGATATACTATAGTTAATGGGCAGTGTTGTAACGTATCTAGTTACAAGTAACTAGATACAGTATCTAGATACTTTTTATGTATCTGTTTGTGTAACTAGTTACTTATCCCAATCTAGTAACTATAACTGCAGTTACATGTAACTAGTTACAAATTCTAAGTAACTAGGTGTGTTAAGATACAAAGATACATTTTTAATTAAACTGCGACTATTATTTATTTAAAAAAAAAATATTATAAAAAATAAGTTATTTTAAATAAAATATTATAAAAAAAATAAAAATAATAAACATGTATATTTTTGTTGTCACTTTAAAATTCCCTATTTTAAACAACACTGTTAATGGGTTAATAAACCCCCCGCCCAACCTATCCCTTAAGGGACAATTGTCTATGGAGATATATCTCTGGTCTTGTCATATCGTGACGTTTTAAAGTCAAAATTAAATAAGTAGAATATTTTTGGGGTGCTGGGGCAACATTTCTACTCAAATAAGCATACAAAATTTATATCGCCCGCCTAAGAGGTAAAATGGGACTGGGCGATACCCATGATACAACTAACATACCGAGAAAAGAAATAAACAGCAGGAAAATTGAAAATTAAGCCAAAATGCAGGAAAAATAACGTGCCACAACGTAAAATAACTATGTTGGAAAGAAATACCATGATTATAAGACAGTACCTACATGAACATGTTGGCGAGGCCTAATAGAATTAAAAACCCTTATGAGGATTTTTACTAAATCTAAACCTGAGAAATTCCATAAAAAATTGTCTTACGAGTTTGGGCTTTGTCCCCCTAGAATTGTTATGATGTCATTGTCAAATAGGATCTCCTAGTTGGCAATGACATCATAACAATTCTAGGGGGACAAGGTTTCTTTGGGAAACATGGAGAAAATACCAGGCAGGTTTAAAAAAACACTTCTATAGTGTTTTTTTAAACTTGCCTTGTAATTTCTCTATTTCTCCAATTGTCCCCCTAGAATTGTTTTGTCCCCCGAAAATTGTTAATATATTACATGTATATACCTACCTATATTATACTCCATAACCATTAGAATATTATAAATTATAATTTTCATTATACATTCAAAAATGTATTTTTTACAGGTTTAACATTACAAATATTGTTTTTTTTCACCTATATAATATATATATTATTAAGCCTAATATTCCTATTAGTCTGATTTACTAAATGGACTTTTTACAACTAAAATATTTAAAAAATACTATTTTATGCATAGAATTTAAATCTTATATTCTATAGAATGTAGACATATTATGTCTGTTTATTGTTTGTGTACATAGAGATCACCTGTTGATTACAAAAGGTGTAATAACTAAAACAATTATTCGCAACGCATAGGCATGATGTGTTTGACAGTCGAACTTACAAAACAAATAATTATGCATATTTAGTAAATATTTTTTATTTGCTAATTTTTTTTTCTCGATTTTACCCGCAAACACGGGAAGATGCAATCACATGACGGTCAGCTGTGATCTAATTGGTGAGCTGATAAAATCGATATAGCGTCAGAAATACACATGTGTTGTTTTCAGAACAATTGTTTGGTTCAATGGTCATATAAATATTTTCGTATATAAAGAAACTAATAAAATAAAACGTTCAGTGGCAACAATATATTTGTTATATGGCAACAATTGTTTTATTAATAAAAGCAAGTCAAGGGCATCGTATGTAAAAAAATATAATTGTTATAATTATTACACCTTACATATGTTATTATATGTATAGGTAATTATGCAATAAAATTGGTTTTTATTATAAAATAACCAAATAAAACCTTTCTGAATAATTCCGGATATTTATTTTTATCGCTATTCTCTGCTAAAAGTCTTATTAAGTCTTATTACCTCTTCCAGAAGACTCCCAAATCTTGCTATTAGTCTGACTTAATAAAAAGTAAGACTTTTAAAATTCTTATTTTTACTTACTAAAACTTGTTTAAAGAAAAATTTCCACAAGGGCTGATAAGAATTGAGTGATGAGCTACCTTTTTCCACTGAAAATCATCCAAGGCTTCCTGTATGTCGCTTTTTTGGCTTCTCAGCTGATTTATATCCTCTTTACTTGACTTTATTACCTTGTCATCTATTTCGATTGTTTTCACATTTGACCTGGTTATGGTCAAATTGATATCCACGGGCCAGGTATATCTTGCTATTACGGACACACCTTCTGATTTCCCTGGCGTCAAGATTGAAATAATGCAATTTGGAAAAAAATGTGACTATAGTCACATTTTATTCCAGTTTCCAATATTGAATCCATTATTAATTCGGTATGCATACCATGGTATTGGGGTACACTTGAGTAGGGTGAAATTGGTTATTTTGCCATAACAAAATACCCAAACAACGGTGTCTGATTCTTTCGTTGTTCCAATTCTGTTTTTCAAACACCAGTGTTGATATGGATTTTTGATGCAAAAATATTATTCAATATGCAATAAATGAAGGCAGCTGCACTTTATAAAAATGCCTCCTATTTGCTCTGGGTTCTTCATTTATTCTATTTTGTTAGTGTTGGCAGGGATACTAACTTTAACAATACAAACGTAATGGTGACGTTTTAAAAGGTCAAAATTAAATAAGTAGAATATTTTGGGGTGTAGGGGCAAAATTTTTACGTAAATAAGCATAAAAAATGTCGACCACTTGTCTAATAAATGACGAAGAAAGAAGCATATCGCCCGCCGAGGAAGTAAAATGGGGCTGGGCATATCGAGAAAAGAAAAAAACAGACCGGGAAAATCGAAAATTACCGACGAAAAAAGTTTCGTTGGATACAAAATGTAAAATTGAGAAAATGCTGATGAGGCTGAAATGCCCGCCGAAGCCAAAATGCAGGAAAAAGAAGAAGAAGAAGGTGCCCGAACGTAAAATAACCATGTTGGAAAGAAATACTATGAGTATGAGGCAGTACATGAACATGCTGGCGAGGCCTAATAGAATTAACAAACCTTATAAACCTAAACCTGAGAAATGCCCGAAAAAATTGCCTTGCGAGTTGGGGCCTTGTCCCCCTAGAATTGTTATGATGTCATTGCCAAACAGAAGGGTTCTTTGGGAAACATGGAGAAATTACCAGGCAGGTTTTAAAAACACTACCTATATTAATACTCGAACTCCATGGAGCATAGCCAATAATTTTTATTGTACATTCCAAAATGTGTTTTTTACAGTTTTAGGTTTACAGAGGAGAACTTTGAGAACAGGGAAAAAACTGGGGGCCCTTATTTCGGCGAAACCATGGTTGCTAGGCCGGGTCTTTTTTTCATCCTTTTTATTTTTATTTTAACACCATGTGGGGTGCATATGTCATTTAAAATCATACTGTAGTTCTTTTCTTCTAAACATATTGTTTTTTCTTTACGTTATTGTCAAACAACAAAGATGCACTGTTTTAAAACCCACTCTTTGGTTACTGCAGTTACGGAAAAAAATCATAAAGTCATTTAAAAAAAATCAATATTAGATGAGCAGTTCATCATGAGCAGTTCGCAAGAAATCAACATTAAAATTGTGGCTAATTTCTGGTTGCCGGTATTTTTTTGTTTTTGACAATAGGTTCACAATTGTGAATAGGTCTATATTTTAAAATGTGTTTTTATACATTAAATTATGTTTTGACAATTTCTAACGTGTATGTCTACATCATTCACTCAACGTCTACATTCTAAAATCATTTTTTTGACACGTTTAAACGTGTTTAGCTTGGTAAATAATGTAAACATTCAATTTTCTTAGTTTCTTTAAGAAACTTTCTTGACCCATCACTGGTAATATTCATAAGAAAAAAAAAATATTTCTTATGAATATTACGAGTGATGGGTCAAGAAAGTTTCTTAAAGAAACTAAGAAAATTGAATGTTTAGCCCGGTTGGGTTAATTCTAGATTCCTTTAGGCCATATTAGTATCTGTGATACAATTGCTGTGTGCAGTCCCGGTTGCATAGTATGTACCGATTGCGGCAAAGGCCACGTCGTTTGACGGTGTGGATTACCTGATGTTCTTACATCTCGCCTCTGTTGACTTAACAACCGAGCAAATAAGCTCAGGGAGTCCTTTGTTTTGGTTGTGTTCCACTACACCAAGTTGCCCGACACTGAGGAGACCCAATATAGGTCGAAACAGCTGTATTTGAAGTTGGTGGAACGCATTCAAAAAAAAAAACTTTGGCGAGGTGTAGGTTCAATTTTTTCTTGGTAATTAATGTTTTTGATATACCGTACTTACGAGGGTGGATCAATAAGTACCCGTGTTTGAAGATGGAGTTAGGAAGTCCCTAATTACAAAGTTAGTGTGGAAGTCCCTAATTACAAAGGCGCGATAATTGACTGATAAACAATTCTTAAAAATAATGTTTTTGTCGGTAACTTAAAATGTAAAATTATAATTATGCCTCATTTTCAGGATGTATTGACACCGGAAACTATAGTCAGAATAGACGACATGTTGCACACGGAGCAAAATGTGGAACCAAAACAAGCTTCAGTTTACTTCAAAGATATCGACAAAAAGAAACGAAAGAAGCGAATGCGAAAAATAATGAAGCGACTGAAAAAACAGCGCGAAAAGACGAAGATGAAGAAACTGTGGGTGAAGAAGAAAGTGGACAAAATCGCTAAAGCGATCATTTGTTACATACGCGACGCGCCGTACTTCGACTTAAACTACAAGCAATACCTGTTCTCTCAAGGCATTCTAACTCGCCTGCACGCCGCAAAACAACTGCCCACAATCGACAGGAACACGAAAAATTGCTACAAACGTTCGTTGATCGAAATATCCGATAAATGCGCCGTTTGGGTGGACGCCCTTATGAAGTTCGTCGAAAACCAGTACGTCGAGTCGGACAGCGACATCGAGGAAATACCGAAATTTCAATTCAGAAGAGGAGAGTCAGAAGAAGAAGAAGAAGAACAAGAAGGAGAACAGGAAGGGGAAGAATGGGGAGAAGAAGAGGGTGAAGAGGAGGAAGAAGAGTGGGGAGAGGAATTCGAAGAAGATTTTGGTTGGCCAGAGGATGGATTAGAGGAAGAAATGGAGGAAGGAGAAGAGGGCGATTTAGAAGGTTTGAATTTATTTATGCATACATAAGATGATAACGTTTACATTTTATGCTTATTTTCAAGAACCTTTGCCAACCGATACTGGTGATATGGATGACGCTGGTCAAGAAGCTCCACAAATGGCTGAATATGTTTTGGATACCACTCCGATCGAACCCGTTACAGATGACGAAGTTGAAGAAGAAGCCACAGAGGAGGAAGAAGCTGAAAAGGAGGAAGACTTACAACCACCTATAGAAACCGGCGAAGAAGAGTTTTCAGAAGAGGGCGAGGAAGATGTGAGTATAACCGAGGTAGAAGAAAAAGCTGAGGAAGGCCCGCCGCAAGAAATGGAGGTTTTATATGAAAAATGTCAAATACAAGGCGATATACCCGCCCACAAACCTCCAAAAGTCATAGAGCATCAACCAGGCACGATATGCTGCTTATCTCTAAAAATATGGTCTGTATGGTTGTTGGAGATCACCCACAACGCCCACAACTGGACCAAATGGATGGCGGACATGATAAGAAAGGTGCGAGAATTTGCCGCGATTATCAGAGGGGATGTGCAAGAAGAAGATGGTAGCACCAAAGTGTTGTACAAATACGACTGGCGGAAGTTTTGCAAGGAGACCAAAGCCGCCATAAAAAAATGGAGTGATTATAGCAAACACGTTCGAGATCTGAATCAGGAGATCTCCGACGAGTTTAAAGACAAACGGGTCACCTGCTGTCCCAAATGTCTTCAAGACAACCTTATCAAGGATGTCGTTACTGCTCATAGTACGTTCAGAGCTCTCACTGAAGCGATGAATGATGCCGCGTACTGGCATTGTAATTTGGAGGATTTGGTGGATCAAGCGACGTTATTAGGCGAATTGGAGGAAACCGAGCCAGAAGAAGTCCTAAGCGGTGTTCCTTCAATTATAGACTTCCAAGAAATGATGGAATGCATCTGCGATCAACAATTACCACCTGATGAAGATTCGATTTACTCGTTTGAAGAGGTACTTTCTGAGGGTAAAAAGGAGGAAGAAGAACAAGAAAAACCTAAAAAAGATAAAAAGGGTAAAAAAGGCGATAAAGGTGGCAAAGAAAAGAAGGAAAAGAAACCAAAGGGAAAGAAATCAAAGGAAAAGGGCAAGAAATCAAAATCAAAATCAAACCTTAAAAAGGACGCTGCGCAACCTGGGACAAGCGCGCTTCAAGAACGTGTATGCATCCCGCCATACCCACAAATGGGCTACACGCCGATGTATCCACAAATGGGACAGTATTCTCAAATGGGCTATCAGCAGTATTCTCAAATGGGCTATCCTCAGTATCCACAAATGGGTCAGTATCCGCAAATGGGTCAGTATCCTCAAATGGGACAGTATCCTCAAATGGGTTATCAACAATATCCTCAAATGGGCTACCAACAAATGCTGTATCAGGGAAGTCAACAGGTTCAAGTTCAACCTCGAACTGAAGCTAAACCTGATACTGAGTCCGACGAGGAAGAAAAAAAACCAAAGAAAAAACCCAAAAAATGTCCGAAAAAATGTGGAAAGAAACCAAAAAAAAATTAGATAGCAAAATATGTAGTCTTGTGTGTTGTAAAGTATTTTTGTTATACCGAAACGTAATAAAAAGTTTATTCTCTTTTAAATTAATTTTACAACAATAGAATCAAAAAGTGTCGAACTAAAAGAGTACTAGTATAAGCTTATATTAAAAATGCCTGATCTAGAGAGTTTCAGATTGTTAAAATTTTATTGGTTATGTTATACAAATACAACCACAGTCAAAATTCATATTTACACAGTAATCCATAGATAAGGGATAAGTTAACTTAACCCAATTTTTAGTAATCGTAAATATATGAATTTGAGAATAGATAAGTATTTTCATGACAAATCATTGGGTTTAAACTGCACGTCTGTCTTTATAAGTTTTTATCTACTCCTATTGCATACCTATTGTTTTTTTTTTCGTGAATAATATTATTCATATGATCATATGATATAGGTAGGTACATTATAAATTCCCTGCATAACAACGGGATTAATAAACTAATTATTCGCGTTGTAGGCATCAGTGATTGGTCGATTTCAATATATATATATACTGTGATTTGAACCAATCGGTTTTTAAATTAGGAGAAGGCGACTAATAACATTTAAAAATGGTAAAAATTGAGGTTAACCAATTGACAGATGTCAGAATTTATATAATTATTTTTAAAAATCATTTAATAATCTACTTATTGAAGTAGATAAAGTATAGTATTACACTCGAGATTATGCGCATTATTTACTCAGATGATTTAAGTCTCGCCTGGCAACTCAAGACGCAAACCGACTACATTATTTCTCGTATAATAATATACTATTAAGATATGATTGTTATAAATTAAAAATAATCAACAAGACATTTTTGGACTATGGCTGTTCTTATAAAAAGCGGCTTAATTACAAAATTAACAAGCTATTTTTTTACAAACACATACATACTTGCATAAATAAGATTTTAAACATTTTTCAAATATTTGGAATTAAATTTTAAAAGCAAATAACCCTAAAAATCTATAGAAAAACGATGCAAGAAAACAACATAAAAAAACACTGATCTGTCAACAATAGGTACCATTAAGGTCAAGTCACAGAATTATATTCTGTGGTCGAGTCACACTTATATACTTACCAAGTATATGCATATGGTCACTCCCACAATCCATGTGTGGATTGTGGTCACTCCGATATATTTATAGCTTTAAAATATTTGTGTTCTTTCTGTTTTGTATTTTTTCCCATTTAATTAAATAGTCCATATTTGTGAAGTATTTTTATAAACTTTTGTATTATTGTTTTAAAAGTTGAGCATGCCTATTGTAATGAGAAAAATTACTATACCTAGAATTTTAGGAAAATTATAAATTAAAATTTGCAAAAATTATTGCAACATTGATCTAAAAGGAAAGAAAGTCTTTGATTAATTGGAGTTTTTAGAGAATATTATAGACCACAAATGTTATTAAAAAACGGCAAAATTTAATTAAATTTTTAAAAATATCTATAGCGAAAGTAGGTTTTCTTGGTATGAAGTATAAATACTACTAAATGCCATTAATAATAATTATTGTTTTTATGGAATATAACATTGACTTGAATTTGGGTCAGTGTTTATATTTATCCGATTATTTTTTATTACCATGATTGTGTAAAATTGTTTGTATATAATCTATAGATTATATACAAACAATTTTAGTACTCTTATAAGAGTACTACTGCAGTTCCTTCTACAATTAAATTTTATAAAGTAAGTAGGTACATTGCAACTTTTAGCACAAAAGTGAGTTTTAATACGAGGCGACACTTTTCATGTAGATAAATTGTGATAAATATATAAAAATACCTCCTATATAAAAAAATTTGTATCTTTAATTTCCGACTCTCTAAACATGACCTCCACATAAAAAAATACTTCTTGCACGCGCGTATTTAAACATGCGAACGTATCATTGTAGTGACAATTATTAACATTATTTGCTTTGTACTTTCTCTTACGCAAATTTTATAACATTTAAGAATACGGTAATTGGCTTTTGTATTTTAGGAAGCGGTAAAAGGAGATTTATTAGTGGTAGGTACATTAGTATTGCACAACAATATGAGTGGTGTAACGGTTTTGAATATTTTGGAGAGCAGTTTACTAAATGAAGAAACTAATAATAATAATAATAATAATGTTAAGCAGGGTAAAAAAAGATTAAAGTTTCCATATGATATTATTGGTGTTGATGAAGAAGTAAATAAAGAATTATTAAAGGATTTTACAGGTGAGTCAAGTGAAGTATTCTCCCAAGATTTAACATTGCTTATTTATAAAAATTATAATTTATGAAAAAATATTATCTTTATCGATATATATTCAATCGAATCTCTAGATTCCAATTTCGTTTAAAAAAATGCGACGCTAATCCAAATTTGGATTAGCGTCGGATTTTTTTCAAACAAAATTGTAATCTTGATCGATTTAGGCGGATGATCCGATTGGGATACGAAAAATACAAATTTAATAGACATTCAAAATTGACATTTTTAAGTAATTTCGACATAAAATGTGTTTTTTACATAATTAATTGTGTTTTAGTAATTTAAAATATGTTTCAGATGTTATTTTTAAATTGCATGTTTTTTTTCAAATTTAAAATTGTTTTCAACATATTGTGTTTCTGATCCTATACAGGGTGTCCCACAATTAGTGCGACAAAATGAAGGTGTATTATATAAAGACCCCCAGGAATTCCAGAAAATTGTTTAAAAAATTCTTTCTTCATTATTTAATAAGATACAGGGGAGTCATATTTTCTTTATATGGCAACATTGCCTCATAACAAAGTAATAGTTTAATTCTTAATCATCATGACAACAAACAACAATGTTAGAAAATGCCAAATTTAAATGTCAAAATTTGTTACTTTAAGTTATAGGTTATTTATTTTACGTCAGACAGGGACTCCCTGTATTTTTTCTATCCAGACTGACGTAAAATAAATAACCTATAACAAATTTTGACATTTAAATTTGGCATTTTGTAACATTGTTGTTTGTTGTCATGATGATTAAGAATTAAACTATTACTTTGTTATGAGGAAATGTTGCCTTATAAAGAAAATATGACTCCCCTGTATCTTATTAAATAATGAAGAAAGAATTTTTTAAACAATTTTCTGGAATTCCTGGGGGTCTTTAGATAATACACATTCATTTTGTCGCATTAATTGTGGGACACCCTGTATAAATATTTCTATAAACGGGTTTTAGTAATTCTAAAATGTGTTTTTGTTATTCCAAAGTAAATTCATTGAATTTAATTCAACACATTCAAATTTGTTTTTACATGCCAAATTGTATTTTCGACAAATTCAAATTTAATAGACATTCAAAATTGACATTTAATTACTTAAAACTTTAACTAATTTCGACATCAAATGTGTTATTCATAATTAATTGTGCTTTAGACATTTAAAATATGTTTCAGATATTCCTAAATGTGTTTTTTTTATTTTAAATTATGTGGTCAACATATTCAATACTTGGGGTTTTTAATATTTAAAAAAATAGAAATTTAAATTGTGTTTTCGGCACTTTAAAACTAAATTAAAAATGTTGTTTTTTCGAATTGTGTTTTTAAATTTTTTTAAATGGATGCAAATACAAGTTTTGTTTTAAAAGGTGCAAATGCAGATTCTAGTTACAATTGTACACTTAAAAAGACTTATTTTAAGGTGAAAAAACTGGATTTGTCCAAGTGGGGCCCAAAAAATGGTTCTTTCCCAGCGGTTACGTCAAAGAAGCCGAAAATTATTACAATTTCGAACCACGTCCCGATGACGTATGGGTGGTAACTTACCCCAGATCGGGTACCACTTGGTCGCAAGAAATGGTTTGGCTACTTGCAAACAATTTAGACTACGAGCGAGCTGAAAAAGTACCACTTGTGGATAGATTTCCGTTTTTAGAGTAAAACATAATCTAACACGAGTTTAAGAACATAATAACATTTTTTTGTTAGGTTTACCTCTTTTATCCACGATGAAACGCTGAAGGAATTTGTCGAGGAAAATAAACATTGTCCCGAAAACCTAGAAATGGTAAAAAATACCGCAACACCTGCCTGGAAGTTACTACAGGCATGGAAACAAAGACGATTTATTAAAACCCACTTACCTTTCGATTTATTGCCTCCAAATTTATTAAAATTGGGATGCAAGGTGAGTTAAAAATTACTTTAAACCATGGTTAGATTTAAATATACCTACATAAGTTTAATAGATTAAATTATCTATAATTAATTTGCTAAAAATACTACCCAATTACCCAAGTGTTTTCAAAATAGTATTTTTAGCAAATTAATTATCTATTTAAATTTATATATATATATTAGGGTGCTTCAAAAATTTTTTTTTTCGCTCTTACCCTCTCAAATGTTTTTATTTAGTATAAAAAAAATCCTCACCAAATATGGGCGTTCCAGCTCAACTCTAAGAGGTCGCTATTTTTATTTTAGTTTCCCATTGAATTAACATGGGAAAAAATTAATTTATGTTTGGAATTTTATACCTCTGTATCAAAGTAACTTATGGCAATGATCATAGCAGTTTCTTATATCAAATTTAACGCTCTACAAGAAAGGTTTCTTATTATTTTTCGATAAATTGATTTCTTCTAGAGTTATTCGAGGTCAAAGTTTTCCCCCTTTCACCTCCCGTCTGCTAATTGTACCAGAAACCTTAATTTTAATCAAACTTTGACCTCGAATAACTCTAGAAGAAATCAATTTATCGAAAAATAATAAGAAACCTTTTTTGTAGAGCGTTAAATTTTATATAAGAAACTGCAATGATCATTGCCATAAGTTACTTTGATACAGAGGTATAAAATTCCAAACATAAATTAATTTTTTCCCATGTTAATTCAATGGGAAACTAAAATAAAAATAGCGACCTCTTAGAGTTGAGCTGGAACGCCCATATTTGGTGAGGATTTTTTTTTATATTAAATAAAAACATTTGAGAGGGTAAGAGCGAAAAAAAAAATTTTTTGAAGCACCCTAATATATATAGACCATTCATCTCTACAGATATACCCAATTAAGTGTTCAAAATAGTATTTTCAGCAAAGAAAAAATGTTTTTAAAATAAAAAATTACAAACAACGCATTTTTATAGGTCTAAAGACCAAAATTGTACCAAAATTTTTTTGTTTAGATATATATATATGCATGACATTTACTAACAGTTTCCGGCCACCCTGTATAATCCGTATTATTCCCTTTTAAATAACCATTAACAATTATTTATTCTAAAACACATTACTTTTAAATATATTAAATTTATATTTGTATTTCATTTTCTATGTCAAGTTATAGTTTCAAGATTTTTATATCTTTGGAAAATTGCATAACGCGTCTGACTACGGATCAGAAGATTCCAGGTTCGAATCCTGGCAGGATCGAAAACTTTTTTAATTTATTTTCGATATTTTGATACCTTTTTGGAATCATCTTAGGGTGCTATGTTATAAATATATTGTTAGGCCATCTTATATTAATTAAAAAATAGCGTGAAACATGTTTGTAAATCGGTTTTTATTTTTTTAAACAGTTATTCCTAAAAACTATTAATTAGAAACAACATTAAAAAAAATGTAAAGCCCATTTTCTAAATTAAAAAATATATTTTTTTCGTAACAATAAATTCATTACATAACAGCTTTTTCCAGCGATGTCTTCAATTATTGGTTCTTTTTAAAGGTAGGTAGCTGCAAATAATAGTATAGGTACAATACATAGGTATGGTTGGGAAATGTGTTTTTGACATTCTTAATCTGGTTTACACATCTTATTAAATTGTGTTTTTGATATTCTAAACCGTGTTTAGACATTCTATAGAATATTCTTAAAACGTATACGTTTTAAGAATATTCTAATATGTGTTTAGACACTTTTGACTTTCTTGATTAAAATACATTCTTAAATGTGTTTTTGATATTTGAACACTTGAATAAACATTTGAAATTTTTTATTTGTTACACAATAGTATTGTGACAATACAAAGTAGTCAAATTTCGCTCGGACTCACAATGAAATAAACTATAGTTTATTTATTTTACAAAATTACAATTTTTAAAACTTTATTAATTATTTTAGGTAATTTACATTGCTAGAAATCCTAAAGACGTCGCCGTTTCTTTTTTCCACTTAAATAGGCTCATAAGGACGCAGGGTTATATCGGAAATTTTGAAAAATATTGGGATTATTTCGAAAACAACTATCGTAAGCTATTTTTACATATACACACGGTGGATTTTTAGGGTCAATTTTCGGATCATCAGGCAACCACGGTTTTTTTTCATAAATCGATTATATGCCTGTTATAGACAAAAAATACCAAAAATAAAAAAAATATTTCGGTTTTTTTGTTTTTTATTAAGAAAAATATAATATAAATGGGTCTAATTTTACTTTATTGGTTATTTTGCAAAAAGTCTCAATTTTATCGAAATTCTGTTTTAACAGTGATATAGAATATTAAATTTTCTACTTAATAAGTAAATTTAAGCAATTTCTTAGAAATGACTTTTTAACCTGAAATCGCAACACTAATAAAAATTCTTATTTTAAAATAAAATTATATGTTTTAAGAACCATGGGCGCCCTACTGGGAACACATAAAAGAAGCATGGGAACTAAAAAACGAAAAAAACTTACTTTTTATGTTTTATGAAGACATGGTCAAAGATGTAATATATTTAATAACATTGGTAATATTATTAAGGATATTTAAAATTAATATTTTTTAGAAATTACGTAGTGGCATAGAAAAAGTATCAACGTTTCTAAACCAGGAATATTCAAAAAATGAATTGGACATTCTAGAGGAACATTTAAAATTCGATAATTTTCAAAATAACAAATCCGTTAACATGGACGTCTATAAAAGGGTGGGCATTTTAAAATCCGGCGAGCAAGGCTTCATAAGAAAGGGCAAATCAGGAGGTTGGAAGGACTACTTTACACAAGAATTAAATAAAAAAGCTGATAAATGGATAGAAGAAAATTTAAAAACCACGGACTTAACATTTCCCCAAATTAAATAGTTATATTTTTGTATTTATTTTTATACATATTAATAACCATACATAAAACTTACCTTATTTTTCAGTATAATGGGACATCAAATGTTAATTATTAATTAAAGTATAGTATTTTAAGTGGATTTATATAAACAAAAAAATAATATTTAAACCTTTATTAAGTATAATACTCATCGAGGCAAATTACTCTAATTATAAAATTTAATTTTATATAAAATAGTATTGTCAATTTGTACTAAAATGAGCTGCATTTTTACAGGAATGATAAGCAGTCTTAAAGTGGACCCAAATACTATTTAATTATAAGGGATGTCCCAAGAAATACTTTAATAACATACACATGTTTGCCAAGTTTTCGAGTAGTTTTTGAGACACCCTGTATATAAACACGTAACATTATTTATTAAAGCTTAATACTCCAGATCATAATTTTTATAAATATATTTCTTAAAATATTTATCTTAATATACTTATTAGGTAAATAAATCCATTTGGCATATCATCTACATTTACATAAATATAAATATCATTATAAATAAAGGCTTTTTCAGTTTTTTTATTGCAATTATTGCATAAAAGTATTTTGTATAAATACTTTGGGGGAAGACGAAAAAAATGTATTGCATTTATTATCACACCAAAATTGTTTAAAAATCAAATGTTTTTACAGGGAATGTAAATAATTGAATGATGGAATAAATATTATTGTAAAATTTTCAAAATGTACGATTTTATCAAAATTTAGCATTATTTCAAAAAATGCTAAAAAACTACAGTCCTAGTATAAATTTTGGGTAGGGAAATTCAGAGTCAAAAAGTCATGAAAAATAAGAAGTCGTTAAAAATTTTGTTGTATATAAAATATGGTATATTAGATTGTGGTTTTAATAAGAAAATACTTGTTCTTTTAAATCTACACATATTCCCCACACAAATATAAAAAATATGCAGGAACCCTAGTAAAATAAGGGAGTATAATACTCGTTTGCCTTTTCTGTCAGATATGTCATAGTACCTTATTAGTGGACCCCTTTAGTACCTTAGTTAGTGCATGTGTCAAACTATAGACAAAGCAGAATAGATGTCTAACCTATTCTGCTAGTGCATGGTTTGACACAGACAATTAAAGAGAATGGACGCGTAACGCCTATTCCACAATGGCGTAGTGAATTGTGCCGAAAGTGAACCATAAAATGAAAAAATGGCGACGATTGATAAAACAGTACGCTACCTTACCCTTTTATGAAAATTTTAGTGCTCAATAATTTTAAATTTTTGAACAATTTTTTAAACTTTTAATTAATTAATTATTAATTGTTTAATTAATTAATAATAAAAATGTATAAAACAACATGTATTTTTCAAAAACAGTAGACTATAGTCAATTTATTTACCCATCTTTCAATGACAAAAATTTAAAAAATATGGTATTATTTTGAACCTCCTTAAACCATTTGTATTTACTTTATGTGGTTTAACAAGACTAATTTATGATCTTGTTTATAACATAACTTTTCATTATTTTTGTTATTAGTATACAGTATAGTCTGTTTTTCGAGGCTAACCATGGGTATCTCGCTTATCTTTAGGAAAAAGTTACACATGTTCATGCCAATCAATAATTTAAAAAGACATTTGACTTATTATTTTTAGTTTTCGAGATATCGTAGAATTTTTATTTTTATTTTTTATTTTAAAAGCGGTTAAGGGTAGCTCTAATTCAGACATTATAAAGGCACCTTTTCAAGGTAAATTAAATTTTGCCAATATCTTTTTGGTAGCTTTCAAAAATGTCAAAATATAATAAGCAAGATACCCATGGGTATACAGTATGTCCGTTTTTAGAGGCTAAGCATGCATGCTTAGCCTCTAAAAACGGACATACTGTATACAATAAATTTTGAGGCTGAGCATTTGTTTTTTATTGATTTAATTGAACCATTTAACAAGAATATTAAGAATAAACAAGAAAAATAAGAAACACTGACAAAAAACGTTTAATAGCCTAATTCTGCCATGCTGGAATTTCTCGTTTATGCTCGTTTTTCTCGTTTATTCTCGTTTGTGATCGAGCATTTTTCATATCTAATCGCCATAACTAAGGTACTACAGACACTGTAGTACTATAGTGTTGCGGCACTGTTGCCAGGTCTAGGCAAATTCCCTAGATCTAGGGAATTTAAACCCACAGAAGGGAAAAAGAAGGAATTTTAAAAATTGGACAAAATTTAAGGAAATATTAATCCACGGCACCTATTAGACTATTAAAAGGCAAGAATATAACATATATGATCCTTGCAAGTCCGCCATATTTGATACGAATGTGGTTTGGAAAGTTTTTGTTAAACTTCAAATTACAAAAAAATTAACATTATGTCAAACATGATTTAGCGATTTACTTTAATTGGAGATGCACAGATTAAACAGCTAGACAGCATGGCATAAATAAAATCTGTATCTGTCTAAAATAACAACTTTTAAATTAAAAAAAAATTATAAACAGGCTAAAATAAATCTGGGGAAAATACGCTAAAGAAGTATCGGGTTTTCGCAACGCGCGCGCCATCTGGCGCCAACTGGTTTAGTACTCGATTTCGATTGATTATTCTTTATATCATTGATTAAGAAACTCAACGATTAATGCTTATTTAGTTACTTTAGTTTGAGTATTTTATCAAAGGGATCATGTGAATTATTGTGTTTTTAGTTGTAAATAAAATTCAAGAGCTAAATCGTTGCATTTTCATGTTTTGCCAAAGGATCCAATTCGGTAAGTACATTTGTTGGTGCAGAATTAACTAAGTAATGATAATTTTATATATTTAAGTTCTCTAAAAAACGCTGACAACTGCATTTTAAACAACAAAATATACATACGAATTCATGGCAAATTATATATAATACATAATATAATGGTATTTTACCGTTGAGTGGAGACTTTAAAGAATTCTTAATCAACGCTTTAAATAATGCTAAGTGCTGTTAAATTTAGACGACTTATTTGTTTGACGATTTTTACTGAATTGAAATGTTTACACTTTTTACGTTAATCATTACCTAAATTTATTGTATCTAATAGATACAATTTATATTTACATGAACTGTATGAAATTTATTCTTCATTCGGATTAACACTGTTTATTGGAAAACCGATAAAAACTCAACCCAGGATTTCCTCTCGAAATACACCCAACAACACAACAAATCGTGCCACGGTTTTTTTTTTCGATATTTTTTAACATTTTCCGGCTTTATTCTCAAAAACACTCGTTTGTAACACACGCGTTTAACAGCTGATTATCGTACTTCTTTAGCGTATATGCCTGAAATAACAACTTTTTAATTTAAAAAAAAATATATAAACGGTCTAAATTAAATCTAGGAAAAAATATAGAAAAAATCCTAGGGAGGATAGAAAGAGCAGTACAGTCAGTTATGCTAATTTAATGACCTTGAACGATCCCAAACGAAGCCCGTACGCATTCCCTTTCCTCCGACACGTTTTACAAGCTTGGAGGGTCGAGCCGCTTTAATTACTGCTCCCTCTCTACTGTGGTACAAGGTTTTACTTTTAAGGTCTATGACTTTTTGACTTCTGAATGCTAGACGAGTATTTTTGTTGTCTAGTTAACCCACCTTTTGGCGCCATCATCTCCTGACCCCTTCCTCCACAATGCCCAAGGCTTCCAGCTCCCTTATCAATCTATTCAAATAGCCGGAATCGGGGTAGCTGTGGTTGCTGTTGCTGGGACCGATCTCCGTTTTGTGCGGCACGTTCCACGCCACGACGTCCTCGCAGCCGGTCGTGTGAGATCGCGACACGGTGAATATCAGTCGGCGTTGCCACGCCACGTTGAGCAGGCGCAGTATCCTGCGACCTTTGGGGCTGTCGGGGAGGTAGGCGATGCGGGGGAAGCCCACGGCGTAGTACTCGCGACCTGGGTTCGGATGATCCGGACCTTGGATTCCCGATTGGATGCTTTACGAGAAAGACATATATGTTAATACTTATGTATGTTTAAAATCTCTTTCTTGTTTGGTTTCTTTGTCAAAAACCCTCTAAAATTTTTTCTTTATATTTGTTTTAAAATCGTGCAAGTTATAATTGACATTTATAAGTTAGTCTTGACATTTTTAATAGTATATTATGAAACATGTTATAAACGGCACGAGTTTCAATTAGGCAGCGATACTTGCTGAGCGAGTGTTAATACACAAGTTTCTAGAGAAGTTTATAAAATGAATTGCATACTAAACTTTTTCTACAACAAACAAAAAAATACATTTTTCACAAGAAGGGCACTTTATTTCGACGAACAAAAGAGATTGTATGACAACTGACAAGCGATAAATAACCTAAAGCTAACTTTAGCTCATGTCTAAAAAGTCCGAAATCAGTTTTAGTCTCGGAAGGAACTTGGTAAACCACAGTCGCAGCTCGTCAATTTGTATTTAAAAGATCACTTGGTGTTTTCGAAACATATGGGAGTGGATATTTTTTTTTATCTTCAAGCGTTCCTTAATTCAAGTTTTATTATTCCCAAAGTAGGGCACAATAGGATTGCGAAAGCAAACCGCAGTGCAGGGCTTTGAACCACCTAACGGGGGAGTTTTAGTGGGTATACGTCAATAGACGGAGTCCCACACTACTCGGGGCCCCAAGAGGAACCGAGTGTTCGTAAAGAATTTCTCCGCCGGCCAAAGAAAAAAAAAATTCCCAAAGTTCACTACCAAAGTATTCGATTATCTTCCTAGGCTCTAAAAATAATTTAGACCAATCAGGTGAAGTTGTTTACATTCTATTCTGTAAAAAACCCTTACAAGCAATCAAAAAATTCTATAACTATTAACAGCTTTATGATATAATGGAAAATATCCAAGGGAGACAATATGGATTCCCGGCAAAGAAATATCCCGGTATTTCTTGATATTAAGGATTATGAGTACAAGTGGCGAATGAAAGGTAAGAGAAGAATAGAATATAGTTTTTAAGGAAGATTGAGAAAACATACGTATGGGACATCCCAGACCTGCATAATAGCAAAAATTGGTAGAAAGTGAGGTTAACCATCCGACAGATGTCAGTTTATATTTATTTATTTATTTGTGAAAATAATTTAAATATCTACTAATTAGAGTAGATAATAGTATATTATTATACAAAATATAATGCAGGCTCTTAATCACTACGATAAGGTTGGGTGAAATTAAATAATCCGATTGAATAATGTGCATAACCTCGAGTGTAATACTATACTATATCTAATCAAATAAGTGGATAAATTAAAAATCTGACATCTGTTAGGTTAACCTCACTTTTTACCAATTTTAAATGTTATTATAGTCGCCTTGTCCGAATTTAAAACCCGATGGGTAAAAAAATTACAGTGAATATTGAAACATGAATAATAAGATCATTATTTATAATATTCATCATTGTTCACAATATTCTGCAATACGAGTAGGTAAAGTATAGTATTACACTCAAGAGTAAGTGCATTATCTCTTGAATAATAATTTTTATACAATACTTTTAGTCACAGTTGGCTTTATTATAAATTAGGGAAAACTGAGGTTAAATCTGTATGACAGTTGTCAGAAGAAACATTACTGTGTGTTTGTTGGGGATAAAGTATAGTATGCAACTTGTTAATTAAAATTGGTGATCACAATGCCGTTTATCAACCTTGATAATTAATATACTTTTAAATAGAGTAACAGTTTTTTTAGGTGCCCTACAAGCTCTAAACTTTAGCAGATAATAGCTGGGTTAATTCTAAACATTTTTTCTTTAATAACCATGGGTCCGATTCATTTTTGTTTAAAAGTAACAAGCATTTAAAAAAAAATTATTTACATATTTTAAAAGTGCCGGTTAATTTGACAATAATAATTATTGTTTGTGTCATTCGTTTGACACTTTCAGTAGAATTGACTTTTTAAATTAACCATTGTTACAACCAGGGTGGAAGAAGGAGGTGATATCGCTTCCATCTCTAAAGTACAGAAGCAGCGTCCACATAAGTCAGTATTTCGTTCGTTGTTCGTTAGATGGCGAGTCAAATAAGAACCTAAGGTTTTACCAACGAAATCCATATATTCTATAACAACTTAACTTTTAACAACAAATTATAACCAAAACCCAAGGAGAGTCTTCTACCCTCCTTAACGAAAATTACATCTTTTCCCACAGCATTATTATAATAATTTGCAGAACGATTGGTAATACTGTAGTATTGCCAACTGTTCTACCAAAATGCAGTCGCCACAAACGCACAAAAGTGATGTTGAAATGGTTTTATTTGAATTTTAATTAAGCTTAGTGGTCTATTCTTTGAAGTTAATCAATGTAATTTTACTAAAAATGGGAAAAGTTTGTTGTGCACCGGGATTAAAACAGGTTCCACTTCAATGCGCCATCTATACAGACTTTTAACAAATACTGACTTATCTGGCCGCCTTCAACGACGGAGTTGAATCACCTCCTTCTTCCACCCTGGTTACAACCAAGAAGACTAAAAAGAGGAGCTCCATATCAAAAAGACACACTGACATATGAATGAGGTTATCTATCTGTAAGTTTAAAATAATGCAATAATACAATATCGTCGCCTTCAGGACCTCGAAAGGGTAAATTTTATAGGAAGTGAAAAGAGCGTTGACGATCATATTTTTTAGTGCAGTAGAACTTTTTTAGTATTAATATAATTAGCTAAAAATAAGTTTTATCAACATTTTATAAATACTAAATACTAATACTAAAAGTATTAGGGGCCGTTCAAGTATTACGTAAGCAGATTTACTACAATTATTAACCCCCCCCCTCCCCCTTGTCAGCAAAAGTAATCAAAGCTCTTACCCCCCCCCTCCAATGCTTACGTAAACATTGGTCTTTTTGTTTTCAAGCATAGACAATGTGTGGGTTGCCATATATGTAAAAAAGTAAATAACTACTGCTGACGTAATCACCATCTAGACCCCCCCACCCCCCATGTCATCAAAAATAAGAAAAGCAAAGACCCCCCCCACCCCCCTATAGTGCTTACGTAATACTTGAACGGCCCCTTAGTAGAAAAATAAATTTCTATGAAAATGCCTCTTACGAGGTAAAGTCACGTGGTGGGACTTTTGTGTGTACCATAGTACCTACTGCGTTAAAGCCATCGATAAATATATTTTTTTATGTATTTATTCAATAAATTGTTAAAAATAGAAAAAGTAAAATATTAATATTTAAAAGGTAGTTTTTATAATATCTAAATTTCATTATTAAAATATAAAAAAAATCTATAAACATTTTTTTTGTGGAGAAAAATTAAGATATGTCAATAAATTTGGTATTCTCTAGCTATACTAACAAACAAAACTGGGCACTTACTTGTACACGATTTGTATGGTCCGACAATTCTGGAAGCCGGGCAACGCTCTGTCCATCACCCCCCACTCCATGCTTCCGGGGGGCTGATTGCCGTGCTTCTCTCCGTAGATGCACCCGCAAACGGCGCACTGGATGTGCAGCAGCGCGCCCGCGTCCTGCTGCTCGGTCAGCGCGTAGTTGAGGCAGTCGAGGTGCAGCACGTGGTTGCACGGCAACGCGATCACGCACACGCTCGGTTTGAGCGGCTGCCGGCAGAGGGGGCACGGCTGTCGCGGCGCCCATTCGCTGGGTTTCGACACGCGCACGAAGCGCGAGATTATGGCGCTGGCCGGGTCTATGCCTTGAACGAAAAAGAGAACGTATTAAATTTACACATTAGCGACTTTTCCGAAAAACGGCTTGAGGGTTGCCAAAATGCAAAAAATACGTGTGGAGGGATGTAAAAGTGCATAACCTCAAATTACTTGATTTTAAAAATTGCATTTTCCTCAATTCATGACGTTGTTTTTCATAATTCACGCTTTTTCACTTCCACTTTCAAATTCTACGTCTATTAGATACGTGTTTTTGACTCGCTACATGCTCTTTTTCACAGAAAATCACTGTAAGTCACTTCAATTATCAGCCCCTTTTATTAATTACGTGATAATTATACAACTTTTTTACCCTGCGCCTAGATACGTGTTTTTGGCTCGCTGCATATTCTTTTTTACAGAAAATCACGGTAAGTCACTTCAATTATCAGCCCCTTTTTTATTAAATACGCGATAATTATACAACTTTTTTACCCTGCGCCGATTGTTTATGCACTTTTACATCCCTCCACACCTATTTTTGGCATTTTGGCAACTTTCCTGCCGTTTTTCGGAAAAGTCGCTAAAGTGAAAATTTACCGAGAACGTTTTTAAGCGTTGTCAACCCTGGGAAAATTTTCCTAACCTAAAGAATTACCAAAACCTTTAACCCTAGGCAATTTTTCTGTTTTTCAATTTAAGTACACTCACAGGCAAAATAATCGATCCACACAAATTTTCGATGAATTTCAATCGCAAATAACTTTTTTATTTGATTTCGGATTTAAACAAATATTAAAGAATATTGTAGATACATTAATGGAGAATCGCTCACATTTTAAAAATTACTAAAAAATACCCGTACGTTTATAATATACAGGTTTAAACAAAAAGATGTTTTTAACCATAAGTTTAAGACACTCTGTAGAGTGGCAAAACCGTATATTGTTCTAAATTAAGTTTGAATTATCAAGTCACATCTATTTTTAACAGTTTTGTTTTTGGTTCACCTTGATATATTTATTTTTGTGGAAAATATGGATTTTTTTAAAAAACATTGCAATTTCCAATATTTTTCCTGTATGAAGAACTAAGGTTGCTATGGTTCATCCATAGCCTATGGAGGATGACAGTGACAGTTTTGTTGAATCATCCCATACTTGGACATGTCATATACAGCTTTCAAAAGCTATCAAATTGTTTTTTGTAAATTAATGTGTTAATTTTGAGGTGTCTCCTTACTTTGAAAATGTCTCCGACTAATGTTGCCTTTTCACTTTACTGCTTGTGACGTTTAAAACACTTGCCACGTAATACTGTGACCGTCCATCTTGGATTAAATTAATGGCTCTGGCAACACATATCCATTTTTTAAAGTAAGAAGACACCTCAAAATTTAACCTTAATTTGCAAAAAACAATTTGATAGCTTTTGAAAGCCGTGTATAACATGTCCAAGTATGGGATGATTCAACAAAACTGTCACTGTCATTCTCCATGGCCTATGGATGGACCATAGCAACCTTAGTTCTTCATACAAAAAAATATTGGAAATTGCAATGTTTTTTTTTTAAATCCATATTTTCCACAAAAATAAATATATCGAGGTGAACCAAAAAAAAAAACTGTTAAGAATAGATGTGACTTGATAAATAAAACTTAATTTAGAACAATATACGGTTTTGCCACTCTAGAGAGTGTCTTAAACTTATGCTAAAAAACATATTTTTGTTTAAACCTGTATCGACCTGTATATTATAAACGTACGTCTATTTTTTGGTAATTTTTTAAAATGTGAGCGATTGTCCATTAATTTATCTACAATATTCTTTAATATTCGTTTAAATCCGACATCAAATAAAAAAGTTATTTGCGATTGAAATTCATCGAAAATTTGTGTGGATCGATTATTTTGCCTGTGAGTGTATTACGTATATGGGACTATTGAAGAAACTTTAAATTGTTTTGCGACAGTCGCCGGTCTCTTTATATTACTCTTTCATTACTAAGTTACGACTAAAGTGGGGAACAATTATTGAGTTCCAAAAAGGTAACAAATATGTCACTAGCTATAAACCCTGCTACTATTTGGAACGTAGCTGCTACCTTACTAGAACGTTTCAATATCGTTGCTAGAGCGTTATAATTACTTTTATTTGTTTGTTTTTACTTCTACATTAATTGTCTATGTCAAACTTATATTAGATTATACTACCTTTTTTAAATGGAACCACTACGGACCTGGCTTTTCAATGTCGTCGTTTATTAAATATGTAGTTTATAACTTCCAGAATAACAATATAATGTTAAATTAGGCAGGTAAATTTATAAACCCTTTAAATTTTACTGTTGAACTTATGAATTTAGTTTTTGTAAAATAAATGCGCTTCATCAATATTTAAGTATAAACAAATTATTTATTAAATATTGTTTATAAAAAAAAAAATCTAAATATACGCTAAAGAAGTCTCAGGTTTTCGCAACGCGCGCGCCATCTGGTGGACTTCGAATGCATTGCGTGACTTTAAGAATTGTCAACAATAAATTTAAAGCACCGATTATACATCATTTTTAAATAAATAGGTAGTTTTTTTTACAAAAGAGGAAGGCAAAAGTCTTACTCGACAAATTTTTTCAATTGCACAGCTAAATCGCGCACGTTATTTGTGTTTTACGTTGCAAAGAAAAAATTAAAAAACTTTTTTAGTACTAGATTTCGATTGATTATTCCTTATATCATTGATTAAGAAACTCAAACCTTAAATGCTTATATAGTTACGTTAGTGTGTGTATTTTATCTAAGGGATCAAGGTGAATTTTTGTGTTTTTAATTGTAAATAAAAATCAAAAACTAAATCGTTGCATTTTCATGTTTTGCCAAAGGATCCAATTCGGTAAGTACATTTGTTGGTGCAGAATTAACTAATGATAACTTTACCTAATATAATTTATATTTAAGTTTATGCATTTTTAAGAAATTGGTAAAAAATAATTTTTGCTCAAACATAACCTTAAAATCCTTAAAATCAATCATTTTTATATTTGCGTTCTCTAAAAAACACCGACAACTGCATTTTAAACAACAAAATATACCTACAAATTTATGGCAACATAATTTTATATATAATACATAATATATATTATATAATGGTATTTTACCGTTGAGTGAGTTTAAAGAATTCCTAATCAACGCTTTTAATAATGCTAAATGCTGTTTAAATTTAGACGACTTATTTGTTTGACGATTTTTAGTGAATTGAAATGTTTTCACTTTTCACGTTAATCACTACTAAAATGTGTATTTATTGTAGGTATCTAATAGGTACAATTTATATTTACAGATACTATGCAGTTTATTTCTTCATTCAGATTAACACTGTTTATTGGAAAACCGGTAAAAACTCAACCCAGGATTTCCTCTTGAAATACACCCAACAACACAACAAATAGATCCACGTTTTTTTTTCGATATTTTTTAACATTATCCGGCTTTATTCTCAAAAACACTCGTTTGTAACCTTAGAGTTTGACAGCTGATTATTAAAAGTTCTACTTTTGTTACGATGATAACAGCCGAGTGGTGGCGCTACTAGCGATACTTCTTTAGAATTAAAGAAAATAATAAAAATGTATGCAAAAAAAATCATAACTTACCAACAATTGAAGGCAACCCCTCTGACGCTATTCCGTCATCGCTGTTCGAGCTGCAATTCAGGAGATCAGCCGCAGTGCAATTCAGCAAATCTGCCGTCGAAGCTGTAGCCTGACTTTCGCGGCTCTCTTGACTTAAATACGTGGAAACGGTGTCCAAACTCGGCCTTCTACCCGATTTAGTACTGCTGCTATCCGCATCCAAGAGCGTTCTATTTTCACTTGTTACCGAGGGCGCGTTACCAGATTTGTTACCTATTATAAATATTTGATTATAATAGTTATGGTATAATTTATTTGATATTTATATTATGTTTATAATAATACAGTGTCCCAAAAATGATGCACCCAAAATAAAAAACTTTTTCTGATACCTACATAGTTTTTAAGTTATTAATTATTCAAGAATATTCATTTACATTAAAGGATTAAACACAATTTTACAATAACGTTTCAAAAATAAAAAGTTAAAATTTGTTAATGATGAGTTATGATGATTTAAAGTTTGGGTTTTCTGACAGAATATAGAATAAATTTTATATTTTATATTCTTAATTCAATTTGACATTATTACATAAAGCTTTTTAAATCTGTTTTTACATTTAAATGATTCTGAATTTCTAAAATATGGTCAAAAATGCGTTTATCTTGCTATGACCACAAGAAGGAGAAAACCCATTAATTCTGGATAATCAATTACAGAACTAATAATCTAAATTTTATATTTAACATGATTAATAGTTTAAATATTATTATAAACAGACACTAATGTAATTTTTGTAAACATTGCTGTAATTCAAATAAAATCTATCTTGACATTCTTAAGTGAGGATTTTAAAATGTATTTTGATTCTTAAATGTGATTTTGACATGCCAAAATATGCTTTGTCTGTTTAATATTCTTAAACATAGTAAAAATTACAGCAACATGAATAAGAAGAAGCTAAATTCGTGTTTAAATAATTAAAATATTACAAAATCAGAATTGTTTAATAAAATACAAAATATCTTACCGAATATATTTAAATTGTTTAATATTGCCCTTGCCAAGTTAGCTGGAGTGGTCTCATTCCCATTCTTATTCTTTCCATTAGTCTTCTTCTTACTATTCCCCTTTTTACTGGCATCTGTTGAATTTAAAGCAGCACTACTCCCAATAATCTTCTGACTTGGATTTTGTTGATTTACATTGTTTCTAGCCGATTTTCTTACATCATTTGCTCTTCTCCCTGTTACTGGCACCAATTCTTCTAACCTAACCTTAACTAGTGGGTATGGGGCCAATTTTATCCTTCTCACACTTCTTATGTAGCCATTTGTCAACCATCTTTGAGTTAAAGTGTTGAAGTTTATCACATAGGGAAAACCTAGACGAGTTTTGCTCATATCTATCGTTTGATCACCTCTAGCCCATGCCTCCTCAATTAGACATTGTATATCCATGTCGAAAGCATGCCAGTCATTCCCATGGTCCGTACCAACACATTCCCATTTTGCCCCTTTCCCAGCTGGCGATGAAGGGGGGTAACATTTTCTTCTAACTGGCACAACAACATCGGAATCTTCATTTTCCTGCGTTAAAGTTCGTAAATTTACAAAGTAGTTTAGTAAAGCTGGGTCAGCATCTGAGAGTAAAACTCTCGTTAATTGTTTGGCATTTGCTCTTTCCAGATGCTGGCTAACTTCGGGGCTATAGGGCTTCCAGTATCCGTTTCTTATTTCGAATTCCCACACGACCACAGCATGTCCAGACATAATTATGTTCCCATTAATTGTCTATCATTTTCCTGTGAAATTAACCTTTCTTTGGCACTACAAATAAATCCGTGCGGTTCACTACACTTCGAGAACGTTATTGTTTCAATTAAAAGCAATCGAGTTTAATTAACCGCATTAAATCATAGAAAAAGGATAAAGCATTAAATTGTGTACGTCGCTTATTTGTTTATTTTGACTTTTTAATGCATACGTTTGCGTCACTTTACGTCAAATGTTATTAAGCGGCGTTGCCGTGCCTACTAATTGACCTACAAATGTTTAAGATATAAATGCTATAGCATTTATATCTTAATATATTTAAAATAAAACTATGGTAGTATTTGGTTAACTAGGATTTTTAATAGCTTTAAAAGAATTTTGTTTAATATTTGCCTCTGTTTTGCGATTTATTTTAAGTATTTAATGTAGGGATGGATAAATATGGCAACATACATTTGCTACTATGCATTTTCAGATACGAGGGTTAATTAATAAGATATTATACGAGGATGATTCCGAAAGTTCTCGAATAAATAAATAAATGACACTTATAAAATAAATAATTATAAGGGTGATTCTCAAAATAACTACACTTTCGGTTTATTATTTTTTTAATACTAAAAAGTTTGGTAATATTATTACAAGAGCATTTTTGAAAAGCTTTAGTTAAATCCTAAACTAAAATAAGATTGATATTGCATGCAAACCTTAATTTTTCTATTTATGGGTAAATTATGTCCACAGAAAAGACGTCCACTGAATGGACATCTATGTATATTATTCTCTATAAGAAAGGTAAATTTTAGGTTATGCCTTCGCATTTGTCATGTGCCAAAAATAAAAATTTTGACAATAATAATGACAATAATTAGAAAATAATTCAATACTTACTGTTTGAAATATAATTGTAACAGAAAGGACAGCCTATGCTTCTACACTGGAGCCTCGTACATAAACATGAACGCTTCTTTACAACCTTTCAAAAAATAACTGACAAGGGCGACTTAAATAACAAATGACAGGTTTTTTAATGACATAAAATTAACGGTTGACGTGAGTGGCGCGAAATACTTTTAAAATTTTGCACTTACAAATAAGTCCTCGGAATGGATCGAAACTGGTAACGTATAAATGACTAAACTACAATATTAAATTAAAAAGAATAAAAAGGAATATGAACCATATCTATGTATTTTTGAGGTATTTAATAATAATGGCAATTTTTTAGGTTTTTTTAATATGCAGGCTTTTCACTACATTAACTGAAACTTACCAACACGATATAGTCACGTTCCACGGAAAGGACAATATCTCTATTCAGATAAGATTTTTGGGCGGTATTTTTTTTTCTTATTTTTTTTTTACTTAAAGTACTGTTAGTTAACGTTGTGTACTTTAAAAATGTTACTTATTTTTACCATTTTTTTTAATATGGGAGAAAAAAACACACGTCACGCAAAGATTGTAGTTATTTTGAGAATAACCCATAAGGTAATACGCGCGACGCGTATTGAAGCGCGGCTATCTCGCGAGGGCGGCAATGTCACTTGTCAATTAAGTTAAGTTGTTAGTTATGCAAATTTGCGCTCGAATTTCACACAGGATTTTTTCTACAACCGGTGTTTCTATAAAAATGTTTGGTAAAAATTAATAATTATTGACTTTTGTGTCAAACGTCGCAAAAACACTAAAAAAACTTTTCTTTATTATGGTAACTCGCTCCTCGGAAAAGTGCAACTTTGCGCTTTCTTTTGGAAGCGCAAATTTGTACTTTTCACTTGGTTGTAGAAAAAATAAATTGTATATTTAGGCGGAATATAAATTAAACTTAATTGTAGTCAACAGTCGACACTAAAGTGATGGATTATGGATATAATGAATAATTAGTTGTTAGCGTAAATGATTGGCCAATTTATTTATGCACCGTGATTTGGAACTATCATAAAATACGACTTGTCTGACAGTTCTAACCTCACTTTATAATTTTTATAATTATAGGTTTTATGTATTGTTTAATTAATATTGTGCCTTGAAGATAATTGGTATACCAATTATTTTCAAGGTCCAAGTTAAAATTATTAAATTTAAAACCATTGTCAACTGGGTAGTCAGATTAAAATTTTAATTTTTGTGATGTGCATTAAATAAAATATGTTTGTGTTGTTTTAGGTGTTTATTTAAAGTAAAATAACGATAACATACAACTAGATGCAAATATTAAATCACACATAAGCCAAATGGTAGAACTTACCATAAAATAAGTTATATGTACATTTATTATTGCTACAGCACTATCATTTATAGTTAATGTAAAAATAGTGAATTGACTATAAAAATAAATAACAATCTTGCATTTACAAAAATAAAACAAAAAATATTCTACAAATAATTTATTTGTACAAATCTCATGCATACAGCACAATTAAATATTAATTGTGCCCTTATTTACAATAAATAAAAGGACGGTAAAAAGTAAAAATCGAAAGAAAAAAAAACAACAAATCACAGACAGTATCCAAAGAGTATCATTCATAAAATATTTACACGCGTTAATAAAATGTTATACTGTAAGTGAGTTATAAAAATCAAAAACCTCTCAGTATCTCATAAATACACACTAAATAAGTATATGGACTGTTGTAAAAGCAAGATTAATTATTAAAGGAGTAAGGCAACTTTTAAATCGTTAGCATGATGCAATTACATGCACTTCATTGCAAAACAAATCGGTACACTTTACATCAAATGTCGAAAATTTGACAGTAGTGTGACGGTTTGTTTTGCAACTAAGTGGGTATCACAATCTAATTGCATTTGCATGTATTTGACAGCTATTTATCCAATTTCTTCTTCCCCTTCTTCTTCTCTTTTTTATCTGTGGCCTGATCTTCAGGGACCTGAGATTCAACGTTAGCTTCTTCCACTTTGGTATCTTCAACTGTGTTTTCTTCTTTTGGGGTTTCACTGGTCGTCGATTCTTCTTTTTGCACTAAAACCGCCCTTTTATCGTCCGGTACATCACTGGCATCTTCAACTTTTTGATTGCCCTCTACTTCCATAGCCTCAGAGGGTTTTTCTTCTTTATTTTCCGTGGTATCCATCTGTTGCTGTGGTTCTTCAGTTTTTTCTTCAGCCGCTACAACCTCCATCGTTTCTTCCGGTTTTTGCACGTTTGCGTTGGCTTTGCTCTCCAAAATCCCCGCGCACTTTTGTATGTATTTTACAGCCTCTCTCCTGGCCTGTCTGATTTCGTCTTTTTCTTGCGTATCGATGTTGTCCAGTTTGATGAGTTGTCTAGTCAGCATTTCATCGAGATACAAGAACTGCTTATCTTTAGGTTGGCCGGAGAATTTGTTCACTTCTTCCATGAGTGTGTCAACGTCTTTTTTAACGATTTCAATCTGTTCCTGATAAGTTAGAGGTTTCGGGGGCTGCGCTGGAGGAGGAGTTGGTTGTTTTTCTGCTTGAGGCTGTTGAGGGGGCTCCTGTTTTGGTACCTGTTGAGATTGCGGCTTTGGAGGTGGTTTTGGAGCTTGAGGCTGGGAGAATTGCCTTTGTTGGAACTGAGGGGGCACGAACTGCCTCGAGAAGGGGTCGTGCTGCGCCCATTCCTTCCTGGGGTCGTTGGCCATGTACTGCTTGTAGAACTCGGGACGGCGGCCGAATAATTTCTCCGGCTCGGGCTGCTGGAAAGTACTTCCCGCGTTTTTGGGCGTGAACGCCTGGTCGCGCCCTTCGATGTGGATGGGAATCACTCTTTCCACGGGTTTACCGGAATCCTGCTGTTTGTTTTCAGCTTTCTGCTGATTTTCCTGCTGGCTATTTCCCGAATCCATGTTCATAGGGATAGTTACGTGCGATGTGAAACGAGGTCTGTTATCTGGCGGCGCAGACATGGATCGTTGGTTTCTATCGTTAACCGGTTCCTGCTGCTGGCCCAAATCCACCGTGTTACTTTGCTGCAGGTTGTTTTTCGTCGCTGGTTCCTGCTGCGCGCTGCAACTATCTTCAGATTGCTGCGGCGGTGGTGGTGGTGGCTGGTAGTATTCCTGAGCAGGCTCTTGATAGTACTGCTGATGAGGAGAACTCTGTTGTTGCGATTGTTGCGGTACTTCCTGCTGAGTTCCTGCCGCGGCCTCGAAGCCGGGAAACGCGCCGTCGAAGTCGTCGAACCCGTCGGCGAATCGGCGGAAAACTGGGTCTTGGCGTCGGGCGGCGCCTCTGGCTGGCGAGAACGGGAAACCTCGGGGAAAGTGCCCGGCTAGTTCCGGGATGCGGTTAGTCCAGTCGTCGAGCGACGATTGGAATCGGTCCTGCGAACCTCGGCGAGGACGTCGATCGAAATCGTCGTCGAAAGGAAAGCCAGTCTGGAAATGAAAGATTTCGGAGTCAGCTCGATTTGTAGATGACGAAAATAAAACGTAAAAATGTTTAATTTTAGTTATAGGTATATAATATAATTGTCACGTTTCTGATGTTTTATATTTTTAATAGTATATTGTATATCAAGTTTGATAAATGCTATTTTAGTCACGAGTCAGTGCTTAATTAAATAAGTGCCTAGAAAAGTTTATAAGTTGAATACTATACTTTTTCTACGACAAATACTTAATATTATCTAAAAAATAATTTAAATTAAATATTTGTATAAAGCGACATCTATACGAAAATAAAGTAATCATCTTAATTAGAGAGGTTCTTTTTCAAGATAAGTCCCATTTGCTTAATTTTTTATGTTTCCAGTCCAGTTGATAGACTAAAATGTATCCACTAAATGACATTTAGTAAATGTAGATACAGTATCGCGCTTTGCCACTACCACCGAATTGACCAATAAGGGGCGCGGTTGTTTTGATTTGGTCCTAAAAAAGTAACTACCTATAATATTTTTGATTCAGCGCTTGATTTTCCAAAAAGCTACCAAAAACAAATTGAAGCTGAACGAACAAGTCCATATGGTGAAACATTTTTATCCAATCCGTGGACCAAAAAGAAAGCCAAAATTTTTTTTTATTACGGTATTCGTTAGGATTGAGCTAAGACAAAGGGATTGAGCGTTGTACCAAATAATAAGAAATCAGATTTTTTAGTCTTGGTCAAAATTTTCAATAATGAAAAATTAATATATTTTACATTTCACTTTATTAATAATAATAATAATATATAAAATAATTTATAATAACCTTTATCCTACCAAAAAGTACGCCACTGATCGACTAGGAACTTTAGGTTAATCTGGTGGATTTATTATGTTAAGGTTGGTAAAAGTGTTTCCAAAATCTCTCAAAAAAGTTGACAAACATTGTTTAAATTTAGCTTAATTACAAAATTAACAATGCACATTGTCAATTTGGCGTTTTTATTAATTGTTGGTTATTTCATTTTTGTACTGAAGGTAAATTCAAACAAAATCTGCCAACTTTTATGACAGAATCTAGTGCATTTCTTTTAAATTTTAGGTTATGTTTTCAAATTGTAAATATCTTAACTAAAGGAAGTGCTTTTGGATTTATTTACACAAATTAAATGTTTAAAGTTTAACCTGTGAACTGGTCCCAATTTCATCTGAGTAAACAGAGAAAAAAACTGATGAAAAAATTAATTTTGTGGTTATGGATTTCAAATTTCAAAGGTATTAAATTTTCTAATCATTGCTTAAGCTAATAGCTGGATCAGTAAATAAATACAGAAGGGTATTAGAGCTTTAAGGGCATAAAACTTTTGTATTTATTGAGTTTTTATTTATTTTTTGCAAGAAAAATTTTTAGTAACAATTTTTTACATCTGTCAACGCATAGCTACTTTGTTGGTTGGTATCTATGTACTCACAAAATACAGGTGTGCAGAGATAAACAAGTGTGTAACCAGTGGCGTATCACAAAAATATAAAAAACTTCTAATGCATATTTTTTCTTTATCTTTGGAAAAATGTTTTTTTAAATATTTTTCCTTTATTCCTTATGTCAAAAGGTATTCAGTATTTTAATATATAACATTAATTACATAACACCCTGTATAATCAAAATTTCATTTTGAAAAAATATTCCATTTTGAAAGATTGAAAAACGAAAAAAACCGTTTTTTTTCTAGGTTTTTATTTCATGTTTTTTTTCACATCTAAAAAAAACCGTTTTTTATATCTCTAATCCCAATAAACATTTTTGACGTAATTTTTAACATTAACATTTCCCGTTATTATTTTAATTAAACTTAACATTCATTGGTACTTTTTTTATTACTATAATTACTATATCACAAAGTATTAAAAATTCTTACACGGAAAATGTTAATGTTAAATGTCGAAATTAAAAAAAAAATCTGTGTAAATAAAAATTTATCCCTTGAAAATAAACTATCAATCGATATACAAGCAGTTTTTTACAATAAAAGAGAAGATAATGTTTTACGGGCACTGTACGCAAAATTGTTAACGCTTTATCAGTTAAAAGTCAGTTTAATACTTTTGTACTTTTGAATTGAGATCATAAAATAATTTTTACATTTAGTACTATTTTACAAGAAGGGCACTTTATTTGTATGACATTTGACAACTGTCAACTAACTTAAAACTTACTTACTTACAGCCCGTGACTAAAAACCTATTGCTAACTTCAGCCCTTGACTAAAGCGCCATAAAGCCACAACTTGTCACTTAGTGTCATGGAAACATGTACGATAATGGGCGTTTTAAAGGTGCGAGTTAAAAAAATTATTTATTAACAATTGTTAGTGCTTCATCCAAAACCAATTAAACCAAAAGAAAATATAGTGGTTTTTATGAAAAATACTTTTAGGTATTTTATTTAATTCAATTTTATCTTTTATCGACCTAAAAAGCATTTTAAACATAATTCTATTCATAAATGGTTAAAAGTATTAAATCAACTTAAAAAAATTAACAAAGTACCTTCAAAATAGTACCACAGAGCCCAACCTTCCACTTTTAAGAAACCATATTACACATTGTTTAATAACATTTTTTCGCTCTAAATGGTAGACAGGGCTGGAATACTCAGTTTTTTGATATATTAAAAACTAAGTAAGCCAGGACTTAATCCTGTTTAAATTGAAAATTAATTGTCTAAACAACCCATAAGAAAGAACTAAAACAAATATCGATACAAAAAAAACCTCCTAAGGTCACTTATTTCACATAAAGCCATAAAAAGTGCTAAAATCTTATCCAACCACATAATAAATTTACTTGTATTATAATTTTTTTTAAATAAACGATGACTCAAGATACACCAAAAAAAGATAGCGAAAATTAATTAACGCGCTTTGTCAAATATTTATACAAACAGAGTTTATGAATATTTTTAACGCTTTTGTGAGGAAATTACGTTTTGCAACCATTAAAAAATAATATTTTGTTGCAATTTTACCGTGAAGGGTTTAAACTGTTTTCGCGCGTCAACCACAATATCAATAACAAAAAACTTACATTATTAAAATGATTTTCCTTCAAAGGAATATCCCGTGGCAAGTTTACTGCCGGCGAAGTCATTTCACTTCACACTCAATAAATTCGATCAATTTCACCTTGATTTGGACGTATTAAAAATACCACAAACGCCTGTATATTTTCTCACGATAATCTACCTGTATTATAGCGCGCTCGTTTAGAAACTGAATACGCGCCGCACCGTGCATTCGATTTTATACTGAACGAGTAGGTAGGTGTTCGAGACTGCTTTTCGAACACCTTCGAGCATTTTCGAGCGCATGGAAAGTTCGAGAACTGCGAAGAAAAATCGGGAATCGTCCGTTGAAAATGCAGCGAGGATGTAGGGAGTTAGTTTACAAATAATAGTGTTTGTTATTGGTTTTTAAATATGCTAGATATTATAAGTAAAAGGACAATATGTAAGCGATAGAATATATCTTTTTTATTGGAATTGCAAATGGAATTTATTTATTTGGAAATATAAAAAAAATTAAAATTTATAGCAAAATTTAAAAACTACCGGCAAATTAAAATTTAACAAAAATATATTTGTCATAATATTATCAATCAAAAAACCTAACAGGCTATAATAACTTAAAACTTTACCTGATTGGTCTAAATTATTTTTACAGCCTAGTAGGTTTTTTAAATTAATGATAGTAGTTATTTAGGACTCACTTCTCAGCCTTATAACGTAAATAACTATTATTTAGAGCGTTTAGTAAATAATTTACCCAAACATCCTTCAAAACTTAATCAAATTTATGGATAAACAACCGTCTATTCTAAACTGTTTTTTATCTCAATTATTATTAGGAAAAAACAGCTACAAATAATCCTATTCACTTGACTTTTTAGGCTTTGTATAACATAGGTAATTTTACGTGGTATTTTTTGTCTTCTATACCCAAGCTAAAGCCAATAAAATATCAGGAGTTTGTTAATAGAAATAACATCACACATTATTTTTTGGAATAAATGAGCAAAATCAGACATATTTATATGAATTATTTTACATATTTTTTTGAATAGATGCAGAGGCGTTTTGTTTTTGGACGTATATGTCTTGAGGCTAAATAATTATTATTGGCAACAATATTATTGAATAAAAATTGATTAATTAAAGTAATTAATTAACTACTAAATGGTGTACATAAATTTTCATGACAAGTTGTAACGTGTTCCTATACAGGGTATCCTACTGTGTATATTTTTATGGGTATTTTTTTATTTATTCAATTTCTTAGCTACTATATTTTGAGTTACCCTCACCAACTTTTGTTTATAATGACCGCCCTAACTTATGTAGTTAGATATATCGTTGGACTCCTTATGGAAAATTTCAATAGGCGGCCATATGAATAACAAAAGATGGTAACTCAAAATCTAGTAGGTAAAAAAATCAAAAATTGGATAAAAATGTAGATAAATGTGTAAGTATTAACATAATTTTTTTAAATTATTATTCAAATTATTGGAGAACCGCCTTTTTAGCAATTTTTAAATTATACCCTAAAGAAGATACCCATACATAGAAGGATACTTGATGCACTCTGTAGACATTTTAAAAGCTCAAAATCAAAATAAATTTATAAAAAAACGTTTTAAATCATTAAATATTGTAACAGCATGTAATTAAATTGTCTAATATTTGCATACATACATATTTTGTAAACCACCCTACATGTATTATTTTGGCAATAAAAAATTATTTAATTTAAAAACATATTTTAAACGTAATATTATCTACATACTCAAACTTTGTCATGTCAACATAGCTTTCTCTCCATACTTGTTCGAAAAATTGTGCAAATATTATTTAAGCTACAAAATCTATCTTAATAGACTAGATCTATCTAGGTGTTTCATTTAAAAAATAATGTTATTAATTTTTAATTTTAATATCTTTTCAAGTAAAGATTTTAACTTTTAAAACCTGTATAATAGAAAAGCTTGAAATAATTACGTAAGTCATAAGACATAAGAACATTTTATCTTCTAGGCACAGTTTTTTTTGTTAAACGATACATCAAACGTACTTACAATAATTATTATAATAAAAATTATTAAAAGTATAAAGTGAGGTTAGAACTGTCATCTGTTATCAAATTTTTTCATTGGCCCTAACGAGTTTTGTACAGACTAGGATCTGATTGGCTAAATTATTTCTACAGCCTATAGGAGATAATTGAATACTTTGGTAGTGAGCGTTTATAATAATAAAGCTTCAATTATAGAACGCTTGAAGATAAAATTATTTACTTTTATATATTTTATTTTTGGCCAATTAATTTCAAGATCTTGAAAACATAATTTACATTATTTACATGTTTTTTAAGTTTTGTTGATGTGTGTTTACTTGCCCAAACAACAAAATTCGTCACGAGGTTTCGAACATTGTTTTTTGATACGATCAGTATCTTTATTTTGTACAGCACGTTAGGGAAAAAAATAATAGAATTGACCTTAATGTGAGTCATTTGGATTTAAAAACAAACGACTTGCCAAAATGTGTACCTATTTACAGCCGGCGAATCCAAATATAAACGATGACGTTAAAAAAAAGTAAAAATAAATATATTTTTAGTCGAAAATCCCTTTCAAATATTTGACGGAACAATTGAGGACTTGATGTAACTTAACATGACGTAAATACAGTAACTTTTGTTCAAATATGTTGGTGGTTACAGGAAATAGAAGAAAGTTTGAGTCCAAATCATCTGTCATACTTTAATGAAAGGAAACTTGTTTTTTGAACTTTGCTTTTCATAGAAAGTTTCTATTAGAAACCAATCTCTATAAAAAGCAATAAACCAATCAGAGCAACCTTTTCTCCACAGAATTGATTTTTATATTATGTTACAAGACTTTTTAAGTACATTAAATAAAAAAAAAAGTTTTAAGATTCTTCAAACACAAAAAAGTAAGAAATAATAACAAGGTTATAAGGATATAAGATTTTTATTTCAATAAATAACACTCAACCCAAAACATATCAAATATAATGTTCATAAAAAGTGTTTTTTGGAATTTAAGGCTTGCAAGATGTCATTAGTAAGTATTTAAAAAAACAACAACTTTAATTTCCTGTATTTTTATGTAAGATGTACTGCTGGTTTATTAAAATGAGTTTAATATTAAAATTTCAGAAATACCTTAAAACAAACAGCATAATTTACACTATCTAAAGTAGAACTGTTTTTTAGATATAGTAAATTTTCCAAATTAAATGTTTAATTGGCTATATCTCTAAAACCGTTTTACTTTCATAATTTTTTACTACATTTTTGAATTCAGATGACAATTTTACATAAGAATTGACTGCTAAATGTCCTGGATATAAATCGCTGAGGACTACAGTTATTAGTGGCTGCTTTTTCACTATGACGACTAGTAATTTTTGAATAATTAATTTTTAGAATAATGAAATAATAAAAAAGCAATTCTCGTAATCGAGCACCGCCTTCAAGTGCTTGGCATAAAAACAGAAGCGAATTTGCGGCACGCTTTTTTTTGTCGGCTTTACCCCTCGTTATTATAAAGGAAGCGGTATTTTATTCATAATATCATTTATAATTCAATTATGCATAAAACTGTTCACAGATTGGTTAACACTTTTAAAGTGTCACTTTACAACATTTCCAACGATATGATTACTCTCTTTCATTGTCTAAGGTTTTAAGGTTATGTGGTTATGTTTTTTAACATTGTTATCTATTTAATAATTGTTTTTGATTATTTTCCTCTAAAATTTAATTGTGAATTTAATTTACTTATTTGCTCGCGTGGTTTGAAAAAAAGCGTGAAGTTTGCCGTAACACCAGTGGAATATCCTCTATCAATCTATCAGTCGCACACAATATTTTATTATAACTACTGCAAGAAATTTTACTTCTGAGAACTTTCAATTTCTCCTACTAGTGGCACAATGTAGTATTATTCAACACCCATTACATTTTTTAACTTTAACCGGTGGTCGAAAATTTACTTTTACAATATACTATTTTTCTCAACGAGTAGTTTTTGCGTTATAAGGGTTCAAAAGGATAGAAAACAATTAGTTTTTGCAAATTTGTAAATTAAAATAACTTTATTGAAAAATGTAATACTAGGCAACACTGTAATTAATAAACCCACTACAAAATATCCTACCGACTGCGCCTTGAAGTAAATAATACCAGAGTAGGTTGAAGACTGATTTATTTAAATTACTAGCATGTAGGTTTATGTAGGTATCTTGACTAGCATGGGTGGTAGGTGCATTTGTAGTGGGGATTTATTAATTACAGTGTTGCCTAGTATTATGTATACTTATGAAACCTGCAACACAAGTAAGTAAGCGTTAAAAGGCTGTTTTCTGGTTACAAATTTTTACTTCCCCCAAACAAGATCAAACATAAAAGAAAAAAAGTTAGAGGAACAATTATTTATGAGAACCAACAGAATTTTTGGAGAAAAACTTATTTTTATAAATATGAATTTTTCAGTTTTTCAATCGCAAGATCAGAAGAAAAAGATCGAGAATAAAAGTAAAACAAAGAGAATAAAGAGCCTAAAATTGAAGAACCTCATTTTATAATTTTACTTATTTATACGTAAATGGTAAAAAAATTGGAACCGAAAAAAACCGATGGACCGAAAAGATTGGTCCGAACCGGACAGAAATATTTTTTTGGAACCGTAACTGAACCGGAACCGAAATCGTCGTTTCTCTCGGAACCGGACAGGAACCGTTATTTCATTTGGGTCCGGGTCCCTGAATTATATACAGGTATTTGGAAAATATGGATGGTATTGAAAAAAGTTTCCGGTTATGTCTCTCCAGTATGACAATTTAAAAACACAAGAACTAACCTTAAAATCAAAAAAATCCCTTTTACTGTGTTCTGGATCGTTTTTGAAGATTTTTCCCATGGCTTTGTTTATTAGCACGGCTAAATCCGTTTCGAATTTCAAATCGTTTTCGCGGCAAATCTTGCACATCCACAGGCACTCCAAGTTCAACATTAGTACCAACTGTTTTTTCGACGCGTCCGTGCATTTTGCGTGGTAATTTTTACTACACCCCCCGCACTGCACGCCACTTTTAAAGTTGATAATATTTTTACATTTCTCGCAAACGTTCATTTCGAATGTCCAGCGAACAAAAATAGGTGGACTTGGTGAATGACACTACTAGAATATTATGTATTTAATTGTAAAGA